TAATAGAAAGACAGAAATACTTGTTACGAGAAGCAGTTAGCATTACGCAACGGTCAATATGATTAAGACCACCCCATCACCTTTCAAGATAATCGTTTAGCATCCTCTATACCACTAATTTAGCAAACAGTAATACACTTGTCCTGCAATCTATTATCTATAAAATATCGTCATACAATTTCTAATCATTCTGATAATTTGCTATATTGGTTGAACCGTTTACCTATTTCATTTAAACATGTTGCTCGTTACACTACTCCATTAAAATTGATAACGTAAGCTGATTTAGCATGTATAGTATTAGAATAATCTGAATCACATAGGCGGTGCCTAGAAGTACAGCAAGTCTAATAAGTGTGAATATGCAAAGGTATGCGCAAGTTTGATGCTAACTGGAAATTAGTAAGATAAATGTACAGTACAGGGAAGCGACGGCATCATTTACGGTTACTGAGTGAATAAGCAACCAAGTTAACGGAAGAATATCTAATAGACCATTAATATCGAATAATAGATCATTAATGGATTACCGTACTAACAAGAAAATAGGGTATAGATAGAAAGTTGCAGTAAAATACTGCAGTATTGCAGCTTATCAAATATGACAGAATTATCCTCGAGAGTCATTTCAAATAAGCAGAAAGACTATCATAACATGAATTATTAATGATTTTTTGACTATATAAAAAGATTGGCCAATGTTTTACAATAAGAATGATCAAGTAATAGTAACGAAAAGAAATATGCGCCTAAAAATAATTTCTGCACCAGTAAGTGAGTTTTAGACCATAGAGTATAGGATGAATTTTTACCTGCACAGGAAACAATTTTCTGTCAGGCCAGCTTTTGCAATTATTAATTATTTCTGACAAATCATAAGGACAAACATTAAATAAAACTGGATTATGTTTACACCTACATAAGCTCTCTCACGGTCGAATACACATCACCCTTTTTAGTCATACACGCAGCGCAAATAAAGTTACAATTTTGTCTAATAAGAATACACAGTCAATTAAGACGACTGGTATTTTACTGTTATTATAGTACCTCCTGAAATCCTTTGATATAAGTTTATTATTGTGCTTGTAAGCCTTATTTATTAGCATACATTTGCGAAAATAAAGATTCAAAAATGGAGATCGATTCAAGTCATAATTTTATGTAGTACTTGCTTGCTTTACATGTGAGTATACATTACTTTCTGTAAAATTACATGTTCAACCCTCAAGTGCTAAGTATGCGTAAGGCCTGGAGTGGAGTTTAATTCCTGTTCATTTAAATATATACTAGTGCAAACTCCCGTCGCTTTGCTGACGGTTTACGATAATGTGCTCATTTAACAGATAGTATTACCATTTGATAGACCTGTCAGATTTCAATATTGTGCAGTAAATCTTATAACATTGAAATTCATAAGATTCGAAGCGCTAGGAAATAATTATGGTACACTCTAATACGTTACAATAAGTGCCTATTAGATCCTGGCAGTGCCGTACCCTGAAAATCATGATTGAATTAAAGTTTTAAGATATAAATTCTAGAAAACTTCGATCGACAAGATAGAGCGGATTTAATAATTACAGTATCACGGCAATATCTAATTGTATAGTAAGTATTGCTTAGCAGTAGACAAGAACATTATTTATAAATTGTTTATCGATGATTTTATGATCAGCGAAAACCCTTAAATATTATGTAGTATTATGGTCGTTAGTGATTTAACTATAATAAATTAATATGAATTGGTAAATCTAAGATTGCTATATCTTTACCTAATATGAACATAGTTGGATAATAATCAACTTCGTAATCGTATATAGAAAAGGTTATATTTTGGTTTAACATAAACTATCCATGGTGTCCAAATTCAATTACACTCGTGATTGATAAAGCATTTGGAAAAATAAAAGCAAAAACATTACTTGTTTTGCTACGTAAATGTTTAAATTTGTTCCTTGATTTTGTTGTACAGTGAAGAATTAAAAAAATTCTATAGATAAAACAACATCTGATTGTCGGTTTGAAAAGCAAAACAACGACTTTATGATTTACATGTTCGTTCATTTCCTTGATGTTAATGATCGGCCCTATTCGTCTTTCTCACATTACTTTAACATCTTGCACCTTTTAATTGTTAGTATTTAGATTATATATTATTTAATAATGTTTTCTACTATTGAACGATATGCAATTCAATTTGCTATCAATAGCGATTTTTAAAGTTTTGATTAAATAGAAATTAGTAATTAAATAATACGAGTTATAAGGAAATAGCCCGAATAAGACAATATTGGGCAGTGGATAACGAGAAATAATTGTAATATAAATTTATTTACCATACTCTCTGATAAATATTTTTGTCGTTTATACGTAACTGATATTCGATGCATTATCGTATTTCGGATAAACTATTAGATTTGACTTTAGTTAAGCATCACTCACGATGAACAGCTAATTAGCACTAGAGTTTTTGCTACTCTTATTTGATATTGCCATATTTTAATCTAGGTTACGGCTGCATGAAACAATTGAGAATGCCTAGGATAGGAACGATAATACACGTCTTATTATTCTTATTGTTTGATTTTCTGATTGATCATCTGTAGCTTGATTGAATATGCTCTACATAGCAACAGAATAAATCAAAATACGCTTACGCTAATGCACCAGAACAATTCGATAAGGTTGCGTATCTTATATTAATAATTATATCAGCCGGAAAGATAGAAACACTGGACATAAACTTCATTATCTAATACCGCTATTTCTTGCAATAAATTTCTAGGTTCCTTTCACTTCTTTGCGTCATCTTTTTTTAGCAATATGAAGTAATACACTAATACAACCGCTGATTAGCTATTATTTGGTTGTTGTTCAACTTACTATTGTCCTATTGTTATCTTGAAATGTGTCGAAATGCTACGCTAATTTTTTACGGCTGGGCAACTTTCACTTTATTTACTCGTTAACTTGATCATGTTAGCAGGGCATTTGTCAAGCGTTACAAGCATGATACTGGGAATACTCTTAGACCTCTATCTAGGATAAGTTTATTGTTAATATGATAAAATGACAGATTGTCGGAATAGTTGAATTACTATTTTTGCTGGTTATGATTAGGTGATTTGCTCCCTGTGGTGGCTAGTCAATCAACATCAATCAATAACTCTATTTGATCTTCATCTATGCTATAGAAAATGTCGATGAAAGACTGTGATGTCCATTAGTACACCCTGCGATGCTATTGATTGCTATTATTGGTAAGAGGAAGAAGAGAGCGGTTTTAGTCTATAATTATTACAACATAACCATGTGAAAATAAAATTTCAAGAGTAAAAATTTATCAGAATAGCCAAATAGCTATTGTCATTCATTATCCTTTGTTAAAATAACTAAATTACCTTTATCCGTTTTAATTACTCTTTTTCTTCTGTTTGCATTAGACATCATGCCAATCATCATTATTAATTAAACAGTAGGATTAAGTTTTATCCCAGTTACGTAACGAAATCAAAAATTAACATTTTTCCCCTTCTTTCTACTCATAACCACTGAAATAAATAGACTTAAATGATCATCTGTTCTCATCATTTCAACTACTGATTTTCCAGAGACAAGCTATAATCTCTCCGATAGTAACAAGCTAATATTTATTTTTACGTTTTCTTAGCTACTTTTTGTTCGTCTAAGATTATATATCAGGATTACTTAATCTTCTATCAAGATTTAATTTGCACCTTATTCCCGTGAAGTAACGAAGCTACATCCTTCATCTTAATCGGTTGATCTGTCATTTACCGTACTATTTAATTTAAAAAGGAAAATCTAATATAATAGAAATTTGGTGAGTGAGAATAAGTATGTGTGCTAAATCCGAAGGAAATTTTCTTGAAATTGCATCATCGGAATTGTATTTATTGCTCAGTTATTACAGTATTTTTTTTATCGCTCTTTAAATTTGATTAAACAAACCTATCTGTAAGTACCATCCATATCAAGATAAATTAAGTCTTTGAACGTAGCTTGATTCGATGAGGGCTACTTTCATTTTTTACCCTTTATTCCTGGTCACCCAAGATCAAAACGCGTTTTTAATCTATGTACTGAATAAAATTTGCTTACTTCTTTTCTAATCACTTAATGATGTCCAGTCATAGCAATGATAAATATTGAAGATACCTTCCTTGTAACCTCTGATTTATGCAAAGTTGATCGAACGTAATCTCTGAAATAAGGGATATGTATGGTAACACAAGGGTGATCGGCAACAGAAACTGTTAAATGTATATATTTTAATAGTCAAACTGTTACTTACATCAATGCTTAACCTATTGTAATACAATTCTCTATTTCTATTTTGAATTTACTTACTACGAACAACATCGTAATAGTTGGGTAGTCCGTTACCCTAATGAGCCATATTATCTTGTTATTGAGTTCATTCAAGCTTATCCGATAAAATGAGTGTTAATTTATTTTCTTAGATTCCATCAATTTCTTATTATGCATTGAGATTATTATATTACGTCCATCATACTATTTACCAATACGTACCGGACTATATTATATATAAATTGAGTAAACATGGAAAAAGATTACTACTAACATGTTAAAATTTCGTTCGGATTGGTAACCCCTGTCAATATAAACTACACGTAGTTTCCAGTATAGTCTGAATTATAAAAAATCGAATATTTTCTTGATTTTATTTCTGGCTAAAGCGCATTAAATGAGAGCTCATTTGTATGTAAACTTATGATTCAATTTCGAGAAATATTGAGTCTTCGCAATTTTCTTCATTTTTACGCCCAATTTGTATGGTAATTATCGTAGCTATTTCTTATACAGTTATGTTGTTTCTCTGTATTCCTTTACACATGATTAAAGTGAGTACCGTACTTGGTATAATACTGTACAATAGTATATTGGTGTAATAAAACTTACTCGTTATCTTATTTCTGACTGCTAGCTACGAGCCCATACATAACTGGATCATCATGTTACAGCCAGTACCTTCCAGTCAAATTTTAAATGCGCCATTCGCTGGTTGGAATGTCGTCGACTCGGCTACGGCTGCCGCTGTAGCCAATAACATATATCCATTCAATAGCAAATCGCAATCACAACATCTCAATATGAATAAAAGTAGTAACGGCAATAGTAGTACCGAGGGCAAAACATCTCTCAATAACCATGATAATAGTCTTTCGATGACTCCTTCGTGTAGTACAAATAACAGTCAGAACGTTACAACTAATGTTGATAGCAGCAATGCTAATATTAGAAGTGGCACCACTAACAACGGTGATTGCAATAGCATTAACCATAACAACACTCACCGTTACAACCAGGGTACTTGTAGCTATCAAGGCGGGCATAACATTTCCAGACGTCAGAATGGGCAAAGCTTAACATTACCACCTTCGAACCATTTTAACAAATCGCAAACACCCATCTACGTCCCACCGAATAGTATCCGCAGTCATGCAAGCCTCTATGGAGCATGGAGCGTACTCCATCAAAGTCGATCCCTAGATTTTAGTAGTCCAATGTTCAATATGTGGTATCCAAAATATAGCCTTGAGTCTACACCTCATTCTTCGATGTATACGGCCAACTATCCAAGTGGATTTACTACAGTAACACCTAGTAATCATCCATTAACGACAACATGTTCGGTCCCATCTGCAAGTGGATTGCAACATTGGATGGAAACTAACAATTCAACGCACACTCGTTCGCAGCATTCGGCACATTCGTCTGTATCACCTGGATCACCATCAGCTATCCATGATGCAAGCTTTTCACATCGACACAATGATAATAAGAAGAAGATAAAGAATGGTAATGCAACTAAAGGTGAGCAAATTTATTCGAAATGAAAACAACAGCAGATGGCAAATTGATTACTGATGTTCGCTAATCTTTATATAAATAGTCACTAGCTACCCAGTGTATATTTAGCTATCGACATGTACGGCATATGACTATATCGGTTTACAGCTATTCGATGATTAATAGTCGATCCTCGTTCGTTATACTTCGCGTGCAATGACTGTACTTATACCTACTACTAATAATATAATTAAATTGTATGTATGCGATTAGATATTTTTAATCCGAATTTACAGTTACATTAGTATACTGAATAACGCACAGCTGTAAAACAGGCCTGCCATTTCATAGTGGGTGCCTGCAGAACTGTACTTACAGTTCATACTGTAGTTATGAGAAAACGCTAACATTCAGCTAAATTCTCAAACTTATGTACTTTTTTATTCTAAGTGTAGGTTAGATTTAAGTCACTTATTAGATAGTTATACAAGTATACGTATCATAGACACCTTTGTGCAAAAACTCATCGCAAGTTAGCCAGGTAGCATGAAGAAAGTCATAATGCTACCGATGCCAGCTCAGCTTTTCGTCGCTTTATAGCTTCATACTTACAGCACGACGGAATTGTGAACATTTCATTGTTCTATAGCGTTCTTTACATGTTAATACTTTCTAACAACTTTACTTTTCTGTTTGATGTTATTCATTATTTTATCTTTCAGAGATTTACAGAGTGAGAATTTAGTTCTATAATTAATAAATTGTAGCTAACAATAAACAAAGTGTGCCATTGAGTACTTTCAAGTAGTATCCTAGGTCTAATCAAGTACAGTAATCCTGTCCATTCAGTAGGGTTACTAAATTTTCCTTTCGATACTTTAAATACCAAATTTAATAATGGTTTATTCATAATACAGTTCTCTATAGGCTTCTAAAAATATAACATTTATACGGTCCATCGTGACTGCTCCAATGAGCTGATTACTCGTTATTAATGAAAATGGTTATATTAGCGGACGGGAATAATATAAAATTTAGATGTTATATTACTCATTTTAGAATAAATTACTTTCCATATTACGTTATATTATAAACTTTCATAGCAGCCATTAATGCTAAACTATTTATTATTTACCATAGTATTCTACTCTCGATGTCCTACATATCCAAAAAGCTGTGCTGTACTTATGTTGATACGTTTACTTTGCAATATTTTTTCTTATTTCTTTTAACTAATTGAATAATTTAATAGGGACAAGAGCTTGTGCTAATTGCGGTGTGATTTCTACGCCATTATGGCGTCGGGATGGCAGTGGACAATATCTTTGTAATGCTTGTGGTCTTTATCATAAGATTAATGGGGTTAATAGACCGTTAGTAAAACCAAACAAAAGATTGGTAAGAGTCTTTTAACCTTGATAAATTTGGTTAATAGCATTAGTTTAGCAATAGCTTTAGTTTGTATTTCAACTCATATAATTTCACTATTTATCATTGTTGCTTAGTCAGTGAAGCTTCTGTTACCATAAGATTAATAATTACAGGTTATATAGTATTATAACTTCGTAATTGAGGCAAATTTTATTTGTAACTTCAGTTACATACTCAGCAAACTCATATTAAGGGATATTCCTACCACAAATTGGGCAAATAAATGCTTTTCAATATTAGTTTAAATGTGCGTCTCATGTAGGGCTAAAAAATTTGAAAATACTAGTGTTAATCTAATTATAGCTGAATCTGACCCTAGGTTCATATTGATTTCTACAGTCGTTAGCTCTGTACTATTACGTTTATTATAAAGAGATGTGTTGCCTATTTACAAAATTAAAATATCGACAATTTACAAACATAGGATAATCTTCGTTAAGAGTTGTTATACTTTACATTTTACTTTGTTGAGAGATTCTAACCAATCCCGTAATGTTTACTGCATTGGACTTTAAGATCTACCTTGACAGCAATTAAATGGACTTAACTATTATCGATAAACAATCAATACTTGATTGCAAATTTCAGAACTACAACTACATAAAGAATCATGATTATACTTCTGCAATAGCCTGTCTCTATAGGAAAGCGCGGTTATCGTACTGATACGAGTATAGTTCTTGGATATTGATTATATATCCATTAATCTGTTCATTTATTTGTGGATACATAATGTTGACCTAATTTAGACTCAGTTTTCGTGTTTGAGATGTTTCTAAAATCCAATATACGTTAAATCACTCCCGAAGCTACGAAGTTGACTAAATCGTCATACGCTATTGCAATGTTATTCATGGCTATACTGCAATATCCCTATAATCAAAATCAATTAGTAACTTGAAAGTAGCATTGTTTTCTAGTCTATGAGGATATATTTCATTATCAAACACAGCATTTAATATATCTTGACTTTCTTATCTTATCAAGTTAGTTCTATTAGAAACTTATTGTGAAGAAGTATATTACATGCAGTAAAAGTAGTAAGTATAATCAATCTTTTATTAGAAATCTTGGCGACAGCTTGTGAATTATTTTCAGAATTTTTGATGATCGTTTCTATAGAAAACTCTTCAGTTGATCTTGCATAACTATTACCTGTATGAGTCAGTAACTTTGACCCATCAAGAAAAGTGCTATGGATTCTCTTTAATAATTACTGTATATATATATATATATTACTGTACTGTATGCTTACAAGCAGGCAAACATTACTTAGTTGTAGCAATGCTACTTAAGTAATTCTATTCTACTGTATTTGAGATTGTATTTCACATAAGTATCCTTATAATAGTTTATATATTCACATAACTATGAGGCCCTTGTAGAATAAGTATGATAACTGCTAATAGATAAAAGTGATTCACGATAATCTACTGTAAAAGATCGTAACGATTTCATGGCCTTAAAAGAAAATTTTGATCACCGACAGATTGATGAAAATTTACTGGCATCATCGATTAGAGCAAATATTTTGTGAATCATGTCAGCGAAACGTGCATATCTATAATTTATTAAATTGGTTCTATATCTACAGATATAGCCTTTTCATTCAATTATTGATCAGTAATTGATTAGAAATTGAGTAGATATATATCATATCGTATATTCTTGTAGGAATACAAAAATCAAATTTATTCAGTTGTATAATATAGGAGGTACAAAATTCTTTATTATTTTATAATCTGTTAATATATTATATATACATGATTGAATAATCATAGAAGATAAATGGTAAAGATAGCAGAGTATATTGCTTGCAAGAGATTTACTAAAATAAAATCAGAAAATCTAGTTTTTACATGACTCGTACGTGATGTGTTCGAGATAAGTAATGTCTAATAAATAATTACTTTACTTCATTTAATGTAGTCATCCACACGAAGAATGGACTTGATTTGTGCCAATTGTAACACCGATAGAACTACACTATGGAGGAGAAATAAATATGGACAGCCTGTGTGTAATGCTTGTGGCCTATACTTTAAACTTCATGAAGTAAGTGCAATTTCCAACAAATAACATAGTGTTGATATTTATATGTTTGTAGTAAGTAGCATAATTAAAATCTACACAGATGTAATTTATGTGTAGTAGTGTGATCATGGTATAGCAAATTGGGCATATATTGTTATATATGCGTATATTTATACATAATTAATACTTAGTACTACTGTCATATTGAGATATAGTACTGTAGCCAAACATGGTATTATGCAGATTAATATATATTTAGAGATAGTATATATAAGATGTATATTCTTTTTACCGCATTGAGGTATATACAACGAGTTAGATAGTACTTTGATGATTAATTAGTTCAATAAAGTTTTGTTCATACATAACAATGCAAATCCACGTTCCTGATTAGTATTGTGTCCTATTCGTTGCAGTAATTGAATATAACATCAATCATTAATACTAAAGGATATTTTTAATTCGATTTTATTCTAGATAAATCGGCCGATGTCCCTAAAAAAGGAATGGATACAAACTAGGAAAAGAAAACATAAGATTAAATCAAAGAAAAAGAATCATATGGCTTTATCACCTGGATCTAAATCTCTATCTAATACTTCAATTTTTTCCATGGATGAGGATGAGATAGAACATCAACATTACTCAACTTCAGCACTCTACGCTGAGGAAATAGATAGCAATGACCATGGTACAGAAAAGAACCATTCTTGATCAAGAACTATGTCACCAAAAGCGCTACCCTGAAGAAATATTAGTTTTGATAAATAATAATCTATTGATACTAAAATCCTTATCTTATATTTCAAACGTAGCTTAAATGGATTGACTCTTGCAACGTACATGATCCAGGCCTAAACTATTCTCTATTGCATACTGTCAAATCTTGTACAGTTGCAATATACATAGTTGACTTCGTTGTGGTGCTTAAAAACGATCTTTTTCCTATTATTACTAGCTGTGTTATTCTTTTATTCTATCACCTAAGCTACATTTATGAAGGATTAGTTGGTGACAGATTGTGAATAATAATAATATTAGAATATTATAGATTAAAAAACTCTTCAATCTACGCCATTAAGCAGGGTAGAATAATACTTTACAATATCTACAGGATTTATCGTGCACATTATAAGACGATGTTGTACAGTAAGAGATTAGCATGATGTGATATTTGATAGTTAGAGATAGTCATATGCAGTTTGTCGCTCAAAATTTTATCAGTTTCTGCCGTTATTCATCTATTTAGCTTAAGTAAGACGAATAGTGAAGAAAATCCTCATTATTTGCGGCATTCAATGTTTTATGACTTGCATTTTCCCTGGAATGTTAAAGACTAATAGATAATGGATTGATTAAGAATATATCGCTGAATAAACGGCTATATTAATATTGCTAATAATAATATTTGTATGATATCGTGTACACAGTAGTTATCATATACGAATACTAAGATATCTATGGTAAAGTATCCGGCATATTAAACTCGTTCTTTCGAGCCTTACTAGATTACTATTCTGATACTGAACCCTATGAACAATAATAAAGGTCGTATATTACTACATGATTGTTAAATTATTTGTCTATTGATAACCTGTAATCAAAAGCTGTATTTTAGAGTCCTAAACATATCATGGTATTCTACCAAATTTTAGAAGTAGTAGAATAAATTTACTTTCCGCCGAGGATTCCTTTGTTATTTTGTTTAAATTATGTTTGAAGTACCCGTAATTTTTATTTAGGCTTGGTTATGGATGTAACCGCTCATAAATTTTTCATCGTTGTAATGGAAGTGACATAATTCGTATAATGTTAACTGTGTTTAAGGTTATAGTGATACTATGAGGGTAATAGCTTTAAATTCGAGATTATATAGCGCAGCGTTAATAAATAAATTGAAGGACGATATATTTTAAAATACTTCCGTTTTCTATTAAGCTTTACAAAATATTTTAATGACATAGGACACCTTAAGATTTCATAAGTATTTTTCATTAGCTTAGATGCTAGCTTTCGTAATTGTATACATTGCCGATAATAAATATGCGCATTTTATAGATACAATCTTTTTCTTATCGAATGTTGTACAAGGAGCTATCACTTTATGAATGTCTGGTATACGAGTATTTTAGCCTAGTACTTTACAGCACACCTTGAACAATGTGTTACGCATTAATGATATTAAATTTTAGTAAGTATTAGTAATACTTTTCTGTGCATATACTTATGCATAGATATTGCGCAGACTTGGTTATGAAGCGGTAATGCATTAGTTCCTGAATTATTGTTAAGAATACAAATTTTATCTAGAGTAGGGTAAATGATCAAATTACAATCTTAGCGTAGCCTACAAGTAAAGCTATATGCTGTGATGGAAAATTTACAGTATAATAATACAGATTACAGGAATGCAAGCTTTTGTCCCACTCTCTCTTTTTAATTTCGGACTACTCGATCATACTAATTTTATTATAAATTATCTTATGCAGATCAACGAACCCTAAGTTGACATTAAAATCTTACGAAGGTAAAATTGTTTAACCTATTGCAGCTGTACAAATACTTATTCAGGTCTTGTTGATCTAGACTTCTAATGTAAAAATCTCTGAGATAACATTCGCGAAGTCATATCCTATAAACCTTCGTAATAGCTGTTATGATGATATGTAACTAATTATTTACATCGGTCTTTATTCCAAAACAATATGGTGATGTAATTCATGATAATAGTGATAAAATTCCGTCTTCTTACTAAATTCTTTGTACATACGGTACATTTCGTGGATGTAATTCTTGTGTATGGAAATTTATTATATTTGTTGTTAGTTTAAAAAACTGTAAACAATACTTAATCGGCTGTAAAAGTATTTCCTGTAAATGCGTTGGCGTTCACAATCAATTTAAAGATATGTTGACAGATGGAAACTCTTCGGTTACTTTAAGGGCTTCCTGCAAATATTTTCTGTGGTCAGTGACACAAAACCGGCATCAAATTTTTCTTTCGATATTGATACCTAGCTTCCTTTGGTATAATATCTCTGTCGATTATTTGCTGCATACGTGCATAGGCTAAGTACTGTAATAGTCTCATTTAACCTGATAAATTACGATAATAATGATAGTTACAACAGTCTATCAAAAATGTGAGTAGAAAGGTGATGTTTGCATCTGTACACTAAAGATTAAAAGCGTAATGCGATTTATTACTTTAAATTTTATAATCAGGGTTATATCCGCGGATCATCACTGCTTACAAGTCAGCTACATTCGCTACTTGCGCGCAGTACAAAAATGGCGAAACTCATAAAAATCATAGAAAATTGTTGTGAAGTATTTGTCTGTTAATATGTTTACCATTTAGCACTTAAACTTTGATCAGTGTTATCATCAGTATGATCACTAGCCAATGTTCATGATAATATCATAGAAAAAATTCAGGTATTATGCTATTAAAGTATCTGTACACAAGAGCATACACATATGTTTAAATCTGACTATAGTTCAACGGTTAAAAGATTCTAAGAAAACAAAAATTCTAATTATCATTGTTTCGATACCACGAATGCTGTAATTAGTTTACTACATTGAAGTGATGAAGGATAGTTTTCATATTACAAGAATATTAATAAATAATTACTATTAAAGACAGGATCTGACAAGCATGGCGCTAGAAAATTGGCTATAGACGGAGTAATTAATCGTCATTTGTTTAAGACTGCCAGTCAGCTTAAGTGAGTGAAATTTTCGTTGCATGAATGGTTATTGATGTATTCACTTATAACGATTATAAAATATAAAACTTCATATTATACTAAAGTCTATCATAAACACGTTTATTGTATTAACAATTGTTTCCAGGTATTATTATACGATTCTTAGTTAATCTTTAAGGCTAACCTGATAATATCTGCTTTGATTTAGAAGAGTTTGATAAATTTTTGATCACTGATCATTACTCAGACTTGGTATAATTTTAGATGATGACTTAGGTAACAAATATGCACTGAAAAACGTGATGGTTTATGCAGATGCAGATGAGGTTATTTCAAGATCTTCATTCACCGCATTAACTAGTTCAGTAGAGGTTTAATTTTGATATTTATGTGAATTAATATGCTTTCTAATACGCGTATATTCAGAATATCCTTAGTAATATATATTAATAAATCATTATTATAGAAATTGCTTTGTTTGCTCTGGATTTAAGCCTTTATCTTTCAATAGTTATCAAGAATATTGTAATACTTATTGATTAAAATATCAATATTTTTATCATTGATACCGTAGAAGGGCTAAAATTAATACAATACAATTCGAAAGTTGCAGTAAATGCGATATTAATATTAACTACAATTCGGTCCACATTGTATGAGAGACGCAGTTACATTAACAGTAGAATTACTATATACTATGATTTGTAACGTGTATGACGCACTGCTTTACACTATACGTGTATGGATCAAATAGTGATATGGCGATAAAAAGATAGATAATATTCAGCGTCATCATAAGTAGCTGATAACATCATTATGTACAGTATGATTAATTACTTATTTTATCTGCTTACATACTGTAATACCTTTATTACTCTTTATTGTCAATCAAGTTTAAGCGCAAATTCTCCGGCGATTTGTGAGAATTTTAGGGATAAAATGGGCGAGATTTCAATACTAAAACATGTTATTTAAGAATTATTTTCTTCTAGATTATGCTAATATTACAATAAATACTTCAAACATTCGCATTATATTACGCCAATATGATAACTGATTGTGTATCAACAAGGAAAATGACTCTGATGACTAAGGCTCAGCGACTACATGAAAGTCCAATTAGCAGAAGTAGCAGTGACTGAGTAAAAAGTATTAATGTCCATATAGTATTAATCACAGGACTATCGAACTTTCTTTTTCTGTACTTGCGATAGCTTGATATTCATGATTAAATTAACGTAATTACGAGCATTGTATCAATTATATATTTTTTACTCGATATCTACCGTTAATAACAGATAGTTACAGAAAGAACTTGAAGCGATATAAGAAAAGAGGAAATCAGATCTGGAAGTTGTTGATATGTTCGAGTACATAGAGTAAGCGTATGACTATGGTACGATATATCTTCAGCTGCCACCATTATGTTTTTGTTGCAATGTGATTTGCCTCATACTCTTACACATATATTGCCCTCTCTGTATCGGAAAGTAGACCGCAAAATTAAATTAAATTTCTGCTTACCGGATAATTGAATACGAATTAAAAAATTATAGCACTTTAATTTCGAAAACTTCGATTATTACGGTATGATAGTCCTACTTCTTCGAGCACTCTCTCGTTTACTATTATATTATTATCACTACCTGCGTTTGAGCATTGTGTTGGGGGCATTGATGTCTTCATAGTATGCTAGATATCTGAAATCTCTGGAGGTTCTAGAAGTTTGTGGTTAGCTGATTAAGTTGATATTGCTAAACTAAATATTACGAGCAATATAAGGAACTGCGTTTCCGGCGGTCTTCTTAATACTCGTATATGTTTATTGTACGCGTAAAATATCGTATACCTGCATACAGTATATGTAAATGAAGTGACTCATTGTCTTTGACCCACATACAATACACCTCACATCAAATTACTGTAATGATTCACCATTTACTCGTCTGCATTCTACTGTAGTCTACTGTATGTGATATGTTTGTAGAAGGGAAACCATGATGGATGTCAAAGATAGTTGGAGGATGAAGAATAGGTTTATTCAGAGATTGAGAACAAGTAGGTAGGAACAGAACAAATCACTCGTATTCATTACATCTACAGTACAAATTATTTAACCGAAAGGAATTGATAGATGAGCCAGTGTTACAGCGTACGTACCTGCTTGTGCTGGGGTATCAATGTCAGTTTCAACCAATCAAAAGCTAATTATCGGCATTCGATCGATTACTGCTTACTACTGTAGTGTACAGTACTGTACAGTACAACAACCGTATTGAAGGTTCGTACTACTCTCAATCAGCATGGGAGACAAGAGATTGTACGCGTAGTTGAAGTTATTGTAAAACTAACTACTAACTCCTAGACCTGACAATTCTCTCTTTATTGTATTGAAAAGCAGCGGCTTATATAAATACGTACGCCGTTCACACTTAAAATGCATTATAAATACAAGTTTAATCTAACAAATACAGCGTGGTATAGAATAGCAAGTTGAGAGCGGGTAAGCAATGATTCAAACAACCTTTGGCATACTGTACTGTACTGTACAGTACAGTACTCGTATGGTCTAATGTACTGTACTGTACTATACAGGGTACGCTACTGTACGGTACTCAACTTGCATGCAAAGTACTGTACAGTATCAAGAGGTTCGCTACAGTAGTTGATACGTGCTGACGGTGCTGTACTGTACTGTACAGTGTACAGTACAGCATGAATGTCATTACAGTACCGTACTGTACTGTACAGTATGTTCTCTTGTCGTGCTACACACTAACATATGGACTGACATACAGTACAGTACTGTACTGTACTGTACAGTACAGTAGTTTAAAGAGGAATGTTGTACTGTACAGTTTTTCTCTAGAAGTCTTATTAGAAGCCCCTTAGTCCGGTTCTTGATGTACTGTACTGTACAGTACTGTACACTGTACAGTAGACTTCGATAACGATCATATTTACAGTTACTGCAGTACAGTACAGTATAGTATTTATTAATTAATTATAATTAGTTAAAAAAAATTAAAATTAATATACTGCATATAGAATACTATAGAGAAAATCTTAAAATCATATCATCATCCTCCCTTTCTTATGGTTTGTCTGAAACTTGATCATAAATAATAACCTTATAATAACCTTACAAGCTGCTGGCAACCTTATATTTACAGTTGGTTCGCGAGCCCTTGATCCCGATTTCTTCTTCGCTTGTAAATATACTAGTGCGCGTATATCATTTGTAGGTTACAAGTCTATCGGTTATACACCAGATTCACTTAGGAAAATACCTTTGTTATTTATATATTCACTTTGGCACAATAAAATATTTATTTATTGTCCATCCGCGAGAACATTGTGGTCTTGTAGTACGCTTTTAAGCAATATACTGTAGCAGACTATTCACAATTTTACTCATCGTCTTTTTTCATTCTGCTCAAAGTTGGTTATTGCTTTCTGGGTAACGCTACTGCGATCTGATAATTATTTACGTATATTTTTTTATCCGTTTGCCTCCAGTTAAAGCTTCGTTTGATAAAGTATCGAAATTGGAGATAAGAAGAAGAATATTTAATCTTTTATAGAAATACTGGTGAAGTTATTTATGTTGTGAACTTAAAGCTTGTACTGTAACAACGTTACAAGACAGCAGTTTACAAACAGCTTTGCGGTTGGAGGTTGATCAGGTTATTTATTGCCTAATATAGGCATGCAAATTTTGTTTATACCTGATAGGAAGGAGATATATTCGTTAATACAGTAATTTGTAGTCCTTTTACATATAATCGATGGTGGTTAGCAGCGTCAATAGCGATAGAATGGATGATAGGCAGCCAGCAAAGCTCCTGAAAGAGCGGCTAGAGGACCTTGGCGATTTACAAATTCTAATTGATACAACTGTAACTCAATTGATCCGTACTCGTGCACAATGTGACGTTACTTTTGATTTCATTCAACAGCAATTGCGTGCCCTTGAGGTAAGATTATTCTAGCATTAGTACATTGATAATTAATAATTGTCATATCTTTGTTATATTTTATGAACTGTGATATTTCATAGTACTACTATGGTAAAGAAAAATCTTTAATCAAAACTATTAATGAATTGTGTGCTTAGGACGAATGATAAGCGTATGTTACTATAAGCTACGATGAAAAAATGATATCAATAAGGATGTCAATAGTAATTTAATTTAAATTTGGCCCTAATGGGCTCGAAATGCAGCTACGTGGCACCATATCGCATGAAAGAACAAATTTTTATAGTTCTAAAATATTATTTTGACACACAAGCGAATTGAAGATATTATAATGGCGACAAAATAGGAAGGCTAAAAGGGATGCTAACCAGACTGTAGATAATAGTGTATATAGTACTGATAATCAATTTTTATCTTAAGATCTCGATGTAGGCGCCTGCAGCTATACCAGGTCATATAGAATGGAAGAACGAACTTCCACAATTTCTAAGTTTTATTTTGACGTGATGAGGAAATGAACATACAGTAATACAGCGAATAACTTGAACAGTAGCCATTAATATTCATCTGCGCTCATGGTTAACTCTTTTGTTGACATTCCTGTACAAATTTATTGTTAACGTTTACTGTGTACACTATCACTGTAAAAGTTCATAAAAAGCATAACATTAGGTTTCGTTCACGTATAATAATTTAAATTAGCATATTCTATTAAAATAGTAGTTATTAGTTTACTACTTTATGGAGTATTAGTTATATTGTAATTTTTAAATCAAAAGTTATCACTTTGTTAACAAATTATCTGGATCACTGCCGCTCCTGCTATGGTATTTGTCACGAATATTTTCATGATGTTTATTTTGGACCAACTTCTTTTTGATAGGGTAAAGTTATCAAGTATATTTCGCAACAGCTGTTAGAGATTGCTAATGGCATTCCACCCAATTCTCCTTCAATCGCTGATAAATTTTATCAGTATCCTAAACTTAATCAATGGCTAGAAGTTGTTGGAATGGAATCCTCAACCGCTAAGGTAATGGTTTGTCCAAATAGAGCGTATTAGTTTGTTAATGAATACAGCTAGTTCGATACGATTGCAACTGTACAATGATTAAACCAATATGTTATACGAATGCGGATTGGCATGACTTATGATTTCGAGGTAGGATCGCGTTTATTGCTATGGGGTTAAACTTGAGAGATCGCAATGAATCCAACGGATAGATGAGGCTATATGCAGAATGTACTCTAGACATGATCGCGTTTCAGTCAGGTGGAGTTGAAAATCGAAGATATATCAGTATTATGATGCTAATGCATATTGCATACATTTAATTTCGATTCTATTATAAGCATTTCACAGATACAAGTACTGTATTTACAGTGACCGTAAATCTCTGGTAGCAATTGAAATCCTTATACGCAGTGTACGTACATACGTGTATAGTACATCGTAATTTTTATTCGTCATCACATCCTACGCATTTGTTTGTGCAGTAAAGTACACGAATACTGTGCAAGAATATTGTATTGCATACCGCGCTACAAAGTACACGGTAAGTGCCGCCTGTTTTATATTTATACTAGTCAAACCCTCGCTGATGATTCTTCGCGTACTACACTTACCTTTTCATCGGGCAGGGGTGAATTACACGCTCATATCATTTTACGAGTAAAACCCAAAATCTATATGCAAAATCAGTCGATATTTTTTAGGGTAGTTCTGCGAATTAATCCTAAAATAACACTTTACGGTACTATTAGGTAATAATTCTTTGTTTAGTAAACGTATGATTTACTTACGCCAGTCGTAAATTGCTTGTCATTGATGAATAATATTATTAAGTATTGCAGAGTGAATTGGAATTACTGTATTGTTAATGTACCACCATTTAACAGATTTCAATAATATAGCAGGTTTACGCCTAACACATATATTTTAGCAAGTAAACTCGCGATCATCCATGAATATGTTACCATTACGCTCTATTGTGAACTCTGTACGAATTTAAACGTCAACTTAAATAGTTAAAAGTTATAATGATAAGGGTAGTGTAGTAAATATCAGGAGTTGCATAAGACTAAAAGTGAAAAAATTCGAATTCTACTTTCATGTAATATATTACTTTTGTTCGATTACTACTTATTTCATCTTCATGCGCCACTTGGTATCATCTTTGGTATTGCTCTACGAATTCTTTGTACAGAAACACTGATATTATTTCTTATTACGTCTGTATAATTACGATGTAATTGCAATATTTACGCGCTTGGAGAAGTCCTCTGTTGCATAAACTGTAATTGACCTATTCTCTATGATCTTTAAATTATAAAACGGTTGGATCAGATTCTTGATTTCTCTACTTAGGCTATTTGCGGTTTACAATTACCACTTTCCACAATGTTAAATATGCAAGAAGAAGACATGCGACAAATGCTTAATGATGTTCAATGTAACGAAGGAGATAGTTGTCGCTTCATTGCTGCAATGAAAAATCTTCGTTTATATTTGGGTAAGTCAGCAGCTATGTCTGTAGTGGCTTGTGCACCGTATGGTTGTAACGTTTGAATTAATGATGTTGGTAAACTAGATTGCTATAACGTGTGTGAAAGTTGATTTATTATGAAACTTTAACTTACAATATAGCTGTAGCGAAGTATATTATAATTGTACAATATAACTGAGTAGGTGACGTAACGCATGTAATATGACTATAGCACTGTTCTGCTATTGTAGTGATAGTCCCTTATTCGATGTGCAAAGCAATTACCTTGTCAGTAATTTATTTTCTATTATGTATCCGCTATCAATTTTTTACTATTTATTTGTGATTTACAGAAAAAGTAAATGCATTAGTATTCAGCCAAGTAGTAGTCTAACTATTATCGTACATATAATACTATATACTTTGGTTTTTATCACTCGGATACTACATTACAGGGCAAGGCGTTTTGGCTTATCTTTATAAATTAAACACAATTAGCATAAAATAAATAATAGAGCGTATGCATTTTGTAAGGTAGTAAACTCACGTTTACTTTTAATTTAATATCCATGTAAATGTACTGTACGTGTGTATACAAAATACGATGTATATCAATTCATGCCAGATTTACGAACAGCACTAAATGATCAAAATTCCTACTGTTGGTCATTAATTGCTATTATCGCATTATGTGAAGTCTTTAAATTATGGAATTCTCTGTTAAGTGCGTTGATGTGTGATTGTAAATGACCTGCAATGACGAGAGTATGTATGTAGTACTATTTTAAGTTGATACTATGTCAAAGCCTTTAACTCAGGTAATTAATTACACCACAGTGATATTATCTATAGAGCTCAGCATTAATGAGAAATATGATATAATGGGTGCATGCTGGTATTATAATTACATTTGCTAAGGTACGCGTACTATACTGATTTCATTTACCTTTCTTGAGGCGATATTTCGAAAACATTGACAAAAAATATCGATGATATTTTATATCTATCTCAGTCCAATCAATAAATTATACGACTTATATCCTGTTAATAAGGTAGTGTATCATTTATATTTCTTATATTTTATTGTATTCTCCAATAAATACTTCATATTTCGCAATTCGGAGCTCCCAGGTTACACATTAACGAGATTGCTACAATGCAGTGCTGTACAATACTTTCTCGAAATGATTCTAAGAACATAGTTATATTGGCCATATTGGGATACTGCGTTGTTATCAGGAAGTGATGTGACGTTTTTAATTACCTAATATCCATAATGGGCTAAATAATTGCTATTTGATTTACGGTATTAATGTCTAATATATCGATCTCAATAATTAATGTTACTTTATATGATAATACTGCATATGCATCACACAATTTTTACTATCGATGTAGCTTTTTTTCGTCTTATTGAAAGCATTTGATTTAGTGCGATAACAATTATTTCTATTCTAAAACTTTAATAGAAATGTTACGAAGTGGGGAATTTCCTAGTACTGCTTCATTTTATTGGAATTCGTGGACTTATAGATATGGTAAAGCCGTTAATAGCAATTCAAAGACGTCTAATAATGAACCTGTCCTGGTTGGAAGAAATCGATCCGTAACATCTCCGACCTTGTCCAATAGCCGACCTAATACATTGTTAACTACTTCTGGCGCTGTTACCTCTAGTCATAAATCTGTAGACGTCGTTAAATCTTCAACCTTTTCTCCTTCGCCATCTTCTTACTGTATTGCTAATTCGCTTGATAGTGGAGCTAGTCCTACTACCCCACAAGTACCTGCTAATTATTATAAGGATTCATCTCCAAGTGTATCTGATATCAATGCTGGTCTACTTGAAAATAATCACAATGTTGACGAGGCTACCGTTGCCCAGGACGGTAGCAATTGTAATACCGATGCTAACTCTGTGCTACAAATTATTGTTCAACCAAGCGACGCAGAAAATGAAATACAGCTCTCTAATCGTAGTAACTCATTAGGTAGTATGAGAACAACCGATAAAAATATTCAGTGTCGGCTTCCTTTACAAGCAGCTATGCTTAGCGGTAGCTGCGAAGCCTTACTCCATGACAGTCAAAACTGTACAAATGATATTGGATCTGATTACAGTGCAGGATCTGACAGTCTACAAAAATTAAGATCGCGTGAGTATTTTAACTAAAATTTCATTACCTTTAGAGCCATATTCTTTTATCAAAGTAATTAGATTCTTAAGACTTATGACACTGGATAGTTAATAGATTTTAAAGACATGATAAATTAAAATTAAAATAAGATCAATTGGTTGTAATTTTTTAATATACATCTCAAAAATTAAGGAACTTTGAGTCATAGTGCCGGGACTCAGTCATCTTCATTGGTTGGCATGGGGCATTCTATTAAACACAGGTATTTTTTTATTCCAGCTCACTACACTTTAAGTGACTAGTATAGTCCAAAATCCGCTCTCTATAAGTCCTTTATTTCTCAAAATATAGATTTTCGCATTTACCAATGTTCATTGCGCAGTCGTGCGATTACTGTGGTCGAATAGTTGTTATGGGTCTTAAATGTAAAGAATGCAAGTAAGTCATGATGAAGCTACGAAATCTGTATTACCTTACATTTTATATAAAGTAAAATTTCTTCTTGTATCGTGTGAATGATCAGATATAAGTGTCATTCTAAATGTGCTAAGAAAGCACCGCCATCGTGTGGCTTACCTCAAGATTATGAGAAATTTTTTAAGCAGCAATTACTTCATGGTATGATAACTGAGATGATCAAGGATCATAACGTTCTATTAATTTATGTTTTTATACATGAAAAACATTAATTCGAAATGATCTTTACATTAGATAACCTGAACCTCAGTCAAGATACTTCAAAAATAAACTTAAAAAAATTGAATGCTTCTCCATCGCGCATGACATCAGCTCCATATAATAGTTATAACTCAGGCTATAACAGTATCAATTCCGTATCTACAAACGACTCTTCGACAAACAACTTGACTTTTAAAGATAAGCACTATTTGAATAGCCAAGGTGCTGATAAAATTAAGAGCATACCGAACTCGGCACCACCAACTAGCGTTAATAGTACATTTAATTTTTCAACACCGACTGATGGAAGTACAACTGGCGGCCAATTGACAGAATCAATTAGTCCTTTTTCATCGACTCCATCTTCACCTACGATGAATACGAGCACACACTTATACTCACCACCAGTGTCTAGTGTCTTACCAGAGACAAGTATGTGGGATAGAAATACATAATGTTCATTACGGTCAGATACTTATTTAAGCTATTTATTGCAGGTCAAGGTACAGTGGCCAATGATAAAGTTACTTCTACACCGATAAGGAAAAACGTTAATAGCGCAGAGGACGACCTAGAAGACAATAGGTAATTCGGCATCTGACAATAAGTCATATTGCTGTCAGATTTAAATTACCGGATTTTATGCTCCGTATTTTTGGAAGTGTATGGTAAATAATATTTTCGTTCTAGGGATTGTGAAAACATTGAATCAGAACGAAGCTCTGGAGTAAGACTAATACTTTACTCTTAATATTATCTAAAAGCAACGTTATCTAGAATAGTACAATCTATGATATAATACCATCATATTGGCAATATTTCATCAACCTAAAACAGAATGAAGATCACAGTCAGGAAGATCTGTTAACCGTAAATCGTAAGAGTCGATATAAACGAAGAAAAAAGGTAATTGAATTACAGTCGCAGAAACCATGTAGCAAAATACTTTCAAGCTGATCCCCTAACTCCGCTGTTACCCAAAATATCTTGCCTTACAGCTCTTAAGTATGCGAACCAGCTTAGCATCTGAATGGATAATTCCCATTGAAGAGTTAAAAATAAAAGACGTCATCGGTATAGGCCATTTTGGTCGTGTTCATAGGTTTGTTGATATGTTAGTCTTAGAAAAAAGATCTGAGCTTCGAGAAAAATAGTAACTGATACAAATGTTAAATAGAGGCTACTGGCATGGAGACGTAGCTATAAAGTTTGTTAATGTGAGCCGTTTAACTGAGGAAGCTATAGAATCCTTCAAGCTGGAGGTAAGGAAGTAATTTAGTAGTATATGGATTTGTTCTATCAGAGCTAAATGGCTTTACTTGCCTATTTTATGATAGGTAGCTACTTTTCGTAAAACACGTCACGATAATCTAGTATTGTTTATGGGAGCTTGCATGAAACCCCCTCAGTTGGCAATTATTACAAGGTACTGTGCAAATATACTAACTAGAAAATCATGCTTTTCTGTAAGTATGCTTTAATGATACTGATAATTTCCTACCTATATTTATGTATATCTGTATCAGTTTATGCCGAGGTCCGTCATTGGCTTCTTTAATTTATGAGCAGAAAGATAGATTTACTTTCTCTAAAATTGTTAGTTTTGCGCGAGAAATCTGTCAGGTATGGAATGCTACGTGACTGCTTTCTTTGGCAGTCGAATTAATGGCTTACTAAGGAATATGTTTGGTTATACAATGTTTATATGATGTATATTAGGGGATGAGTTACTTGCACTCTCGCGACATCATCCACAAGGATTTGAAATCAGGAAATATATTCTACGAGAAATGTCGTATCGTTATAACTGATTTCGGGGTATCTAGCTTAGTAGATTATAATCCAACGCCACAGGAAAGGTATTAGCCATTTGATTGTTATAAATTAGTATAGTTATTGTGCTATTAATGTTTATATACTCGTATTTGTAGAAATTTGGACTGTTGGGTAATCGTTCGAGATTACGCCGTGTATTTTGCTCCAGAAATTATTAAGAAAATGGACTTGAATTTGGTATCATTTGGTCTCAGTGCTTTCACTAAAGCATCCGATGTTTTCGCTTTTGGGTAATAATGGCTAAGATATATTTCTACTAAGGTTAACTAAGAAATATTCTGATGAACTATTTGTATAATTTCTATTCTATAGAACTGTATTGTATGAAATGATGGTAGGACATTGGCCATTTTCGGAGCTGCCAGTCGAGAGTATACTCTGGATGGTAGGGTCTGGTAAACAGCCTCCGCAAGACGAGATACGTTTACCGGTAGAATTGAAGGTGCATTTTTTGACCTTTACAGTAGTGATCATCAAGAGATAGTCATAACTATATACAGTAGACAGTTACTTAATGCCTCCGTCATAGCGCATGTTTCCTATAGTAAGTTATGAAATATTCGTTTTATTTTTAGAACATATTGAATACCTGCTGGGAATATGATCCAGAAAAAAGAATAGCGTTTACCAATTTGTTAAAGGCATTAAATAAATTACCAGAGAGATATTTACGTCGTAGCCCGTCTTGTCCATCGAATTCATTAACGTAAATGCAGCAGTATGAGTAACCGATGAACATATTTCGATCGAGATTTTCTGAGAGAACTTAATTTAGAATAACTTTAGATATGAACCTATGGCACAATCTAAACATTGTAAATGTAAACTTTGTGGCCTTCGCAAATACTTTTTCGTGCAATATTTCCAATTTTTGTCTTAAAGGCGATAAATTAAATTGTTTTTGATGCTATTACTCGAAAAATTCATTTTATGAAGTGTGGTCGTGACAAATTATTGTAGAGTGATATTACATTTGCAAACGCGAAATCTGCAGTACTTATTCAAGGATACTATCATAGCTAAGACTTCAATAGATTGGCTATTGTGATTATAGTTATATACATCGTCGGTCGATATGTAAATGATAGATTGCATTTACTGAAACAATTTTACTACTTAGTGAGCTATCTTTACCACAAAATAATGCTTCCAGTATTGCAACTGTTCTTATACTGTATATTAGAAAACTGTTAGAAATTTTTAATGGATCTTTTCGATGATTTCATTATTGTTCGATATCTAAAATTATTTTTAATGAAATTTTTAACGTCTTGTTGCATTTCTGTTTCCGTTAGTATTTGTAATTTCTGAGCAAAATGATAAATTCTCAATTTTTAGAATCAATAGGGTATAGGCAGGAGTTGCACGAAAATTAGCCTTTTTATAGTTATCGTAAATTACTAACATTGCTTACGTAGAGACAATGCTATTATATTTGGAACCTTGTTATAAGTGTATATGGTAACAGATTTTTTATCGAGCTTTTTTTGTTAGTTCAGCATCGATCATATACTTGCATATAATGTATATTGTAATGCATAATTTAACATTTGTATGACATGAGTACTTATCATATCGTTCTTGAAGTCCATCGTTTTATAAAGTTTTTCCTTGTACTACTTCATAATGCTTTATAAAGATTTAAAGCCTCGCTATAATGTGATAATGTTTACTCACAATTCGGTGTAATGATGTACTGCTATGTCATAATACTTTTAAAAAAACTTACAGTAATTACAAATTATTATGCAAAAATGTCGGCTTATCTAAAAGGTATTATTTTGAAATATTGATTCCATTTTAATTGTTGCTTGTTATTGGTTGCGATATTATCTGCACGTAAAAGATTCAAATACTCAATATCAATAAATACTTGTTGATCTTTCGGAAATTACAATATCTTCATAGTTTTATATGTTAACAAATATTTTTTCGTAATTTTCATTTACTGAATGGCTTTAATATTACCAAGCTTAACATAATCTATTATTATTTTATAGTTTCAGCTTTTTTTGATATAAGAGGTTACTAAATAGTTTAAAACTAATATTTGAATTGGTGGATCAGTTTGGACAGTACATGTAAAGCTCTATCCCATTGACTTTTTTTATATTCCGTTGATGATGCCGTATTTTCGCAAATACAGAGTATGGCTTTTAATTGGATACACAGTTTTTCAAAACGATTCGCTGTAAAGTTGAGTTGATTCCATTCCGTAGATACGTATAGAAGTATAACACAAACATAGCACAATATAACCGGAAGATATTCGCAAAATTTCTGAAAATTGATACGTTTTCGGGAACGCATTTGTCCTGTGCTCCATAACGTACTCATGGCTGAATGAGCACTTAAAACATTATTAATAATGGAACGGGTTTGCATAGTGATAGCTCGTAGAAGTTTAGCAATTTGTTGCTCCTGACGCGATCGAAATAGGGGATTTGGCGGCGATTTACTCAGCTGGTAGGCAGTTTGATCAAGCAACCTGACATAGTACGAGAATAAGCTGTTAGTTTAAGAATGGGCTGTAGTGTTTTCCTTCATCTAATAAGCTTTATTTTTCTATCAAACTCGTATTATATTTAACTAGCTTCTCACCTATCAAAAATTTCGCTAAGCATAGATTTATCCTTGTCAATACATAGATTTATACTATGACATAACTGATGTAGGAACGACATTTTCAGATTGTTATAACCATCGTCAAATTTGTTAAAGTTAATTCGCTCGGCTTCATTTACTATTGCAACATTATAGTTGTTATAGCTTTCTACTTTAAGCGTCAAGCTGTGAGCCAATTTCATTCGCGCTACGATACCTTTTATTTCTTCTTTTATTAGTAAATAAGGATGATGTTTTGATTCATAAGTGTTATAGATAGATACGAATTTTTGTACATACACTTTATCTGGACCGCACGTTGCACAGTACTTATAGCAAATTAAAAAAACTGCAATAAGAACGACACTAGCAGTATCTTTAGTTAACGATTCAGGAACAACATCAGCATGACTGATTCGGTCCCTTAGCCGTAAGCCTTCCGGATACATCAATAAATCCATTAATAATACCTACATGATATGTCGAGAGAAAAAAGTGAAATCAATCACTATAAACAATTATGTAATGATCATTTATGAATCAGTACTTATTTACATTAGATCGTAAGGATACAATATAAATTTTGAAATGTTATGTTATCGCCTTGTTTATACTATCTCTCACTAAGTAGTTATCTGAGAGCTCTTGACATAGGCAGTTGATGCCACCAGTGGGTAACTTAGCAGCTAATATTTCAGTCAGTGTGGTAAAAAGCATTGAATTTTCAGCAGTGATAATCCGGTGTTGGCAATGATTTACACCAGCGAAAAGGATACGTAGACTATGTTCGAACTGTGGTAGCAATAGTGTGAGACAATCGAGATACCTTCAAAAACAAGTTTAATGCAGTTAGAAAGCGAATTGAAATAACGATATTATAGGTACGAACTGTTTGTAAGACTTCGCTTAATTATAATGTTAGGCATTGTAAAGTATTGTCAAATATTGCCTTATCAATAGCGCTAAACACCTTTCACTTAAGAAGTGATTTATCGAAGTAACCCAAATTTGCACTCTACTGCGAGGAATTATTGAGGAAAGCTGAAATAATTTCTTTAGTGATATGCAATCTTGAGAAGTTACAACCGGAAATCCATAGTCCACCTTCATTTGATGCAAGTCTATTAAGGGCAAGTGCTCGATAACAAATTGTTGGTCTAAAATTAATCCAATATCATAAGCTATTACGCAGAGAGATCTTCAGAGAGCTGTTTAATAATCTAATTTTAAATTATGTACATGTATGCATAGTATACAGTACAGTAAATGTATGTTTGTATATATGGCATTTGCTAGCATCTTAGAAGTACATAGTCACTGCACACCTTTCAAAGCTCCCTTAAGACTAGCAGTCATAACAATTAATAATGTAAGACATTGCTTCGGAATTTCTTTTGGGCGAATAAAACCATGCCAAGTTAGATTCCTTAAATTTAATCCTTGTGGGGAACCTATTAACAAGTAAAAACAAGATATAGCAGTTGGCTCAAACAGCTCCGTTAACTGAGAGCTCCTGAGGAGATCACGTAGGAATCTTGGGCGTTCAGTAGTCGGTGCTGCGCTTCCAATGATATCGATGAGAACCCGTTCAGTAGCAGCAGTAAGTAGCGAAACACCTACGTAAATATGGAAGGAAAGACAATAAAGAAAGCCTCAAATAATATCCGTTTGTTTCTTTACAAAGCTAAGGATTATTTTGTCGTCTTAGCCTGGTCCGTGAATGCCAGTTTGTGATAAACATTAAATTGGCTTATAACGAATACTTTTACATTCATTCTTAAGTTAAATATAAAATTAAATACTTTTCTAATTATAGTGCAATAAATCTACAATTCGCAAACACTCATTGATTCAATACGATTTCATATTAACTAAGTTAAAAGCTGTGCCTTTAAATTGACACTCGGTAGACGAAATCTATGCAGTAAAATTTACATACGAATATGCAAAGGGGTATAATCATCTATACTATATACCAATAGGATCGAATCAGCCAGTACAGTACTTTTCTTTCCCCGACTATCAGCCATAGGCAGATTAATTCAGGCGTACCGAAAAGAAATACTATTACCGTGCTATATCGCAGTATAACGTATTTCACTTCTACTAGAGTAAAAAGTACATTTATTAACGGTAAATTATGTCGGAAGATATAGACTTACATCACTACATTATACTACGCGTATTTTCTTCCTGATTAGGTCATTTTTATTTGTGAGACGAGGTTGAATGATGTACGTACAAACGTAGTATCAGTACAAGATTGTAAATCTACCTAATAGGCAGTCAGTATCATCCACAGACTTCAGTAACAAAATCAGTTCTTTGAAAGTCTTCACGAATTGATTACCAAGCCACAAGGTACAAGGAACATACCATTTTAGCATCTGTTCCACACTTGCAGATGCTAAATCATTATGAATTTGGTAAGCGATTTTTGCTATAGATATGATAGCTTCCTTAAATTTTCCATTGGGCTTAGCATTGAATTCATTACTATTGTAGCCACTACATTCATATCTATACAGCTCAGATATAGATGGTAAGTCTAAGTTTTTCCATATGATTAATCGATTGTTGACATCCAAGCAAAAATAGTCGGAATGGATGCTGTGGTGTAAGGAAGAGTAAGATGTATGAAAGATTTGTATTAAATTTTGCACACTATCTGAAAGTGCACTGTACTCATCATTTTTGATAGCAGGTATGTCCAAAAAATCATTGTCAATTTGATTATTCATATTTTTTTGGATAATTTCTGACATTTTTAATATCTGTTAATCTTGATCCCCATAACTTTCTCACATATTCTTAAATTGTATCCATATCCATTCTACTCTTATTAATTAACCAAAGGCTTAGAAATTATGTTTAAATGCCCTATCATGAACCTTTGACACGTCTAAGTATCTGGTCTTTGTCAAGTTATGTACTGTACTGTACAGACAGTACAGTACAGTATTTCTGTTAATCATAATAATTAATTATTATTAATAATATACCGTACACTGTAAGTAACAGTACAACAATTAAACAATTTTGCTATAACATTAACATTACATTAAACTGTATTATCAACAACGCTGCTGTACAGTACAATTCTAGCGTACGGTACAGTACAGTACATTGTACAACATGTCATCAACAAACAGACATACTGTACTGTATGAACTACGAACGCCTGCAGACGACAGTACTGTACTGTACTGGGTATTTCTTTTAGCCTGCAAAGTACAGTACAGTACGCTTATCTTATACTGTATACTGTACAGTACAGTATTCTTCGAATTAAGATAAAATAAAATAAAATTTAAAATTTATTTGTTACATTAGGGTTGGTATCGTATCGCGGAAAGTAAAATACGATCGTGGTAAAAGTAGGATATTGTCCATCCATTCTACGTACTCATTATTTCTCTCATTTATGCACTGTATGTACGCGTACACTTTGATACCACACACGCAAACTACTGTAGTTGCACACTTTGCAGAATGAACGACGTCCCAATACTTCAGCAACCTCCAAGTTACTATGATCCGCCAAGTTATGGTACCACATCGAATAGCTATCGTGGAAGCAATGGCCTACATCGAAATAGAACCCCTGTATGCGTCGCTCAGATGGACGAAGAAGGCTTATCCGATTTTATGATCTCTCATGCTTGCCTGTGCAGTATTTTACCTCCATTTTCATGTTTGTGTTTGCAGCCTTTACGGGTTTTATGTTGTGCCAAGAGTGAGGGCCTGCGCCAAGCACAAGCTACTCGTTTGGTACTATATACAGATGAGTTGGAGTTGCAGCTGGATAGTTACTGCCAATGCTGTGCATGCGTTGGTGCTGGTCCTGCGCCACGACCAGAGTCTGCGGGTTTGTCTACTGTTCTCGTTAATGTTAGATAATAATTTAGGTTTAATTAGTGTTTATCTAAGATTACTGGTTTAGTTTACTATTCTGCAGTTGAAATCTGTCTAAGATTTTCGTATTTGTGTGCGTCGGTGGATGATGCAGTACAGACTGTACACAGTTGTGCACTTGTACGTACAGTACACTGGTCGCGAGTTTACGAGTTGCATACTGTACTGTACGCGCAATAAACGTACGTATAAAAACAGTACACGTACAAAATAAGTTCGAAAAGCATGGCATCAAGAAAACTTTATCTTTATAGAGCGTAACATGTCTATGTTAATTTAGTATAGTAGTTTTTTAATTCAGTACTTATCGGACAAGTATAGTTGTGATTCTCATACGTTGATGCCTATGCAATTATAAATTCCTAGCTTATACTAGCGCTAAGTTATGCGGTACCGTTCCAATATTTAAGATACAGTAATAGAAGTAAAATCAAAATCTGCATCTGTCACTGGTGATAATGTATCTTTTAAATAAATGAACTATCATTATGATCAAATGATAGGTCTATGCGGCGAAACTGGAAAGATGATCAAGATTTTACCATTAGATCAAATTTCTCAGATTACTGTCTTCAATTACTGGCAACTAAACTCGATTCGTATTGTATCTGCAACCCCTTTATTTACTATGGGCAAGGATTCTTCCATTGTAACGATAAATGGAATTGTCGATGCAGAAGAATTTGCGGCAGCAATACTGAATCAAATGAAAATTGTAAAAAATTATCGGCGAAACTATCCAGAACCGTCCGGAAATGTCTAGAAAACTTTCAATAATAAGTTTAAGTAGTAGTATACGCGTATACCTTTGTAGATAGAAAACGTCCAATTTACACCTCAAGTATAATACGCGTATATCGCATTCCTATTATTACAATATACGTATACATATACGCGTATCATAGAATATGTTAGATTAACATTTTCTTTCTTACTTTATTAATGTATACTCAGATGTGATAGCTTTTAGCTTTTACTAGCAACGAATAGAGAAGTGCTCAGTGGTTTTTGTATTCATAGTTTATGATTATAGCAACGAAAGTTAGTATTCCGAACAAAGTTAAACTTTGTATCATCGTATTCCAGATGATATTGGTAGTTGATTATAATTATAGCTTACAGAAATTATCGGACTTATATTTACGATTAGTACCTGCAGTGAAGCCCCAAATAAGCTTGAGACTAAGATTATTGCGGAGAGGGTATGGTGAAAAGGATGTGACTGACAGAGAGACCAACTTTCGCTTGAGTAATCCATGTCATTGTACAGTACAGTACATACCGTACTTTACTCAGTGTACTGTACAGTAGAGTGTAAACGGGCTAATTTACAGTATATGATTTTTATGAAAGCAAATATATAAAAAATTTTTTGTTTCTTTAATAAATTTTATATCTAACGAAAGAAAATGAGTTGAACTACAATTTATTTATACGGAATGTCGGTGTACAGTAGCCACAGCACAGTACGTAACAGTATACTGTTAATGGAGTTGAGTGTGCATCGTTTGAAAATAACGACTGTGTGCACTATTGTCTGGTTCGGGCACAGATGATTGGTTTTATTTGAACCACGCATACTCGTATACGAGAAATTCGAAGGCTGACTGTTTTGCTATTCATTTCTACAGCAGCTGCCACTTTTGCAATCTTCTAAGCAAAATAGTTAGATTACAGTATTCTGTATACTGTACAGTACTGCGCAGTTTGACTGCTATCATTGATACCATCTATGTATGAATCATGGTAATAACTCCTACTTGTATTATTTTTCGTTTACTGACGATGTACTAGTACAGTACAGTACAGTACAGTAAAGTTTTAGAGGTCTTCAATGACTCTTCATAGTCCGGTCTGCAGAATAGAATGTAAAGATGGACCTACTGTACTGTAGACCATGATCAGTGATCGGCATACAGGTGGGTGGAAAGTCATTTGAGATTTCTAAGTGTATTATTAGGATATTTTCCACACATTTTTGTTGTAATCATATAGAGTAAAGCTTATCATACTGTACAGTACTGTACAGCGATAAGTTTGGTCATGGACTACTCTACAGTACTGTACTGTACAGTACTAGTAACTAGTACGGTACAGTACTAGGAAAAATACCTGGACTGGAAACTTTCCTCGGACAGATGGACTTTTCGTACTAGATAAGGCCGAAAATGTGGAAAAATAGTTACTCAGTACAGATCTTCCGTGTCTGTTTTCTAAATCACTCGTGTTAATTTGAATTTGAACAACATTCATGATCTAAAGTTAATGTTTCTAAGCAGAGCTTAGTAACAGGTAATGGTACGCAATCTAATATTACTTAATTTAGAAAAAATCAGTCAATTCAGAATCGACTGTTAGCATACTAAAGTAATGTCATAATGAAGTGTTTGACACAATTTATTGACCAAATAAGGCTAAGTGTCTGTCCGTCCAAACGAATTTCCGGTCCAGGTATTTTATCTACTAGTCCATGGTTTGGTACGACATAGTGGCAGTACAGTACAGTACAGTACACGAAATATGGGCTATGGCGGCTTCTCGCAGATTGGCAATCTTTTGGAATAATTTGCGTTCTGTATCTGATGCTTCGAAATACAGTACTGTCAGTACAAAAGGTGATGTCTTATGAGGTTTGCTCTCTCCCTCCTTAATGCATGAACTAAATGAGCAGTACTTCCCCTCTACCGTTTTAACATTGAATTTTAGTTGCAAATTAGGAGTAAGCGTTGTTACAGCAAATGAAAGTAACAATATTATATTATTAATACGAGCAAAAGGCATATTAGAATGATTGTATAATTAGCTGTAAGTAAGCTGTATCTGTCTTTAATCTTTCGTGATTTTACATTTTACATGTTGTACTACTCTACCATAATCATGATATTTATTAGTGTTACAGTACTGTATAGCTATTGCCAGTAATTTATAATGAATATATATACGAGTATATATAATCAACATACAGCATACATTACGTTTATCTCCTGCTGGATACCTAGAACGGAAGTCTTAATTTTATTGTACTTCTACTACTATCCGATGTTCGTATTCCGCAAAATTATAATTATTTAACTAAGCTAGCGGATGTCTAGGAAAGCAATTTGATTCCTGATTATAAGCGTGCTGTGCCGTACATTCGTTGTACATTATCAGTACCGTGTATCTAGGCTTTATACTTTACCTCAATAAGAAGTAACCCTGCTCTACTTCTGTTAGCTGCACATTTTGATCTGGTCGTGATCGGTGGAGGCTCTGGAGGTTTGGCATGTGCAAAGGAAGGTAAAGCACACCGCAGTATATGAAGTACTGTATAATCATGTACAATCAGTCTTTTATGTGAAATATAAGTCGGATCATCCACAAGTCTTTCTTGTCACTCTTTAGCGTCAACGTTAGGAAAGAAGGTGGCCATCGTAGATCACGTAGAGCCAACTGTTCACGGTAAATACAGTATTCTATACTTATGTATAATTAATTGATAATAGTGATAAGTAATATTAATAATTTTTATCGTTTAATGTCTGTATCCTTCAACTATCACTAAAATTTAATAGTTAGAGTAAAATTTAATTTAAAGATTTAAAAATTTTTTACAAACAGTAATTATAATTTGTAATCATCTCAAATACTGAGCGTAAGTGGGTTAAATGATGACACATCATCCTTACAGTCTATTTGTGATATCGACGTCAATATGACTGGACCTTCTGTCCAGTACAGTATCTATTAAATGCAAATTTAACGACAAAATTTATACATATTTTACTAAAGGCACAACATGGGGATTAGGAGGAACCTGTGTGAACGTTGGTTGCATCCCCAAGAAGTTGATGCATCAAGCAGCATTGCTTGGGCAATCACTTCAAGTAAGTTAAAAAACTAAAAGAATATAACAGAAAAAGTAAACCGTCAGCTTTTACGTAGCATATTAACATGCTAACAGCTAAGAAACAAATTTAATAGGCGATTACATTATAAATTCACCTTAAAAAGTGATCTATTTAAAGACTTTAAATAGATTTATTCAAGACAGTTTATATTATATTAGGATGCTCGACACTACGGTTGGCAGTTACCATCATCGTCTTATGAACATTCGTGGTAAGAGATCGATATGGCACAGTACTTTAATTGAGTACAGTAGTGTGTGAGATGAATTTTTTCTTATCCCTATATACCAGTCATTTCCGTATGTATTATTATTAAATATAATTTTATAGGATTGTACTACAATACTGAATGAGAACTTTATGCTTTAGGGAAACTCTTAGAGACGGTGTACGAAATTACATAAAATCTTTGAATTGGGGTTATAGGGTTCAGCTGAAAAACAAGTAACAGTTGTTGCACCATTTTTTATTATGCTACGACTTGATTGTTGAGTAGTGAATGCAAGCCTGAGATGACATCATTTTATGATTTTAAAATAATAGAAAGATAGACTATCTAAATGGCAAAGGAACTTTTTTAAGTCGTCACGAAATAAAAGTTGATTTAAAATCCGGTAGTAAGGTGATAAGATTTTGAAGTATTAAAAATTTAGATATACGCGTTCTGTACTGGTATCATGGTGTAGCGGGCTTCTGATCAGTGCAGTGATCACGAGAGAATCTGTTTTAAACTGGTTTATATAGAAGGATAATGATTCAAATTAAATTCATGAATAACTTCACACAAGTACTGTATCACTGTTTGTTAGATCTTATCTGCAGACAACTATGTAATTGCAGTTGGCGGAAGACCTCGTATTCCTAATAATGTACGTCCATCATAAATAATTATTTCGGTATCACTAGGCATACTATACTATTATCACGTTTCTTATTCATAGATCCCTGGAGCTCGTGAATACGCGATATCAAGCGATGATCTATTTTCTTTAGATAAAGCCCCTGGAAAAGTGTAAGTTGTATGTCTGATTCCTAATCATTTACTAAATGATTGCAAAACTTTATCAATAATATGTACCCTAATCTTACCTGCAGTTTGATCATTGGAGCTGGATGTAAGTCCTCTGCTATATAGCAAACAGTTTGTACCATATTTTTGCTTAGCATTTCTTAAAACCTATCTAACGAATATTTTATACTGAACAACTGTTATGCATCTACTAGCACTATGCACAAATAAATAGTTCGTAATCGAATGTAGCTATTCCTAGTAGTAATGATGTGCACCGAATTGACTTAGATATAGCCTTGGAATGCGCGGGCTTTCTTTCTGGTATTGGTTGTGATACGTCTATCATGGCTAGATCAATATGTTTGCGTTCATTCGATCAGGTAGAGCTCCAAATTACAGATATGCAAAAATTGATAATTGCAATCATGTCTAGGATAGAAATATCAATCAAATGAACGCTTATTACATCCAGGAATTTAAATATTGCGACGTATTATAGTTCTACACGTAATAAATCAAGTATAGACTTCAATTTTCAATAATCACTATGTGTACGTAATAAAAATCAATAGATATTAAAGATTAAGTGAAAAATGTTGTTAAGATGGTTCAATGGCTGCAGAGCATAGTACAAAGGTTGATTTTCAGCTATGTAGTAAACTATTGTGTCTTACTCGTACTGGCATTGTTCATTATTTTTTGTGTAATTACAGTACATCAGTAAGTATCAAAACGTGAAATGAATAAAATACACTTATCAATGCAAGATTACAAGCGTTGCCAAAGTATAGATTGATGTTGTTTTTAAATTTTATTTAAAGGATATGGTATCTCTAATAACTGAGAATATGGAAGAGGAAGGCATTTCTTTTATCCGTAAAAGTCAGCCTTTAAGAATGTCTAAGACAACAGGTGATAAAATTGAAGTTGAGTACGAAAACACTGAAACTGGCTTGAAGAGCATCGTAAGTTATAACTCTACAGTTAGATGCCCACCAGTTACAACATTAGGGTCAATTAGATTTCAGTTTTAAATTAATCTCTCTCAAGAAATTAACGGTTATCTCTATCGTCCAATAGGGCCTTTATGATAACGTAATGTTTGCCGTCGGTATGAGATTAGAAACTACATGTTGGAAGTGATGCTCCATTTACAGCGAATTAATGCAATAAATATTGTGTACATTTTATTTCTTTTACTGCCGTTATAAGGACGAGATCCTACAACAGCGAGTTTAAATTTAAATGTCGCGAATGTTAAAATACATCCCGAAAGTAAAAAGATATTAGCAGAAAACGAACAAACTACATGTCCAAATATTTATGCCATTGGCGATGTCTTGCATGTAAATCAAACTCTAAAATTATATTAATTTAACATTCCCATATAGTACTTCTTAACAGTATTACAGATGAATATGGCATTGTATGAATTAGGGAAAACCTGAGCTAACTCCTGTAGCCATTCATGCAGGCAGACTTCTTGCCAGAAGACTCTGCAATGTGAGTTCAACACAAATGGATTATGCACAGGTTAGATGACCAAGTAGCAAGTTCTCTTTACTATGTCTGTATTTCATTTTCTAATTTATCTGTATAAAAAAGATTACATTTCTTCATATCTTGTAAGTTGTAACTCATTCTGTGTAATTAATATTCAGATTCCTACTACGATATTCACTCCTCTGGAATATGGGTGTATTGGAATATCAGAAGCAAAAGCAGAAGAACTTTATTTTAAAGAAAACATTGAGGTTAAACGGAATGTGACTATGTGAGACGCTTGAAAAAGTTTCTCTTAGATACATTTTAAACTTACTGTTAAGATTTACTAAGTGTATTATCTAATTTAAGAATACTTTCCTTTGGCAATATGTGTAAGTAGGTTTATCACGCTTTTTATCTTCCTCTGGAATACGCTATTACGCAAAGAGTCTGTAAACAATGTTATGTAAAGGTAACTACAAACAATTTTTGTTACAATTAGAGTATTTACAATACATGCTCTGCCATTTTATTTATAAGTCACATAACTATTCTTATCAACTAATTCTAATTTCTTTGATTTGCACTGTTGCTGATAAGGCAGTTTGTCTTAAATCAGACAATGAGCGAATAATTGGATTACATTTCTTAGGACCTAACGCCGGTGAAGTTATACAAGGATTTGCAACAGCTATGAAGTAATGCAAAGCTTTTATGATGTGTACTCTAACGATTACACAAGTGTTTACTGTACCGTCCTATGTTAAAATTTCTTGATGTTGCTAGATTAAGATAATCTACCTATACATCTACAATAATTGATGCTAATTAGTACATTTACTTATCTGCAAACTGTATCCATAAATATTAGGGGCATGAAAGTTAACAAAGTTTCTATCTTGTCGTCTAATAAAACACAGATGCGGAGTTACATATGACCAAGTTGTAAATACGATCGGTATTCACCCAACATGCGCTGAGGAAGTTGTCAAACTTAGAATATCGCGCAGTTCTGGAGAGGATCCAACAGTAACAGGCTGCTGAGGTTAGTTGTCGCATCTGAAACCATTGCGTGTGCTTCACCAGATGCGACAAACTGTTGAACATAAAAGTTCTAAGATTTTAATTGTTTAGATGCAACTATTGAATGTCTAAAAAGTTGTGTTTACTTCGACGATAATCATAACGTTAAACGGCTAACTCAATTGACAATCTCTAGTTGTTAAACGAATAATGACTGCAAGAATTATAATTATATTGCCAAAATGACGATTTTTTTGTAAATTCTCCTTGAGAATAAATTAAATCTGATGCACGGTAGATTATGTATCGCAATACTGTTATGCTTCGGAAGAATCACATTAACACATTAAGGGCATGTGATTCCTTTAATTGAGCAATGCTTAATCAAATTTTAAAAATAAAATTCAACTAACTTATCAATTTGCAAGACGCAATCGCGTAGTAACTGTTTTATCTTGTATGATTAATGCATTCCTAATCAGTATGATAACGAAGTTATAACAGTCAGTATTACAGACTTTCCTGTGGATACTGCAGTTGTTCTTTGAGCATGTTAACGTAGTACATGTATATATGCACTTGATACCGTCCTATTATGTGCTTCCGTTATTAATCAATGGTTTCATTCCTACACATTGCATGTTCTTACGGTCTTAAAAGAATCTAATTTTTACAGGTCTATTACACATTACCGTAGCTTGTAACTAACTTATAATGATTTTTCGGAAGATTGTAAGAGCGCATAAGCAATTACTGCAATCTTTATACACCCGAACAGGCGTCACCTGTCAATGTTGACAGCTGTTAAAAGTAGTTACTGATCTGAAAAATAATATTAGTAGGCATTAACCTTAGATGTATGTATTTACCAATCTATCAAACTATGACGGCTTCATAATACAACTTATACAGTACAATAAGTAAAATTTCTACTATAGATTTTTCAATTGCTTAGTTGTTGCTAGAGTACAGTATAAACTTTACACCTTAGTTAAGTATTGTACTCCATATCTATATATACGTACAAGTAGTAATATCATCTTTATCATATAGTTACAATTGCTGGGGTAGTATTAGATATCTGGAATTTAAAATGAACGCTAATCTAGAAATTAATATAGGCAGTTTACATATTGATACATCGCTCAATATTCTTTAAAGGTGTTGACAGCTAATATTCAGATTACATCACCTTTTTAATAGTTATCATAATGATTGTAAATAATTTATTTACCAATAAACTTACAAAGACCTTATATGGTAGATAATCTAAATTAAAAAATCTATTTCAAGATACGCAAATAACGTAAATATATCATAATTACACAAAAAGATATTAAAATCTCAAAATAAATAAGGTACGTACAAATAAACATCCTTTTGATAAAATTTTATATAAACTACCAGGAAAACTACCGTATTTAGCAAGAGTTTTCTTCCCTATATACACATGTGACAGCAGCTTCGCTAGCACGCATTTTGAGAAAAAATTTATTTAGAAACAAAGTTTAACTTGATGACCATACTAAAATTTAATAGATTCGAATCGTTATGAAGTGTGGGATAATCAATTGACTTACAATTAACTCTGCATGTATGCGAATCTGGGCAGCAGTAATGATGCTGTACTTTAATAGCTAAACTTGCTACGTACAGTAATGGTAATATAGTCTTTAAATGCAAATTCGAAACATTGTAACGGTTTAATGTCAATTAATAGATTGAATTTCATATGTATCAGGGTTTACATGAAGTTCATATCGTAAATAGCGAATAAGAGTTAATTTAAAGCTATTGTTACTCACTAACTGTAGAAATATTCTCATTAAAGTTTGAGCGCTGAAGTTCCTAGTCTTCCTCAGAGAAAAGCTCAATTCTAACCGAAGCTAAACCTTGTGAAGGTTTTATGCTATTCTTCCCCTCCATCTTTGTTAAAGTAGACGATCTAGAATATTTTATATCACAATTTTCTTTCTTTGCTGTACTCATTTTATAACCAAACTGCTGACGAAGGTTGTAATGTGTAGGTGAGCGAGTCACTCTCTCCGGTGTCGCCTATGAATTACAGTTCAGAAAATTTCTTTTATATCGAATAAATCATCATCTGAACGCATATCACTAACCATATCACTTTTATACGTACAGTATAATAAAATTGAAAGGAAGGGATTTAATGTAAACCAATGTATGCTAGAAAATTTTAAAATCAACTGCTGTCTAAGTAATGGATTACTTTTCCAACCGATAGTTCCGCTATCGTAAGCCAAAAATATTATCAGTATACACGAATTGAAAACTACGGACTTACCACATCATCTGGTATTTTTTCAGTATGTTTGACTACAGATTTCGGTTTCGGTATGGTATGTGTTTTCGGACGCGAAATTGCCTTTATTTCAACATCACTTTCACAGTTATCCGAAAGGCCACTATCGCGTAACTTAGATGAATGCTTAGTTTTAATTCTAGCTGGATGCGGTTGCCTATTGTTTGTCTGTTTATATAAATGCTTATTGAAAATCTTGGCAGAAGAATTACTAGCATCTGTGCGAGATAATCTATCTACTTCCTTTGCTAGAACTAATTTGTTATCTAGGAGGACTTTTATTTCCATATTTTGCTTGGCAATTTTTTCCAGCAAAGCGTTGTTAATTTTCGAATAATCGCGATATTTTATATAAGAAATCACAAGGATCGTGAAAGAGATCCCAATGAAGATTCTTCTGCATATCCACGTTGTACTATAAATTATTTCCTATAGACGCGAAAGGCAAATAAATATTAGAATCAGAATATAACTGAATGATAAATCGCTACATTGGGTATATATTCCCTTCCTAACCTTGGCTTTGCTATCCACAGGTACAGAACTGTGTAAAATTGCCCCGAGTAATCGTTCAAATATTACATTAATAGTTAAAACTATAAACAACCAAATTCTTGCATTAGCAGTGGACGGAGTAGTAGTAAGTAAATACGCTAATAAGATACTGATTACATAATAAACGCCAGTATAGATGGTAGAAAATTCTCCAAGAAGTAGCATTTGGAGCGAAGTTAAGTACTGTAAGTTATTTCCAATTCTAGAAAACGCTCCTTGAATTATACGATAATTCTCTAGGGCGATATTGTTAGTCTTTGCCAATGTATTTGTCATGTCTTCACTAGAATTTCTTATCGATTCTTTTAGAATTCTTTCATTTTGAATTATTAACCTTTGATTCTCTAGGGAATTATTTTGCTTTTGTAATACCTATAAAAACATTAAAATAGGTATAGCAAGTATTTTATTAAATCAGTCGATGATTAACTGTGGCGAATCTGATTTTTAAATAGCCAAAGTATTTCAGTACATAAAATATTATAAAAATTGTTCTTCATGCTAAAATCGGATCAACATTGATCCCCGAAATCTTTTATAGCCGTGTTCATTAGAAATAAAAATAATAACGTTTGAGTGTATCAACAATTGTAATTATGAGTATAGAACTGTTGACTAATTGAGCAATAATGATCACATTATACATGTTTGCATGCAGAATACTGCTTCAGTTTACTACAGCACTTAACGAGTCATCAGACTCCTCACCGATCATTCGTCAATCGAATAATACGCTTAATCTATCATAAATATACAGAAGTTTATTTGTGTGGCTAACCTCTTCATGGTATCGTAACGACTGCTTCAATTTCATAGCTGTTTCAATGGAAGAAACCGATAGCTGATTGATAATTAATTCAGTATCTTCTTGCCATCTCTGATTTCTGATGAAAAAACAGATACTAATTGCATTTGTGAAGAATTCAGTGTAGATGATAAAGTCCGCTTTATCCATGGTACGGGTGCATTCTTCGATAGATTGATTGTCGGAGCATGGGAATGTCGGACGCCCAGATCGAGCTAGATGGCAATTAGTCAGAGCGATAGCTAACCTTGATTGGTCGACTGAAGAAAGATGCTTACAACCACTGTGAAATTGCATCAAGGCTTTATTCCAACATTGCGATGTTTCGCTCCACTTCTGTAAGCGATTAAGGTGTTTCTGTCCATGGCTGATACTTTCACTAGATACAATTTCGAAGGCTGGCTGTTCATATTTTTTACTCGTAAAATCTGAATTACAAATAAGTGACAATCCAAGCAAAATAGTAGCACCTAAAATTACTCTATAACTGTGATAGAGTCTTCCGGCAAGTTCCATCGTTGTACGTATTAATTAAGAGGGTTCATAAAAGTTAAGAACGAAGTTGTCGCGCAGCATGTACGAAGAAGAATAAATAATTTGATATAATCAAAACTAATGCCTTAATGAAAGAATTATGTACAGTACAGTACAAATAGTGTATGACCATGCACTGTATCTTTCCCGTAGTAAACGTATGGCACAAAGTCGGATTTAAGTGTAAGTAATTGAAGATATTTGTACAAAATTTCGGAGTGGAAAAGAATAAAGTTGTAAAAAGCTAATCATGTTTATGACAGCAACTGCACAGTACAGTACAGTACGTTAACTACAATTTGTGCCCTAATCAGGGATTTTTTCTTAGACGTCCCAGAATGTCCTGGCTAATACGTAGGATTTTTGTGAAAGTGTACGCATGAAAATTTTTCTTTCTTTAATAAATTTTATACTAAACGAAAGAAAATGAGTTGATTTACAAGGATCTGTCGTCAAAATTTCTGTATAACGTTTAATTTTTTCATAATTTAAGTTTAAAGATAAACCGTTATTTCGAAAACTACAGTACGCAGTATAGTAAACAGTGATGGTACTGTACAGTACAGTACAGTACTGTATAAACTAGTGTACAGTACAGTACTGTATGTTTATTTACACTATTATACTGTACTGTACAGATTATTTACTCTACAGGATAATAATAAAAATGATTTTAAATGAATCAAATTTGAGAAATTAATTTTTTAAAATAGCGCTTACATTGCTGTCGAATTTTGATTGGCCTGTGATTTGTACGGAAGACAGTACAGACGCCAACCAAGTCGAATCGAACCTGTTGAATTTACTGTACTGTACAGTACTATAGTTATATAATAAGTCTATAATAATAAGTGTATCCAGGGACTACTCAATCAAAATTGTACCCCGTTGCATAAAAATTGTCACCCATACTCTATAAAGATGAGAGCTCTTTCTAGAGTATGGGTGACAATTTTTATGCAACGGGTACAATTTTGATTGAGTAGTCCCTGGTGTAAAGCTACAGTGTCATGGTCTATGGACTAGTGTACTGTACTGTACTTATTACAGTACGGTACATACAGTGTATACTGTACGGTGTACAATACTGAATTCAGATTACTGACACGGTGCACTACCAGGGGAGGTTTCGTAGAACATGGAAGGTGCTAAAGGTAGCGACAAGCCGCGACCTCCAGATCCAATTTATGTACTTCGCAGTATTAAATCACCTGTAACAGATTTAAATATAGCTCTTTTAAGCAACATGCAGGTTATTTTTTGTGGGTACTGTATACGTATCCATGCTCGATAAGTTTAAGTTTTAAGTTTATAACAACAATCATGTTGAATCATTACAGCAGAAATAAGCTATAAGCAATCATCTATAGTATTGAACACTGTACTGTATACTGAGTAGCCCATAGCTATAAAATGGCATTTTTATTCATACTTACAGTCGTTTCGATGGTCAAATAGAACTATGGAACTTGGAAAGCAAGCGCGTTATGTCGTCTATCAATGGGCATGGATGTTCTTCGGTTAATGCTATTGGATATCTATACGCTGAATATTTTTATAGGTACAGTACTACCGTACACTATAAACAACGTACATATCCACAATATTTCCTACATCTGTAACATTTTTTAATATACTGAACACGTCAGTCATGGAAGGGATGGTAAAGTTAATGTTTGGAATTTATGCGGCGGCGGAATCGATAAGGTATCTTCATTTGCGTCCGAACTGACTAATTTCTGCAAGGCCTCTACTTTCTCTGATGGTATGTAAAATATTGTAAACGTTATTATACTATATCTGGCACTAGTTGCTTTTTAGCTATTACGTTATGATATAGCTTGTGATCTTACAAGTGGATTTATCTTAGATAATCTTAACATCATCAAGAGCTGTTGCAATGAAATTAAGAATTGGATTGCACTGCCAGGTCCTGATTCTGAGGTAGTCTTGCTTTATTACACTACTCGTATTCTTGTATGTATATTGTGCTATCAATTACAAGAGTGTATGAGCCTGCTTTAATTCATGTGAACCAGATTACTATCAAAAATATTTGGAATGGTGAAAATGTGCATAAATTAAATATATCAAATGATGGTGGGCTTGGTAAGTAAATTAACACCAGAATTGCTATACTCTAATAAATATTAATGTTTCATTTGCTTAAAGTATATAAACATTATATCGTCGCGTGCTGTATATGCAGTATGATATAATCAGACAGAGGGTTAAGAACCGTACGATGGTAAGTTCAGCTAATAATTACTACTGATTCTACTATACTATAATATCAAGGCATGTGCATGTACAGTAAATGCATAGTAAACGAGCATTATGGTAGACCGTATATCATGGCCGGATACGAATGTGGAGACATAATTCTCTGGGATGTCGCTGAGCGTAAACCATTATGTCAAAATAAGTGCTTTAATGAACCGGGTTAGTGACGCTACTGCTGCTACTTTTCAATATCGGTTCATTTAACTTCATGTTTAATTTGAATGAATTATCATTGCAAGAGAAAAAATTAACAGAGTAGTTTACTTCTTATTCAGTAACTTGTTTAGATTTAACTTCAACATATGCACACGGCTTGGTTGGATCGGTAGAAAGAGCAATTACAACCGTGGAAATAAATAACATGGTTCAGTGTTGTCTATTTATTAATGAAATTTCTTAATAGTATACACTACAAAAAACTTACAACGCTAAAAATGATTTGCAAGCGTTAGTGACTAGGATACTTATTTCTATACTACCTCAATAATAATTATAATAGGAAACCTTAAATGTTAAGCGTTCCGCAATTACCATAAAAAATAGTGGTCTAAATGACATAAAAATTCGACCTGATAATAAACTGGTTGCAACTGCTGGCTGGGATGGAAGGTAATATTTATCAACTGTATCTTGGTTATTTATAAGTAGTTGCGTTATCGTTTGCTTTAAATACTTCGATCGCATTCCGTTTTAAAAGTGTCCATAAACTAAGCATCTCTCAATTATAATTATTTAATGTACACTCATTAATTTTTTCGGTACATATATGTTTCATGGCGAGGTAGGATTCGTTTATTTAGTATGAAATCATTGAAAGCACTTGCAGTTTTAACCTACCACACGGAAAGCATATCAAAGCTCGCTTTTTCCTACAATAACGCCATTGGATCGAAGCAGTTGCTAGTAGCTGGTTCAAGAGATGGCAGAATCAGTTTATGGTCAATTTATAATTGATATACTGTAGGTACTTCTCATCAATCGCATGCTAGCTGCCAAATTTATATCTAACACTACTGCCTTGTTTGGTTCCTTTCATGCTAACTCGGTTTTGTCCATTGAATGTAAATTATACTATGAATTACGTTTATAATATACAAGATATGTCCACTGTACATTCACTACTTTCTTATCTACAGTATAATTCAGAAGCCAACGAGCAAGTTTTTTTCCGTGTGAAGTTCTATTATTTATTTGTGCATTTAATAGCTGCAGTAATATACGTACATATCACGGGTTTTAATGACGTATTTTACGCACTAAAGTAGTGGTAAGTAGTACAATGTAATTCGAAAATTTTCGCAATAAAATACTAGAAAACAGTCTGCCATTAATTCTTGTGAATGAGGAACGGGCTATGTGATTCTGTTCATTAAAATATATAGTTATCTAACATAATTCTGAATCCACAATACATTAAAATAATAAATCTTCACGCACACAAGGGTTGGCGTTCATGAAGAATTAGCGGGCAATGATAGTCGCTTCTCTTTAAGTGATTCTACAATATTGAAAAAATATCTCATTTTCACCATAGCATCACGAGCAGCTAATAAATTATCTAAAGTTGGATAAATGCAAAGAAGAAATGCAGCATTAGAAATAGAAACAAATAATATCCTTATCACTATATTTTAGAGACATATCTACTTTTCACTGTTCATTTATCTTACGATCGCGAAAGCTGCTTGCACTCTTTTTGATGCAATCCTGTAATTTTCCTATGTGCACATGAAAAATGAGCAGTTAATCCGCTACATAAGTGATACAACTACTGCGTACTTAAACCATATATCGTTGTTACACCAATTACCTTGTACTTCATCTTCGATCTCGTCCAATAGTTTTACATCCTCACAATTTAATACCCTTTCATTGAGATCTAATATCACTGATAAGAATCCTACATCAGCAGTTACGTCCCTTTCTTCTAAACTAATACCTTCGAGTTCTAGCTGTAGTAATAGCGGTTGACAGCTGTTAATGCTCAACAAAGTAAATTGAAAGGCTTTACAAACGCCCCTACCATGTAAATACCGCGGCTTAACGGATGAGTTAATGTTTCGTAGGCTTCATTAATCAAAGCAGATTGTTGAGCCGAATAATCCTTTTCTTTCTTAGCAACAAAAAGATTGCAAGTTATCTACTATCATCGTGTATTACGGAGACAGAATCAATCTGTTTATCGCATTCAATTTAATTTGATTTGACGACGTTAAGATTCTGTGATTATAATATGAAATTACGAAGTATCCCACTCTATTCTGAACTTTTACTTGAAAAATATAATCATTACAATGACTAATTTACGTACATCGTACCTGAGATTTCTTAATAAACTTATCAGGATGCAACTCTGCTTGCAACTGTAAGAATGATTGCTTCAATTTTCTTAGATCCATGTCATATCTTAATTTACTACAACGAATACTTTCATGTTAATACGTTATTAAAATATCACTGATTTAAACTAGAAGAACAGTATAATAGTGAAATTTATAGTTATAATAATACAGAAACATGGATTATATATATTAAGCGGTAGTACATAACTATACTACCATTTTTACAGGGAACTGATTATAACTATGATATTAACTAGTACGACAACAAACACAATGATAAATACTATATGCATACCTATCAAAATAGCGAAAAAAAGTTACAGCGGTATTAGGGGGTTGAATCGCTACACAAGAATTGCAAAAAAAAATATCCTTTTGATCGATTTCTGATTGACAACTCCAGCAGGTCTTAACATTTGTTGAAAAATATGTTTGTTGTGCAATCGTTGTGTTTTTGAAGCTGAAATTAATTCGGTCTGTATTTCTCAGACCGGAAAAAGAAAGGTATCGTAATAATTTCGATTGTTGAAAACGTAGTATAGTGTTACTTTGTATGCCTATCAATTGATTGCTAATAGTAGAAATTGTTAAAGACATAGGATAGCGAAATAAAGCGAACCGAAACGTCATCGTATAACCAACCGTAGGCGAAAGTGAGCATCAATTATAATTATTATACTGTACGTATTAGTATACTGTATATGTTACTGTGAACGTACAGGATAACCGACAAGATGGTGAACGTATAGGCTGACCGGTGATATTATACGATTACCGGCTTCTTACACTAAGCGTCACATACTGTACAGTATACATGTATACAGTACTGTACTGTACTGTATGTCATATACTGTACTGTATATAACATACAGTACAGTATACTGTACAGTACAGTACTGTACGGTGCAGTGACATTGTTATCAACTTTCATTGCCTAAATTAATAGTACAGTACAGTACAGTACAGTACTAGTGTAGTTTTTCACTACTGCTTTGCAAAGCACCGGTGCTGAATGTACAGTACAGTGTACTGTACTGTACAGTACTTTACAGTACAATACAGTATACTGTACTGTACTGTACAGTACTGTAGATACAGTAGATCTACAGTACGCACTCCTGTACAGTACTGTACTGTACAGTATTTCCGTTCCGTTCAGCGATACAGTGTACTGTACTGTACAGTACAGTACAGTACTGTATAGTACTATACTCGGTAGCCAGACCTGGATACACTTGCGTACTGTAGTACAGTATAATAATAATAATAGTAATAATAATAATAATAATAATAATATAATTATAATAACGTTAATATTGAATCACATCTGAGTTAGGTTGTAAACTGAACTGTATTTGTTTCACAGCCGGATATTATACTGTAAAGCTAGTAAAATATCACTTGTAAATATGTTACTGTATTATCCGTACCGGTGCGTACCAGGTTACCATGTCAACAATACTGTACATTAACGATATTGCATGAATTTGTTCGCAACTTCATCGCAGTTAGCGTAAATTACTGTACAGTGTAAGTATATGCTGTAGAAGTATCATTTGTATAGTATTACTTTACATTTGATACTTTGATACTTACGAGTACATAGTACATAGTACATACTGTACTGTATACGTACAGTACAATAAAATAATTATGTTAATCATTAATTATAATTAAATATATATTTACAGTAGTTATTGTAACAACATGACACTATAACAACAATAATGAGCTCGCGCATTCTATCTGTATATACGGCATGCCCTAAGTAGTATATTTTATGCGATAGGACCTTCTCTGGTAACACTCGAAAGAAAAAAAAGAGGGAAATATTATAAGTGAAGTGGTATCTAGTATCATAGAATAACCTTGTATCATTAATTTTGAATGACTCAGTCATTCAAACTGGGATTTCATTGTAACCTGTGTTTTAATTCGTTTTACTATTGTAATGTCATCGTGCTCAAATATACTTATTAGCTTTTTCATATTCTTAATACGTTTAATACAGTCATCATAAAGTCTACGATCAGATCTACGAAAGGAACAAGTTTCATTAAGCTGTGCGATCACAACTGGCTGATTTCCACTCTCCATTCTAGAAATGTACGTAGTTACCTGCACTACCAAGTGTCTTACACTTATAATTCACAGCCATGCCGTATTGCACTCCGATTAAAACTTAAGGGCTTAATAAATTGCTAGAAATAGAAACAGCGACCAGATTAGAGAGATGCAACGAGAATTTTTATCCAGCAATGATGAGATAGAAGTAGAAGTAGCGAAGATTAATGAATTTGGCTGCGAAGAGTACGTATCCACAATAAAGTATTTAATTATATATTTCTATTATACGAAATCGTTTCAATAGTCATATTCTCCGTATCGTATAGCAAGCGCATCCGAATACCAAATTCACAAAAGTCGATATTTTAGCTCCTTGTATCGATATAATTTTCATCATTTCTGTAGACTTAATATACTGTATAACATTAATATTGTAACATATTTTGAAACAAATATTAAAGTTATAGTAACTCCGAACGAGAACTAGCATTCAGTTTACTCTGTAATTTAGTGATATTTTCGAATAAAAAACACGTCTACGCTACTAAAATTTAGAATGAGGTATTGCAGTACTTACGTAATTTTCGTTTAAGCACAACAGTCGTAAATTTTTCACATATACTACGCGTATAGCATGCTGTAAATACGATTGTTGCATACACCAGCAATAGAACTTTTATTTCGAAAACGCTTAGAGTCATGAATTACCTTGATGCATTTAAGAACTGCTTACAAGCTTAGTAAAGACTACTATCGGAATGATGAGAATTGTGCATTAAACTGTGTTACTTCATAAAAACTCTTAGCTTACTTTGCTGAAACTGTTATACTGATGAATATATAACTATGTCCTACTGCACCCTCTTTAAGCTATCGTACCGATACATCAGTATCGCTGTTTCAATCAAATATGGTAAGAATTTATGTTAAATGGCCAGATCTGTCGTGCATTTATACTTTGTTTCTTTACATTTATTTCTTACTTTGCAATACTATAAGTAGTTTGTTTTTAACAGTCGTAAAAGCCTTATAACAACTAGCTTGATGTCCTGTCGGTACTCTGACAGAGGCACCAAATTTAACTTTTCAACTTCATAGGCAGCTAAATATTATAAAATTGTAGTACTATGTATTGTAAAACAATACGTTAATAATGATATACGTATATCCGAGTGATCCTCATTTATCATTTCGAAATTATTTAGTATTACTGAAACATAACGTGCGAGGCGCATATCAATTCAACAGTACTGTATTACTGTTATGTATTATTATTATACCGTTCAGAGATCATATATAATCGTTCCTGGTTTGATGAGTAGTAGTTGTCGAAAACTAATCGCATAATACAGTGTCACAAAACAGCTCTATGCGCACTTATTACTAACTGTAGTACTTGTCTACGATCTCTGAACCATTTAAGGAATCAACAATAATCATTAGATTCTTCTCCTATAGTTACTGGAGTGCTAGACAACTACCGTTAGGATAAAAATGTACTTTATTGAAGAGGGAAGCAATATGGCCAAGTGCCTACACACACAAGACACAACAGTAAATGCTTGTAATATAGGTGTAAAATATCCTTACACTGATGCTAGCAAGCTTTACTCACGGAGAAAATTACACTTACGTTCAATTAACAATCTTGAGAATAATAAATCAATTTATAATCAGTCCACTTAATCATCAAGTAGAATAATTAACACCGATCATGAAGCATGCTCCTTAATGTAACAGTACATACAATTACATTTATTACCGTAGTAATTGCTTGCTTTCCATGTTATTTATCGATCAATTATAACGAAATATATCCTTATAAGTGACATCGTACTTAAAAAATTATTTTTTATTGGCCCCTATTCTAATGCTTCATACATCTTAATGAAAGATACTAATGTAATTTGCTATGATGCTGTGCAATACCAATTCTGCTTATTGACACCTTTATACCTACAGTATATAAGTATAATAATGCTACTCAACAAAGTTATAATTCTAGAGTTATTAAGCTACCTTAAACATATATATAACAGATTACAATGACAAGTAAATCTATTTAATATACGTGTATTAGTCAGCAAAGTCTAAATTAACAAGCTGCGAATAGCTCTATTAGTAAATTAACGAAGTCAACTAGAATCTATTGATGCATTACATCATACAAGTTCATTAAAATCTAAGCTTAAAATTTTAAACAATTAAGATGTATGTACCTTTTTACAAAGACAATCAGTAGCAAAAGAAAGAAAGAAATCGACCATATCCTAATTATTATATATTATCAATAGATTGTATTTTTAGTAAGGACAATTTCAATTATCTACGGCATCTAATCGATTAAGAACTTTAATTCTGAGAGACGTTCACAATACAGCATTCGTTATACCATTAACTTAGCTAATAAGGAATACCGGAGCTTATATAAATATACTAGGTTAAATTTTAGATTGTACAGAATTTCTTAATTGTGGATTCTTCTGAAAATAATGTAGTTCCGAAAAGTATGCTAATTAATTCGTAATTATGCAATATACGTTAATGCGAAGAAAAAAGTAAACATTTATTCTGGTTGCAGTAGTATCTAATTTCATATCAGTAAACTACCAATAATAAAATAAAACCCGTAGATTTTTGAAGGCTCGAGTTATAAAATTCATATGCTGACTTTAGATAAACATCAACTTCAATTTGCTTCTTTTCATATTCAGAATGAAAGAAGTAAAGGTTGGTGAGTACGGTTCAGTCTTATTGATTAGAGACAAAGCAGGAGATTTTTCGGCCATAGGAAGAAAATGTAGTCATTATGGAGCTCCTTTGAGTAAAGGTGCTCTATGTGATAATCACGTGAGATGTCCTTGGCATGGTGCCTGCTTTAACATAAAAACTGGTGATATTGAAGATTTTCCTGGCTTAGATAGTATACCAGTTTATAAGGTAATATTAATGACGATCCATATACATAGTAATTTGCGCTATGTAAATTCAAGGCATAAATATAGCCCTAATACTAATGCTTTATTAATGTAACGTATTGTCTAGCCTGATGTATAGATGTTTTGAAGCTACAAAAGTTAGACGTAGACTTATCTGCCAAGATATACGAGTATTACAGTACTTTGTACCAGTTGAAATAATTTAATGTACAATATTACACATTATAATGGTACGTTAGGCTTATAGCATGCAATTTGAGCTCAACGAATATAAAATTCTATATTATTAGGTCAAGATTAATAATGGCAGTGTCTACATCAGATGTCGCCGTCAGGTAACTGGATCTATCAAAAATTTGATAATTATGTTATCTTTGTTGATCTTGCTTCAATACTTTATCGCTAAATTTGTAAATGATAATAGTATTTAAAATAACTGTTAGCTGTTGCGTTTCCATCCATTTTAATCTATATGTAGCACATTGCTAATGACGTATATAAATCAACATTTATTACGATACATTTAATAATGCAATTTTAAATAATTCGTCTATAAAGTATTATTTTTATTCCTTGATGAAAGTATAACTGTAACAACTTACTAGGAACTATCGACAGCAAAGAGATTGCCCACTCTTACTAATTATCAACCTAATTTCGATAAACGAGTATTCTTTATTATTGGTGGAGGTATGAATTCTTTATACTCGTTTCTATGCACTCATCTTATGTCTGAATTTAAGGTTTATATTGCAACCTTTCATTACGTATTCCCTTAAGTTGTAGTAACCGTGGTAATTGATGAATTAACAATGCTGTAGGTCCAGCAGCATTATCATGTGCTGATACTTTAAGAAAGGAAGGTTTTCAAGGTCGCATCATCATGGCAACTCGTGAACGAAGTCTTCCATATGATCGTCCAAAACTCAGTAAAGCTCTTAGCAGTACTGCTGCATCGTTACAGTTACGTAGCGCTGAATTCTTTAAAGATACTGCAATTGAAGTCTTAACTGAATCAGAAGTAATAAACCTTATGAAATTGCTACTTTATTCCCCCTATTGAGATGAGTGACATCTGAACGCATCTTTTATTGACTCTTTTTTTAGGTTATAGGTCTAAATATCAAGACTAAGACCGTAACAATGAAAGATAACAGCATAATAATATATGACTCTGTCCTCATTGCGACTGGCAGCAAGTAAGTATTACACGGAGTTAATTAATAATCAATACTGCAGTATCATATGTCAACATTAATGCCAAGTGCAGTCTATGATTAAGTTCTGCGAACTACGTTAATACAGTACAGGTAATTTAATGTTATAAATACATTATGAAATTATATTATCCAAATTCTTTAGTCCACGTATAATGCATATAACTGGTTCACAAGCCAAAGGAATCTTTACTCTGCGAACTCCTGAAGATGGCAATGCCATAGGTAAGTTATGAGGCTACATAATTGAGTTCTCGTATATTAGTGCATACATGACTTTATCGATTACAGGAACATGCATTATTTAAGCGATGGTTGTCAGTAAGCTGTCGATGCACACATAGTTTGCATCTGATATCATAATTCAAAACTTTCTTTAATTATTCTTTGTATGTTTTTTTTAATATTAATTAATTTCATCAATGTTTATAAAGCATCGGAATCAAATGGCAAGAATGTAGTAATTGTTGGCAGTTCATTTATCGGTTTGTTATCAGCAAGCGAGTTAACATTTTAATATATTTATTATAAATTGTCTCCGTTTTTAAACTTTAGCGCCAAATATTAACTAAGTTAGCGCAGTTAATTGAAAATATTTATGCTATACGATACTTAGGCATGGAGATAGCTGCCTATCTAGCTAATAAAGTGCAATCAGTAAGCGTTATAGGTCGCAGTCAAACACCATTTTCAGCCACGTTGGGTCCTAGGATTGGTGCGGCACTGCAAAAAGTAAATAAGTGTATAGTAAAATTATAAAATACTTTAATATGAGTGAATCTGGACGAAAACGATACACATAACGAATATTACGGTCTCTGATTATATATTATTATTAATGTTAGCGTTTATTGTATGAGTTATAAATTGTATTATTTGTTTTTATAGATGCATGAAAGTAAAGGCGTTAAGTTCTTCTCAAAGACGAATGTTAAAAGTTTTCACGCCGATGATAACAATAATGTATGAAATATTTTTGTTGTTGACTTACCGAGTTTTTTAATTATCGTAAAGTTTGAATATTTGCTTTCAGCTAACTGGTTTAACTCTATCTAATGGAATATACATTCCAGCTGATGTTTGCATTTTAGGAATTGGTAAAATTTAAGAATAATTAAGTATTATTATGAGTGTATTTTTGCTACATATAAATTATACTGCCAATTTTATTAGTTCAGCTTTAGTAAATTCTAAGATTAGTACATACAAGTATAGCGTGGATTTATATGTATACGAGTACTACGTGCAGGCTATCTTAACAATCGGTATGATTGCATATTATCTTACAATGTATAAGGAGTTACCCCAGCGACCGAATTTTTGGCTGGTAGTGGTATTAGCTTGAGCAAGCATGGATTTGTTCCTGTAGATGAAGTTAGTTAGCCTTGTATAATTACATCATTTACATAAAAGTAATCTTGGTGTGAATTTTACATGATAAGATATTTACATAATGCAAGTATCTATTTCACAATAGAACATGAAAGTAGCAGCAGACGTTTATGCAGCTGGCGATATCGCACAATTTACTATTCAAGCAACGCGAGGATTACCAGTCAGCATAGGACATTATCAAATTGCTTTAAAACACGGTAAGAAGGATAGTATCATCAGCTAAATAGGTATTTATGACGATCTTCGATCCAAAATGTAACAAAAATCCCTAACAACCTTAAATTTTTACACTATACTAATCAAAAAACTGCTCTTGTCTATACATAATGATTAGTTATGAAACATTATGTATAATTTAGTATTTACTGGGAAATTTAATAGGCAATATCGCTGCTAAAAATATGTTGGGAAAAAATGTTGCATTAAATACCGTGCCTTACTTCTGGACACAAATGTTTGGAAAATCATTGCGATATACAGGTTGATATATTATCGTATAATATATTTATAGGATTAATGACTATGTACTCGTATTATATAGCTTTACGATAACAAATCAGAAGCATTATATTTAATAAGCAAAATCTGCGTACATGCGTATAGGTTTCGGGGCTGGATTTGATGAAATTACATTCGATGGGGATGTAGAAGGATTAAGCTTCATCGCTTATTATATCAAGTATATATTTTAGATATCTAATTTTGGGTAGCTAAAACTATGATCGTTACAAGTTTTGGCTATTAGTTCGTATAATTAATTAACTGGTATTTCATATTAGATCTAACCGCGTTATTGCAGCTGCAAGTATGGGTCGTGATCCTGCTGTTTCTCGGATTGCAGCTCTCATGCTTTCAAATAGTATGCCTTCAGCAGACGAAATTAGGTAATTACAAATGGAATACTTTATTTACAGTTAATGTTGTTTCATGCGTTAATTTATTTGTTACAGGAAAGATTCCATGGTTTGGCAAACCAGACTTTAGTTATTTTTCAGGCTATTCCGTAATTTCTACGAGCTAATCAACTGAAATACTGTTAAATTAATTTCATAGGGTAGTTTCAATGCGTTATGCTAATAACTTAAAATTTAAGTTCACTAAAATATGACCTTCAACTGGTTTTATTACTATCGTAGAAGAATTATTAAACTGTAGTATGGCAGATTATATCTTATTCTGTATAAGTTTACTAAATCACAACAAAGTTAGACCTACGAAAACTTAAGATAAAAATCTACTTTTATTACAATATTTAAAAAGGTCCGTGTAAGCTAGTCTATGTATTCCTAACATACTTTCTGTAGTAGTAGCATGTCTAGAATAACACACTCACACTTCCGTTAGTTAAATATCTGCGTGCAATTAAAACAGATCTTATGATTTTATGCTCTATCTACGAATGAAACTCCAATATCCTAACATTCAGTATTTTTAGAAATAAAGAAAGCTTTAATATGGTACATTTTTTAGCTTGAATCACATATCTGTTTGTGAGTAGCCTAGTATCTTACAATTTCTGAAGTACAAAATTTTTATAAAACGATGATGTTAATGTAGCTTAAAGTATTATGGTTAACTGGAAATACTGTAACAGCGACGGTGGTCAGTAATGTATTTCTCTAGAAGTTCTAGTACGGTACAGTATCGGTTATTATTAGAAAATCAAAACTTTTGTCAAATAAAGAAGTCATATATTGGGTTTAGCTGTTCTGATCATTTTATATAAGCAATATAGTTCCGCAAGTTTATGGTATTATCAGTGATATTGAAGGGAACGTTGTTAAAGCTGTGCTATATATGCTTTATAAACGTATACCAGTGTGAAATCTACGAGATTTGCAGTATCGTTCAACTCTTGACGTGAAAACAGGAGAATAATTACGCACTACATACAGTGATACAGACATGCACGAGTATTTATCTGCAACTCTTAATCGTTCTATCGCCTTCTACTTTTAGTAGAAAATTACACATTATTATAAAATAATTGAATGTCTGTAACTCTAACTCCCGTTAGAGACTGAATAACAAGCTTACGCAACGTAATATCAAACTTTAAAAAAGTTTAATCCACCATAGGTACAATATGTAATTATACAGAATAAAAAGAATGAAATGCGGTATTTTTCGACAAAACTCTTAGTATAGTATTTATATCGTAACTTTATGCTTTAAAGATATGTACAGCTCGAACAACGTATTGACGACATATCGGGCATTCCGCAAGTCGTTTCCCGCACTTTGTGCAGGTAACCATATGACCACATTCCAAAAGTACACAGGTTATAGGAGCATCCATGCATATTTTGCATAGATCACTGTCATAGTTATTAGAGGACTTTCTATCTCCTATTATGATAAATTCAATAGTGATTATTGAACATTATAAATTATTGAATGACAAAATAATCTTTTCAAGGAATTAATGACTGCCTTAATGAATTCTTACCTATATCTTGGCTAAACTTATTTTCAGGTATATTTCGTTTGGCTGTAAGTAGGTTACATTCAAAATATTAAGAAAACAAAATTCTAGCAAATTGTCGATCACTATGTTTTATATAATTGTATTATACTAACTACAAGTTTAACTGCATTACGTCAAAATAGAAAGATTTAATGGCGTGCTTACTTTCAGTATCGACTTTCGAGACGTATAGCCGATGCACCCTTTCAATTAATTCCCACTTTTCGACGCATCCTTTATAATCAACAAAGTTGGTTACTAATATTTGTTTAAGTTGCCTTACAGATAATAATCGAATATCATTTTCGCTCCTAATATCACTCAGAGAAATACGCCGCTTAATGTCCTATTAACGATCAAGAATTACACATTCAGATAAAATAAATTACCATGCGTTAGACAATCTATAACCGGTGATGGTGTATAAGAGTATGCGTTATAAAGATTAACGAAGATTTGATAAAATGTTTGAGAGTTGACTTAGCAGAGAAAGTCTAGTCTCATAGAGAGAGTATAACACAAATTGACTGGATTAAGGAGGATTACCTTGTTTTTTATTTCTTCAGTTGGCAATGGTTTGTTTACATCTTCGTTCAAATTACCTTTTACAACGCAGGCAGAAAAATATGCCCTTAGCAAAATGAGCATCGTGAGCAAATTGATAACAAAAAATTACTTGATTGCGATGTATCTTGAGTGTTATTGTTTCCAGTCTGGTTCGATAAGTCATTTTCGCTAATAGTAGACGTACCTAAAATATCTCTATTATTATTACTACTAGACCCTTCTAATTCATCTTCAAATAAGGGGGTTCGTATAATGCCGAGTTCTGAATTTGATATATCTTGTAAATGGCTGATAACTAATTCTACCATCTCCAATTTTGATTGTGATGTCCTTGTTGGGATGTTGTTCGTAACTAAAAATTTTCTGAGATCCTTTGCTTTTAGTAACATAACCCGTGACTGATCAATTTGATCTCCACTAATAGCATGACAACGCAAGCAGCATCGGTGTCCTCGATATGTAGGATTCCGATGCTTCAGCGAACAGCTGCAGCAAAAGTACTTCGTACACTGACAGCATTGATGCTGTAAAATGAAATGCAAGCATGAGAGAGCTGACCATAAAAAAATCAATACGTTACACATGCAGTAACCCAAATTATTCAATCTTGATTAAAGGCATCACTTTAATCTTTATGTGTAATTAGGTAAAAATAAGTTCTACGGATAGGCATCCATGATAATACGTCGTATTTAATTTAATTATCTTGATCAATACACAGTGTGTTCCTTATTTTGCATAAATATCATAAGAGTACACACAGTATCATCCTCTAGCAATGCGTAAGTGTAAAATACTTATCAATAGCGTAACGTATTTTAGTGCTATCTTTTTTTTTGTTTTGATCTCGCAGCTTGGCTGGTATTACTGTAAAATCAATAAAGTGATCAAGGCAATCAGGATATGCTATAGCTCCTACCTTACGTTTGAAAGTAGAAAAGACGGCCATACAAATTTCACATCCGTATACCCCTTCATTTCTGCTAGAAATTCGGGATGTATTGTCTTCTGCTATTACAGCCGAAAGACTACTAATACCAGATCCCATGGTAAACCCTGTAAGAATGAAGGTAAAGCAAAAATCATTTAATGTATAAAATACTGTAAATGAAATAATACTGTGTGAGAAACAGCAAGTTTTACTATATAAGACTGCTTAGGTGGATAAACCAATATACCGTGGTGTGCACCAAGATGGATAACAGTACGATGTACTCATAAATTAAGAATGGGAAGTCACTATTACTTTAATGATGATGCAAATTATATTATTATTTACTTTATTAATATCTATGACCTAAACATTTAAAATTTAGGATACAGGTTTCACTGTTTATTGCATCGCAATTGATATGCACGGTATTGTAAAAAAAATACGTAATTATAATTATAAGGTAAAATTAGATGATTATACTGAAATTAAATCTATCTTAAAATCATTAAATATGCCTATATTACATAATTACAGTATAAAGATTTTATACAGTTAATAAATCAATGAATATTTTTTCTTAAATAATTATACGCGTATAATTTAAGTTAATCGCATCAGATAACGAAATTATTTAAACTATTAGTAAATCATTTATTCATAGACGTAGAATCTATAAGCAAATTTTACGAAGCGACAACATTGATGTGCAGTTCAATAAAGTGGCATAAGTCGATGAATGATATACAGTAATAGTATAGTACTACGCTTATTTGAAATAGAAATATTCTGATCCTTTACTTAGATATTGATCGCAATAAATTGGGTTTTCAACCCTAAATCTTATTAAAAGCACAACCATCATTGAGTAATTATTCACAACCAATTAATTAAAGAGTACAGTACAGTATAGTACTATACTGTACAATGTAACGTACGACTATTTAGCTCGTACTTCATACTATCTATAGTACTGCATTGCTGTACGAAAATTTATTTGAGAAACAACAGTCTACGATATGAAATAAGTGTAGATGGTAAAATAAGAAAATAAAACTAATCAGTGGTTGCTTAGAATAGTAAGAAATTGAGCATCGTTAGCAACGAAATCCTAGACGTACAGTACTTTACCACTTTTCAAAATTTTATTATTGAAAATGTACACAAAATAATGATCGCTAAACGAAATTAATACGAATACTGTACTAGTAATACTTTCGTAACACAGTCAAGGAGGTTTTAGCCTAAATTTTTAAAAACCAAGTTAGGTTTTTATAGATTTTGTTAATATATAATACTAAAGAACAACAAGTCGTTTTCGACGTTAGTACAGTACTTAGTATAGGCGATAGACTAGGGTTTAGTACGAACTGCACATAAATAACGTAGTAATATTTTAGTGATAAAATGGTAATGCTAGCTTAGATAGGCGTTTTTTGTCGCTCAACATCACTTTTTCGTACGACAAATGTTGCAGTAACCTTTTACAGAAAACAGATTAAAATTAATTTAACCTACATTTATTTTGGAAAATGTTTCCGATTAGATAAAATTTATGAAACGTAATAAATGCTTAAAACATTTAACCTAACCTATTCCTTCCCTAAATACAGTATTTCTATCAGAACCTTGCTGCCATAACTGATTATAAATTATAATGTTACTACTACCAAAGAAGTAGAAGAGCATTTCATTTCCATCAGTATTAATCCTTGGTAATCCTTGATGACAAAATTTTTAGATAGTAGAATGTACTGTATTGTTCGTATTTTACTTCGGCTATTCGGAGGGTCCGCAACATTTGTGATATTCATAATTGATCTTGACATATATACGTGTAAACGTCTAATTTACGATAGGTATTTCTACAGTTGTCGTTAGTCTTGCTACATATGCCAATTCATTCCGTGTTTAGATTGATTAACGTTAACCCGTTTTACTGTCAGGACAATTTAGTAATAATACTGGATATACGGTACGGAACATATCACAAATAACAAGGACAAGATTCAGGTTATAACTGTAAATAAATATTATTATTATATTACCGATATACGCCTTACTTCAAGCGTTAAAACTTCTTTAAAATGCAGCAGATGTCTTGCTGGATAAAATACGTCAATGAGTGGAGATATACATATACTATTTTCGCTTACTACTTCATATTTAAAAGCATAAGTGAAAAATATTAAATGACATGATTCAATAATAAATAAATATGCGATGATGAAGAAAGAAAAAATGTACACTACAGTACTATACTATACTATTTTTATTTATATCAGTGACTTCTGCTACGGACAGTACGGATCATGAAGGTACGGTATTTATTTATTTTATTTTATTTTATTTTATATGCCTGAGCGCATACAGTACAGTACAGTACAGTACCGCGTATATTGAACCACGATTTCATGGGCGTGGCAAGCCCTATACTGTACAATGTAAATGTACAGTACACCATATAGTACCACACTGTGCGTACTAGTTGGAAACTGTCCTGTTCAGCCATAGTGTAGCCGTCAATTAGGTCTTTCAATTTTTTAAACTTACATTGAATTTGGCTAAAATTTCTCGAATAATTACAACCATGAGCAACTGGCACTTTTTATAAAATTTTTACTGCATTATTGAATTTAATTTATTTCTTTGACATTTCGAATACAAACCATCATCAGTCACTGATGCGTGTACGGTCGGTTCAAATAGTATACTGTACAATGTACAAGTGATGATGAAATAGTGGTCTACTGTACAGTTAGACTACAGTACTACAGTACGGTACAAGATTGAGTGCCGAGAATCGGTTCATACTGTTACAGTACTGTACACTGAGTGTACAGTACAGTATAGTGTTCAGTCTGTCCGTTATCATACAGTAAACGTCGTACAGTACAGTACAGTAGAAAGGAGCAGCGGTTTACTGTACAGTACAGTACAAAGCCAAAAATATACTGTACAGCCTTATACAGTACTGTATACTGTACTGTACTGTACAGTACGTCAAGTAACATATAGTACACTACAGTATTAATCTAGTAACACCTAGAATCTTGGATAATTCCTAGCCAAAGAAAATACGTTTATGTCTGATTATAAATTATCATGTAAATCCAGTCGATCATCATTAGTAATTAATTGGCTTTGGGTATATAAGCAATTTTTTCATACTGGAAATTGCAATAACTTTAGGATATTAATATATTCGTTGTAGGACTGCTTAAAACGCGGTAGTTTTGTTTTCCGTACAGTGTACACTGTACCGTACTGTACAAGTTCCTGCTCATCGACAGCACATGAAAGTACAGCTTAAAATTTTAAACTAAAATACTAGTATAGTACTGTACCATGGACTACTAGAAGAAGGCAGGTTTTCTTCTAGCGTACAGTACAGTAGATTACTAGTAATCCATGACTGCATGCGTACAGTACATTTGTTTTCCAGTACTGGTTTGACTTCTAGATTTTATGTACTGTATGTACTGTACAGTACAGTACGGTACTGTACACTATACTGTAGTTGCTTTGATGTATTGTACTGTACAGTATAATAACGTACACTGTACACAGCAAGCATTTCTTCAACAAAAATTCTCGACAGTTAACCAAGATTACAAATTAAGAAACAGCCGCATTGACTTACAGTAATAATCCTTCAGCATTTTCATCTACAAAAGCGTGAATAATAAATAAATTATTCAGCTTTGCAGAATGAAACGGAGAAAGACAATAAAGGGGCAGCAAGCTAATAAAGAATCTTCGCCTGCATCACCTTCCGTGAAGATTAAGAAAAGCAGCGATGAAGTTATAAAAGCTGACAACGAAGCTCGAGAGAACAAGGATGACGATGAATTAATTTTGCAGGATCTAATCGACGATCCTTCAGTATTTATTGATAAATTTAATCAACATTGCGAAGACATCAAACGATCTATGCAGACAATAAAGAAAGTAAAGCTATATTCGGCTGAGAATTCTGTAAGTTCATGGTAGTATTTTATCGATAAAGGCTCAAAATCGTAAATACGAATTCATACACGTGTTTGCCTTTCGCTCCGTCCCTATTTAATATACAGTACAGTAGGTCAAACGAGTAATAATTATAATTATAAGTATTGTAAGTCAAATTTTTAATTTGTTTACAATCTTATCGCAGAACACTGAAGTCAAGGAGGGATGATTACTGTCGTATTTAAAATTAATATCAACCATGAAAATGCAAACACTAGAAATGAGCTTGCGTTACAACGGAAGAAGCATCATTTTACTCTTACTTGCATAGAAACTATTACCGTAGTTTTCAGCTTATCATTTTACCAGATCGTCTTATTTGATGACTAAATCGCTGTTTGATACTAGACCAGAGAAGTTGCGAAAATAAAACCTCAAGCCTTAATGTCAATATTGTCCCTACGAGAAATTAATAGAATCTCTCAGATGTTATGCAAAAATGCTAAAGATTCTACGCAAGAGGTAAGAACATCTCGTCGAAATTTAACAATCTGATCCATGAGCGATATGTAATCACTTATTTTATGTTCGCAAAGTCTTAGATTATTTATTACTATTTAATATGCATATCATATATCTTCGATAATTATTATCACCAATAGGCCAAGCAAAAATGCGAATCAGTCCAACTGCAATTGGAGAATTTACTATATGAGATTGTTCATTTAAAAGAAGAAATCTCTAAATGTGGACAATTTAAGTAAATGTTCTTCTCTTATTGTTAATACAACTTTTCTTATCATTAGTAGTCAGTACTTTGCAAACAATTTCATTTCACTTAGGTCGTGTGGCGATGATATAACATTGCTCGAAGTAGAAGAATTTTATCGAGTAGCTCCTGAAAATATATCTTTACCGGTTAGTACGAGTATTACATTGATCTATTTCGAATATCTATTAAAGCTAGTTTGAAGTTGTTTAGACTTACGTACTTAGATATTATTTTTATGCTATATTTAAGAATAGTGTTACGAACTGTAAAATATATATGTGTGGTATTATAAAATTATTGACATGAGCAATCTGCCAATGAAATAAAGATACACTTATGGTCTCCGTTACTTTCAATTTCATAGGAAAGAACCCGTCATGATCCGCATCAATTGAAGTTGGCACAGTTACAGTGGGAGTTGCAAGAACGTGAAAAGTAAGCGTCAAGTTGTCAATGCTAGCTGCATTTTAAAAATGCGATAATAAATTTTAGTTGTCATACTGTAGCAAGTATAGAGTGACATTCTTAATTATTCTGTTACTTGATTTGTACTTCATCTTTTATTGGTTATTACTAGATTAGCTGAGAAATGTAGGCTAGCAAAAGAGGAAAAAGATAGATTGATCAAACGAATCGAAGATAAACGGAAACGAATCAGGAATTTAAATCCCTTGTTAGATAGTGTGCTTACGGTAATTTTTATATACAGCCTTTAGTTGTATTTATATCTTAATTATACAACGTAGACAAGCATTTACAATTTAACCTTTCATTATAGCGTTACTTATTCCGTTTGCATTTACGTAATATTTTTACTTTGTAAGAGGATATCAAGTTGTAGTTATATCTTACCCACCTTTCTAACTTTAATTTGTTTAAACACTATTAGACCTAGCAGTTTAATAATTATAACATTGCTATAAAAATGATTAATTTGATTCTTATTCACAACTCACAAGGCTACACGGCCGTTACAAGACTATCTATCTTTAAGCATTAGTCAGGTAGACAGTTCTTCCTCTGCACGATATTTACCTAGGTAAAGCGCTGAATAAATAGTATACTTTTACTGATAGTTGATGCTAATTGAAAATCAATTTTTTATGTTAGTACTAGGGTTTAAGATCCTATAAACTAAGCTACTAATTTTTTATGTAGACCATTATACTTCTTATTTGTACAAGCCAACGCATATCAGGAAGCAAATGGTAAGCAAAACTTACTGCTGTTATAACATAAGAGTTCAATGCACGTCATAGCAAATTACTACGCTGTTGTATTAAAATAATTTTTTGCTCCTCCTCCTATATCTTTCTATTACCAAACACGTACCAAATACTAACCTATCATGCATGCCTGCTTCCATGCTAGTATTCTTTCAACACTTGCGTGTCAGTGAAGCATGCTACATTAATCATACTCAACAGCCAACATCAATAAGGGTCTTAGCACTTTGTTGATAGGTTATTGATATCGGTTTTGGCTGTACATTTATTAACTCCTTTTGAATTTATTAATCTTGACCCGTTTCTGACTTTGGTTCGATAATAGACTCTGATATAGGTGTAACTATTACTGGTGATCTACACAAGGCAAAACAATTTGATCAAAATGTTGTCGAGGAATCTATTCGAAGAGCCTCCAGCTCTCAATCGGTAATAGCTTGTGATGTAATGTGGATAGTTCTATATAGCGTAAGATCTATAACTTAGATAATAATTACCAGGGACAGGGAAATAAGAAGAATCTGGAATTAAAGAACCTATTAACGCCACACCCATTAAGCGTTTCTCTTAGGTTAAAAGAGTCAGGTTGTTTGACGTCTTTCATCTCGAATTCCAACATTGGTTATTGTAGTATTAGTATCATTGATTAACCTCTCTTTTTTACTATATCAGATGGAAATTCAATGGCTTTAAGTGTTTATTATTATCCAATCTTAAATATTTGCGCTGTAAAAGGGGTGAAAATTGAAGTGTCATTTAAATTACCAGATGTCTCTAGCGTAAGGTTAGATCAACTAAATAATAATTTTCCTTAATGTAACTGAACAGTATGGTAATATTTTTAATGACCTCTCCAGGCAAACAATTGAAGATTCAAGTCTACTATCTTGCCTCTTTCCGGGTGATACTGGTAAAGATACACCGAATGCTACTAATCATCAGCAATTGCAAAGCCTAGGGTACCTCGTGGTCATATATATAATTTACTTTGTCAACTATTACTTTGTTCAAATTTATAAGGACTATGTGCACTGTTATTGATAGATTGCCGAGTTTCAATCAATTTGTGAAGGAAATTGGTAATCCTTACATATGGGCTCAGTCAATTACGGGATTGCAATTTTTTTCGCTAGAAAAAGAGGTTACTTTTTCCCAAAATCTAATAATTAAAACTGTTTTCAAAGTATAGGCGACATCCTTCAGATGGAAAATTCTAATTGCTGCTATACCTTTAATGCCAGCATCCTTATATCGTTAAAAATAGTAGCAGTGTACCTCTAATAATAATTTCGACCATTACTGGTCTAATAACTTATCTCAGTTATTGACATAGTATTCCTAAAATTGCTACTATTCGAGATGTTTGTTATATTGAATTTCAGCTTCAATCATCTCCTTTGTAATTACCGGGTATTTTGTTTAATATAGCTTTTAGTAATATGTATATGCAATTATTTTACAAGCTTCACTTTCATTAATTACTTTATATTCAGTAGACAGATTAACTGATAGATGCACATCGGTGCGTTTTGATACGACTGGAATGCTACAAATTTACTATCAAAACTCTAAATTAGAAAATTTGACTTGAATTATTTCTTAGATTCGCTAGAAAAATCGGATACTTTTATATCGATATTAAGAACATGTGTATTTGTTTCTACTTCAACTGTTTAGTATTTGAGAATAGATTAACAGTAATTCTTTATATTATTGTGCAACATTACCGTAGTGGTGTTAGAGTTATAATGATATCTGGAATTATCCATCTATAAAACAGCGCCAAATTAAGTAAAAGTAGATACACACGTAATAGATATGATGTAGGAATACTGTGTATTTTCTAAATATCCATAATAATCACTGAGCTATTCATCACTCAGGAATTGCCGATGGAACCTGCTGGTGCAGATTTATTGCCGAATGTGGTAAATGCTATTTTGGCTAGAACGAAATCGAAAGCCAGCTTACTTAAGCAACTGATTGCTTTAGGTCTGTTGTATTATATATATATAATTATTAATATAGTAGAAGTATTGTCATTGCGACAAGATAATAACTGAACTATAAAAGCAATTGTTAGAAAGCACTAATGTGCTAATGTAAGCACTAACGTCGTACAAAGATTTATTTCTTTATTACTTTTTCTTAACAGAAAACTTGCAGATGTTTCCTACAAACTCAGATGGAAAACTATTTCCTATTCATACTTATTCGCAGATCAAAGAATTTAAAGTCGGCACCGACGTAAATATCGAGGTATTGCAAACATACATATTATTAATGAGGGCGTTGTTTTTGTAGTAATTTTTTGTGTAAAGAATGTCACCTTTCATTGTATACTTTTCAAAAATATAATTTGTAGTCTATTAAGAAGATGTCTGCCATATTAAATAAAAAATTGCAAAGTGGTAACACTACTGCAGTATCTATTAAGTTTTCGTACCGCCGAGGTAAATTGGGCCAAATATTGGAAATTAAAAAATTCGCTACAATGAATTGATTTCTTGATGAGCTATATCTAGGATTTAATGCTTCAATAATATAATATTTCTGTAGTAAAGCTATATGCTGTCGTTCTGCTGGAACCTGATTATCCAGTTCACCCACCGTTGACTAATATTACAATTTCCAGTGATCAAAGGGAATTGACCGCTAATATCAACGCAGATATTAAGGTGAAATTAGAGGAACATGCTTTTATTTCTTAAAGATTGTATCTATCGACATTTAGCGATTGATCGCGTAGCTTTTGCGATAAATTTTATCTCTTATTAGTGCATCGAAGCGGAAATCAACGTCTTTTATCAAGAATTGCTGGAATATGATTCTGCTGATTTCATGCTGACTAATATCCTAAAGCGCTTACAAGTAAGAAATAAATTATCTGTAAATTTATCGTTAACAGATTTTAAATTTGATATTGAGTTTTTTACCTCGTTTTATTGTGCAGGTTTGTTTTGAAATTTGTATTGAATCAAGATTAAAAGAATTACGCGATAAGCCTGTTACAGATTTGCCTCAGCGAATGATTCTTCAGTCATGTAGAGGTCGTGACCGAGTTAAACCGTATAAATACCTCGAGAATCCTGGTTGTTTTACGACTAGGTCAACAGCTTTATAGCATTGTACTTTATAAATTATATTAGTTAATATAAACTATCTTTTGTTGATAATACAATTTAACATTATGACTCCTTGGGTGCAAGTGCCACGAGGCTTTCTGTATAAAGAACTATTACTAGTGTCGATTCTTACTATTGAATCCTTAATAGCAATTTTAGCTGCTTATCAGCATAACAGGCTAGTCTTCCCGGAAGTTTATAATACAATGCGTAAAATTTAAACTGTGTTAATAAATATAAATTAAGAAAACGTTATTATATAAAGTTAAAATTTGATCTATAGTATATTTTATCCCGTGAAATGTCTCAATTATCACTTTCTTGTTATGCATAGTTTGAATCATACCTACGGTAGTGACTTACTACAGCACTCTATCGCTGTTCTTTTTCCGTAGCCGTCCATAAGCCTCCGGATTCCGAGAATTTGGACGTTTATTGCGTTATTGCGTCCTACTGGAGTGCGAAGTAGTGACATGAACAACTGTATAGGTTATAGTGTTTTCTGTATGAAGCTTGAATACTGCAAAAGTTTCAGTGATGTCTCGCTACAGTGTTAGCCTGTAACTGCAGCTGCATTATTGTGCTATACAAAAACAATAATATCGGAGTTGATATTGCTCTTCCTAACGAGGAGAAATTCTTACGCAGTGCTAAAGGCAGTTACTTCAGTTATGAGCACAAGACTATAGTTTATTTGTAGTTACGCATAAAAGAATACTGGCAAGAGACAAGAAGTTGTCTAAGTAATCAAACTTAACATAAAGATGTATAACAACGACATAAAAAACGATCACTTCTGCTTTTATCCACATTATAAATTAAAAATGACGTACTGCATACTTATTCTGTAAACTGTAACTGTAACTAAATTACAATTACGAACAATAGTAACGAAGGAATCAACTAAAAGTATTGCCTTATAATCTTCAATAGTAAACCACTAACTCATACTCGACGTAATCAATGCGTAGCATCGTATAGAAGTTCCATATCAATGTAAATTCCGCATAATTAAATCACGAAATTGTCTGCCTTAAAAAATCATAAACCTTTTGCAAAAGCTCTACGTGTTAATTCTATTGTAACTGGCTGCTATCTGTGTAGCAGGTATTCAAATTATTGAAATTAATTTCAATTCTAGCACGAAAATAATATACTATACATATTAACTATACATCATTAATTAGACAGAATAACTTTATTACTCAAATTTAATAAGAACTGATATCGTATCTGTTCGCTATGAGATTCACATTCGACAAAAAAATTAAAATGTTGAACGTAATAATACATTGTGATTAAATTTATTGATAATCTGCTTATCGATAAGAGTAACAGCTATCAAATCCAAATTAAGATCTGAGGCGATCATAATTAATTGCGTAAGACTGATATCCGATTTAGGGAACCTTATGAGATTATGACCAGCATCAATTTTAGCACATACAGCATTTACTTGAAAGCTACTTCGCATGATCATTTTTTATAAGAAATATTTACATATATCATGATTTTAAAGATAAGAGTATCTTATTTTGCACGTACTAATACTGTGAATTAATATTTACGTTCCTTCATTATGCTTAAAGGTAAAATATATCTACATGTATTGGCAATCAATCAGGCTGCAATCTATCTTAAGTATTAATACTGATTTTTATCTCTGAGCGAAATCAATGCTAATCATCAAGAAATTAACATAAGTAGGTAGCTATAAAGAGTACACTTTATCAAAAATATACAATGTACAAGAAATTGTAAAATATTTTTAGAGACAAATTTATAGATAACAGTAATATATTTTACAATAATAATAATACCAGTCGGTTCAGACGGAGGTATGAACAACTACAGAAGAACTAATTTAGGTATGGAAGCTAGAATATAATGAGATCTCTTACTGCTAAGTCAGTATAAGGAAAGCAGGAGTTCAGAATTCATATCGTACTAGAGAGATGTAATGCGATAATAGATACCATAAACATATAGCATTGTATCTAAATTAATTATTAGAGATTCGAAATGTGTTTAAGATTTCAATTTGTGAATGCACATATTATATGATAATCTTATTATTGATTATGCAAATCAAAGTTAATGTGATTTCTAGAGATAAAAATACGAAGATTTAATTCTTTACGTTGATGTTAAAAAATTTTTCAAAGTCTTGAACTTTGTAATCTATTAATACTTTCCAATAATTGTGGCGCTTCTTCACATATTACAGAAAGGATATTGTTAACATAAACTTGTAAAAACTCCTTTTCTCTTTCCTTTCTTTGCAAATCTTTAATTAATTCATTCTAACAATTGTAAAAAGACAATTTGGTAATTAATTATAATAGATTGGTATTACTAATAGCATTATCTGAATCGAAAAAACTTAACATAATGCAAAAATTACCTTATTTTTATCGTTTAACGATGTATGATTAGCTGCATCATCTGAATTGGAAAAAAGAAGGCATACTAATATGAAATAGCTAATATACATACCAATGTATACCTAATATCTATAAATAGTTACCTTGAACTTGAATGCCTTGCAAGCGTTCTGTTATATCATTGCCCGTCGCATATTTTTGTAATAATCGCAATGCTCTATCACGTTCACCAGTTAGAGTTGTTAATTGATCGCCCTGAATAATATTTAGAATTGAAGAATCCCAAGAATATAATTTAAATAACACATTTATCTATTATTCTTGTGTTCTAATAAATGTTTTAGTAGAATTGTAAAGGGGCCGTATACGAGTATTAACATACAAAAAGTCTTATAGATCTGCAAACTAAGGGCGATCTATTACGGTCACGCTTGTACAATTACTGCGATATGATCGAATCAAATATTAACATAAAATATTCTGGAATCTAATTTCTATAACTTTAGCTACTTAATAAGAGATGATTTCACCTTGAATAAATAGTGTAAGCCAATATTAGCTTTTTGCTCTGGAATTTAAATTTTTAATAAAAGGGGTTGTAATAGCTAAGATTTATAACCATTGCATCATTCAAGGCATTCCGAAAATTTTATTACAATGTAAGATTAACCTGTATCTGAAATTAGCTGCGAAATTTTAGAACTATAGAAGCAAGTAGTATTTTATGACTCCAATAAAGAATATGGTAAGAAAAATAAGGGGTGCTAGGTGTAACATTATGATCTTATATAGAAGATGCCTAGTATAGTAATATCCTAATATACGAATACTTATCATATACCGTTTAAGTACTGTATTGTATTACATTCATAATGTACGACATCATGACTACATATAGACGACATGCTATACATATAAAGACATTATCTCAATCCCATCTAAAACCTATAAATACCCTTGTACGCTAACTCGTTAGTCAGTTCCTACATTCCTGCTATCTCAAATACCTTATCTATAACAACCATATCATTGTTAGCCTGTAACTTGTATCTCAATAAAATCCTTTATACCTTCTATCATCGTCTACCTTAAAATACTTTACGCTACTTAAAGAAGATATCATTACACTAGGTTACTTATAAAATTAGAGCTCTTAAGGAAAGTTATATAGCAAATTAGCGTAAAATTTAATTTGGGATTAATACAGTCAAGAAAAGGTACATTATAAGAGTAAATTAAATAAGATCATGCTACTGTCAGGATCGATTAATCATGGCTTTAACCAACTGATGAGATTATATTCAATATATTTAACGTTAAGAATTTGCTAGATTTTCAATGCTAGGCATACAATGGCTATGAAATGAGTACTTATGACCCAGCAGGGATAAATTTTTTCGTTGCTAATAATTTAGTATCCAGAAGAATAGATGATAATAACAGTAAGTTGCATTAAACAAGGAATAAAATTACCTTAGACTTGTTACTATTTTGCAGTTGCTGAATTTCTTTATCCTTTAGTGCTATGACAGCTTTTAATTTATCAATTTGTCCCTAAAAATTATAATATAATTTTAAAGAAACGATTCATGTACATAAATCTAATTATCTTAACAATCTTCATAAACAACGATTTAAAAGTATTATATACCATAAAGATCAAAATATCATGACTATTGTAGCTCAATTTTCTTCACCTGTTTGTCGTCTAATTCTTGAGAATGAATTTGCTGAGCATTTTCTAAATCGACCTTAGCGTTGGTACTTATTATACTATTTTCTATTGCCAACGCAGCTCTTTTTTGCAAAGCGGTAACTATGTTTCTTAGCTGATTGATCTAAATGAAGGGTAGACCTTATTCAGTTTCAAAATAATTTTGTTTTATTTCGAAATTAAAATATGCTGACCAACCTCTGCTAAAAGTTTTTCCAGTGTTGGGGAATCATTCATTTCTTTTTGTAGTTTTTGGATAAAAGCGATATTACTTTGATTAACAGGGATCGTGATTGGCTAAATTCGAAAGAATTATTTCTAAAATTAATAGCAGTCAGCTTTATAATCATACTGTAATTCCTTAAAAATTTTTCAATTAGATGAGGAATAATAACTACTAAATTTTTCAAAGTTTACTAAACAGAATAGTATAGCCTTACCCTTTCTTGACTATTTGCAGGCGGATAATCATTATTTTTACTGCAAATAATAAAAAACGATAAAGCAATCATGATACTTATGTAAATATTCTCTGTACAAACCTTAATATCAACTCCACATCTTCCCCACTTGAAGACAAACTAGAAGAAGTGCTACGTAGTTTAGACCTCTTCAAGAGCAAAACTTGTACATTTTGATGATGAACGGCATGTAAGCATTCCTCTTCATCGAATATGCGATTTCCTAGAATAAAACAAATATTTTAATTATTAAAGTTTCATCTTCACTTCAATTTAAGCAATGTAAAAAATTTACCTCCATGAGTCAATTCGACTAAGCACCAGTCTTGTAGATTATCTATATCTACTTTCCGAGATTTAAGTTGTTGCTGTGTGATTTCTTTCGCTGTCGTAGAAGTTGATACTTCGTAAGTTGTTAACTGATCGCTTGGTTGATCATTCAACATCATTTGCATCTAGTGATATTCACAAAACGTTTATAATTTACTTTATTCGCGCCATAGACATTATAGCATGTCTAATTTAATTACCAAAAATTTAAAATTTATAGTGTGCTTAAAGTAGAATATAATTAAAAGGATACACTATCCTATCTATTTGAATCTACATGCATTTCAAAGATTTTGTTTGGTCATTGCGAAATGTTAATCGTAATTGAACATATCTTTGACGTGAAACATCGTACCAATTAATCTTACTATAGGTAGAACTCTGAGATGTCATACTATTTTAATTACAATTACCTTTATTATTTATTATATAATTTTTGTTTCGTTTGTTACCTGTATTTTAATTATAGGCAATTTGCGCTTTAATTCGAAGAATAACTTGGAATTTTTGGGCCATTTCATTTGTATAGGCAGAGGATAGTCGTCGAAGTTAAGTTCTACTGCTGGAACTATTCAATAAAGTAAATAAAAGGCTCAAGCTAAATCTGTAAAGAAATAATATGTACGCAGTTCTATTTCTATGTTCAATAAGTATACGGAGTCGAATATATGATTACTGAACTAATAAAACCATAGAAAGAGGTTGCATGTATACGGTGCTACTAATTGTTATATATATTGAAACATACACTCTTGTTATGACCGTGTCCAACTGAAATATGATCGCTAGTACAATTCTACGTACTAATTGCATTATTGATTTATAATTAACACAGTGATTTTGTTCTAGATTAAAACTTGTAAACTCTGTACTACAAAATTTTATATGGTATTAGTCAACCTTTCGGGCGCCTATAAATAAGAACGTCAAGTGGCCATGAATTTCAACAGAAAATATTAGTACTGATCACTTACTGCATTAATAATTAGCAACATGTTTAAATCAAGCTTATTACAGAAAAAATTATTACTCCTTTTTAAAAAGTTATCATACGTATACCAGAGAGCCTCTTGTTACTACTTTTATTATGTAAGAGTATATATTCAGTAAGGCTGGTTAGGCTTCATTTGTGACTACTAGTAGATAGATATCTTTTAATTCTAGTTACTAGTTAAACTACTTACCTGTTTGATCGAGTGATTCTTGCGAAATATAGTAGGTTTTCGGATCAGTGTGAACTTCATATTTTTCCAGTAAGTTTTCAATAACTTGCAAGCAATTAATCTGTGGTGCTACTTTAAAACCTTTGTAGGAAGGTCCAGGGACAGATTGACCACGATGCAAAATACTCGCATCAATCCTAAGTAGGCCATTATCTTCTTCTTGGCTTTGACTACGTACTTTCTTTTTGTCATCATTAGAGCTTTTTGTACCAGGTTTAAATATCTTACTGATTCTAGTAGTGATCTTCTTTCTGTCACAATCCAAAGTTTGAAGTTACAGTTCTTATTCGTAACGTTTCGAAACATGTAACTATTATTATTTCTATCAAAGTGTGCATGTGTGACGTATATTATAGGGTACAAATTATAGAGATATGAACGGAATTTGCAGATATGTTTAGTATACAGAACTATTTTTAATATAAACTAGCTACACCACACGTTCTACCAACGAATTATTCATCCCCTTAAAATCTACAGTGCTGTGCATTTAATACAGTCTAAATCTACTATTGCAATATTCATATTATATTTAGGCATTACTGAGTGAAATGAGAGTATACATAACATAATGTCTTTAGTAATACTGTATTATCATAATATAGAATCATTACAAATATTGAAGGGCTTAGTGATAGAAGAAAATGTAGAGGGAGTGAAATTGCAGCTCAGCTGTTAGAATAGAAGAATTTGAATTGATAATGTATAGTAAATAACGTATGATGAAGTACCAAATAAACTGTGATCAATGTTAAATATTGTTTCACGTTTAACAGCAAAATACTGATACTATGAAGATGCTGTGTACTCAATTTAAGCAAGAAAATGATATAAATCTATTACTGACTTTTTATTCTTAGCTGATTTATCTTGTTTTTCTCCAAAATTTTGTTGCATGTATAGTGGCAGATTTGCTCCAGAGCGGATTGGAGGAGACGAAGGTACACCGTGTGACGGAAGATCACTATCATTACCTGTTGAAAACGTCGAACTGTTTAATGTTGCTGAGTTGTCAGAAATTGTAGTAGTATTAACAATTTCTTGAACAGGTTGCGAACCAAATAAATTATTTTGATTTTCGATATTTTGTTGACTAGGGACAACTTTGGGCTCGAATTCACTTTGTGTTGGAATAGAATTGTATGGTTGGATACCGCCACTTGTGGGGACTTGACCGATTTCAGCATAAGGTGAAGACCCTCCGTTTTGGTGTTTTAGATCATCATTGCTTTCTAAAAATGGTGTTTGATTATTTTCGGCAGTGGTAACCGTTCCGTTTGAATAATTTAAGATATTTTTATTATTGAAATCGATGTCAACATCGACACCATGACACCATGGAGGAGATTTCATAACTTCCAAGATTGCCAGGGCAAGTACTTTATCGGAACCATTAGAATTTTTTGCAATTTCTACGACAGCGAATAAGCAATTAAGTGCATATGATAAAAATGTAACGGAATAACAAGCATGTTTGTTGTGAATTTAACAAAAAGTGTTGCATACCTTTTAATGAGTTATGTAATTCTGAATTCTCCCGATCAGGTTTGTTATTCATAAAATAAATTTCAGTAGCTAGGACTTCTCTACGTTCTTCCAGATTTAGCTCAGGATGCTCTGTTAATACCAGCAAAGAATTTATTCAATGTACATAACTATTATATGAAAATTAATAGGCGAGGCACACTAATCATTCGATCATTATAATAAGTATTGACCACCTTTATAGTATCTAATGTAAAAAATCTTACCAAATAATTTAGAACCTAAATTTTGGATATCTTTACCATTTATTGCATTATCTAATAAAAAGAATAGCGAATTATGTTTAAAATTCATATTTACAATTTTTAATATCAACTGTGATACGATAACATTATTGTAATCACTTTGTCTCACCGATCATACATTCTACAATTTTGAATTGATTATAATTGATTTCCGTAGCATATTAGTGAAATATAATGTAGAATATCTTCGAATGTGATGGCTACGTATTTATAAATCATCTTGCTTCAAGTAGATACATAATGCTAAAGTAACAGCAACGAAAACTTGAAACATACCCATATACATAGTACTAGTTCATCTGAATAATTAATAGGTGACTCTTTACCATTAAATCACTTTCTTATGTTAAATATATATTACTATTTATAAGACGACACGCCTCCAAACTATTTTTAGGTTAGCAATTAAAGGATTAAATTGCAACTGTAATCAATTAGTATATTATAAATATTTAAAACTATTATTTAAAGAAATTTTTATATACTGTATGTTACATGCAACCATTTACGAAAACGATAATAATCTTTTATTATCCAGTACTTCTTTTTATCGATTTTTTTAGCAATATTACCTTCACAAATAGCAGCTATTTCTGGCAATCCAATAGAATTTAACCACAAAGAAACATCGTCTGAGTTCATTGATTTGATAGGAATACTAATTTTTCGGTTCATGGATGTATGCAACTATTATGAGCGAACACACTTTATTATATATAATCCATTGGACATTTTGATAATATACCTAGCATGACGTTTTTATGTACATTGCGGTGATTTTCTATATTACCTTATCATCTACTTCAGTTGATTCAAGATTCAAATCCTTATCGTGATCTTCTGTTATTTGACATATACATAAAAAGAAACAATTATAAATGCAGGCCCATACCATTTATTGATTTACTTAGTAACAATTTTAATTATTATGATTGGATTTGTGAGAAACTCAAGATACCGTAAATTAAATTACTCTTTTGACTATTTTAATTCATTGCTGTAATGCGTCATACTATTCAGTGCACATAAACAAAAAAATTACATTACCATTTTGTATGGATTCTATTTCTTCTTGATAATGGTCATATATACTACCAATAGTAGGTATTTTATGATCTTGTTGCTCCGATATTGGATTTCTAATTTGACAGTTACTGGCTTCATTGGTAGATAATTGTAATGGATGTTCTTTAATAACTGAATTTTCCAACGGCAATTCAGAATTGAAATTTTTTAGCTTGGGCGTAGCTTCGTTAAGTTGGGAATCCTGTTTATTTATTCCATCATCTAACGACTGATTGAAATAATTAGCAAACGGTTCGTTAGATTGCTGGTATAATAGGTCATTATCTGATCGATCCAATTCCGAGGTAGATATATCAGATGAATGTTGTTGGTACGGCGAAATACTTTGGGATATGATGCCATCAAGAGGAATTACTCCACGAGTTGCTTCTGACGAATAACGTGAAAATTTATTAGTTGAATCTATTTCTAAAGAAGGTAGCGTTTTATCTAATTCGTTTTGGGAAGCTAATTCTGATAGATCTATAGCAAGATCCGGTGGGCTTTGCTGATCATTGTTAATGGTTTTTTTCTCTATAAAGTCATTTACTAAGTGGGATTTAGGTTCAATAGTTTGAATATCATGATTAGGTTCTGTTGAGCTATCACGATTTGATTGTGACATAGATTTAATATATCGATTCGGCTTAGGTGGGATCTTGATCAGCGGATCAATGGTTTCATCCGGGACCGGACTGAGTGTTTGATTACTTTCAACATTAGTTTCTTTTGACAGCTCGTTCACAGTAGGGGACTCAGATTTAGCAGATACTTTATCCCGCACGGGGATGTCTTCCGATGTATTGGTATTAAATGGATCATGAGAAAGTTGATGAGGTGACCGTGGAGATGATAGCGGAACATAATAATATTTGTCATCAATCAGCAATAACTGTCCCGCAACTGTAGCATTAGGATGGCGCAGAGCATCGTCGTCGGGCTCTAGAGAAGAAATAACTTCGTATGATGGATTTTTAACAGCAATATTTCGCGATACACATGTATAATCGTTAGAAACAGGGTCTGGCGCTACTTCACCATTATCTGTTGTTGTTGTTGCTGATCGTGCATCTTTCTTAGAACTGGAAAAGGATTGATTTTGCTTTTGGGTATTGGATGATAACCTCGCCATTCTTTTTTGATGTCTTTTATCTTTAGCGTCATCAACTTTATTAAAGAATAGGCCAAACCTTCTCGCTGCTATAGCTGCTGCTTCCGCTCCGGCTGATGCAGCGACTGTTGCTAAGTCTTTGCGATTCTCATTGTTAAAACGTAGTATAACATTCTCTAAATGAATAGTGCTCTCCTGAGATACATCGTCTCCTTTAACTTTTTTAGGGATCGTTGGAAATGTCTTTTTGGCTCGGCGGCTGCTTTCATCCTTACCTTTAGTATTATTATTGTCATCTACTTTGAAATTACTTTTCTTCTGAGAACTTGGCAATTCACTCTCTGGAAGAGAAGGTTTCTTTATTACGGATAAGCCTTTGTTATCCTTTACAGGAATAAAATGAAATGATTAAGATCAATTGTGAAACACAGTTATATCATGCAGGAGTTTGGGTTAATAATATTTAAACGTACTGATATCAGAATACATACCGAATCTAAAGTCTTGTTGTATTCAGAGTTTGGTTTAGTAGCTTGATTGGATGTATTTTCATTTGATGTCGGAGACTGGTTAGGTGCAGATTTATCAGATTGTTCGCTAGCAGTCCTCTTAACAGATAAATCTGTTGGAACAGATTTCATATCGGCCTGAGGTGCCTTACTAGGTGGTGGAGTTTCTGGTAACGGAGGGGCTATCTCTGTTTGAGGACTGATTGCTATCGGTTTTCGTTCCTTTTTAGTTAAATCACTAATAGAGCTCATTTCTGAAGCTTTACTAGCAGGCTTAGGATAGACAAGCGATACCTGAAACAGAAATTGAACTGTAACGTAACAATATTAAGAAATATTGGTAAAACGGCCGTATCAGTTGATCTACCCGTAAACCCATTCATCCTATGGAGGAACGGTAACAATTTATAGTATTTAGCAAAATTACCTCTTCTTTCGATTTTTCGACAGGTTTAGGCTTATTTTTTATTAATTCACTTCTTAGTTTCATAATTTTATCCATAATTTTATCTCTTAACATCGCATATCTTACTCCAATTTGTTCTATATAAACAGATGTTCAGGATTGTTTAATTCTGTTAACTAAGCGTTGCTAACGTAGACTAGCATCTATTTATGCGTACTAATTCGGTAGAAGCTATCCTTTAGTTATTATACTTTGAATTTCAATAATTATAACTAACTATTCGTGATTGTAATCTTGATTTCTTCTAAGTCAAAATCGCGAATTCTTAATATTAAGAAATGTTTAAAGTTACGAATTACCCAATTTTTCCTTTGTCATTTTCTCAAGCTCCTTTCCATCGATTTTGTTAGCTATATAATATAAAAAGTACATCAAATTGTTATTGGTTGATCATTTATAAATGAAATTATTAGAAAGCAAGACTTATCATCTTTGAGCTACTTTAGTATGGGAATATGTTTCGTAAGACCTTCAAATGCGTACATAAAGTCGTTTTGACAATTTCATAGCCAACACAAAAATTTTTAAAAATTTGTTGGAACAATCAGAATTATCATCAGAATATTATATAATACACCTATAAAATCTTTAGGTAGCAACAAAATAATAGAATATTTCTATTGTAATAAATAGAATATTTCGTGCTTCATAAAGACTCTCATCGTAACTCCTCTCTTAGAAATATCTGATGCAGATATATGCTCGTATGAGGAGAATTTCAGTAGAAAATACGAAGTCATCTTGGTTCGTTATATATTGAGTCTTCACTCTTTATAAAGTTTATATCTATGTTTGCTCTTGTGTATGCTGTATATCTATATTTGTTCACGTCTACAGTTAGTGAAGGCGCTATGCAATGCAATTGTTGTGATAATTTTCCAATTCTACAATAAACTACCTAATTTTTATGAGTATACATACGGACTGACGATGCAACGATAAAATGAAAATGTTTTGCGCTAAGCTGAAGACATTTGAGAAAATTTATTAAGATAATTTTAAGGTCAAATACTTTCATAGAAGACATAATAGTGGTAATACCAATTAAAATATGTTAAATTAAAACTGACGATATGATAATACGTATCGATATAAATATATATACAGTACATGTTTCGCAATTAACAGGGTATCGTACTCACTCGTAAATCGTCGTTTCATAGCATCTAAACCCACACTTGTTAACCAGTTTCCTACATCAGAAGGTGTCCATTGAATAAGAGGTTTATCTATATTTAGTTTGGGACACTCTTGAGAAGAATCGCTAAATGGACTAACAGCCGAACGAAAAGGAGAGTAACTACTAGATTGGCTACCAGAACTTAAAGGACTTCCAATATTACTGCGAACCGAAGCAGTATTTACAGTAGTATTAGCCTTTATTAGGTCTTGCTTTTCATTAGCAACATTTGCATCGATTTGTTCTGCTTTCTCAACCAATTGAGATGGTATAAGTGGGGGAGGGGAGGACGGTAATTTAGGTGGTACCATTGGATCATCAACTGAGTCTACAGTTTGATGCGACGGTAGCAACGATGGTACAAGTGATTCTAAGTCCGGCGTCGGTTTTGACGATACATTATCACCTTCATTGTGAACTGAAGAGAAATTAGCATCCTCATTAGGATCAGCCTTGAATGACGGCTGATAATTGTTTTCCTCTATTTCAGTAGTTCCTTTGGAATGATGAGTGTCTGTGTTATGTTGTTGATGTATTTCTTCTTGCGGATCTTTCTTATCAAAATGTTGAATATTATTATCTTGCGTTGTTGTCAAAGACTCCAAAGACGGCGATATAGATACTACTCCTTCGTGCTGCTGCAATTGATATTGATTTTTATTGTTTTCATCACCATTCATGATTATACTTTCATCAGCATTAATTTCATATGGTTGCTGTGAAGGCGAGTTCTCGAGATATATCTCGCTCGCTATCGGAGCTGCTGATTTATCTAAGTCCACGTTCTCACGATATTGTGCTCGTCTTTGAGACAGTCTCTCTAGTGAACTACCAGAATGAGATCGCGCATGATTTGCTAAATTTTTGTGATTATCATCATCATTAAAATGATGCTTTTGAGTTGATAATGTGAACGGTTTATAACGTCGTCGTAATTGCTTATTATCAGTACCAAGGTCGGATTGTGTTCGTAAGCGTAACAGATTACTAGAATTATTATTTCGTGTATTATCAGCTGAATTTCCTAGAGTCGGATTATCATGATTTGGTAGAGCTCGTAAATGACTGTAATTTCGAGCTAATGATAGATCAGTTAATGGTGACGTTCGTAACTTATCTGCGAAAGTAGGCAATTGATTATTAGGGCGAAAATCATTCTTGGATTTATCTTCCTGATATTCATGACTTTCTTGGTCTGTCTTTAATCGATGAGATAATCTTAATGAATGCCGACCTATGCTTGATAGTCTAGGTAGATTGCCTGAGACGTTATCGTTGTCGTTGTCATGAAGACCGTCACGATCATTCGTAACTTGATAGCCCTTTTTGCTTTGAAACGCCGGGGATGTTTCTAAATCGACATGGTAACATTTCGGAAAATATCAGTAAAATAATTGTCTTTGCAAGTAAATAAAACGTTATGGTAGAAAGAAGAACAGCTAGCTCAGCTAAAATCATCCTTGTTTATGGGTTATGATGTCACAAATTCTTTATGAGATAATTTGGATATACCGTTATACTGTATCTAAATTGTACAGTAAATTCGAGTGAAACTGTTTAGCTGAATCTGAGAACAAACTGGTTTTAAATGTCATACTGCTTTAGCTGAGTTGCTTGAGCACCACAAAGAAAAACGATGCATGGATGATTAATGTGTTCACGTCAATTCGAGAATTCCATATAACGAAAAGATTCGATTCATAGTTGTTACATAACTATCAGTAATTTCGTAAAATGCTTACAAAAATTAAAAAGTTGATTTCAGTTGGCCAAATTAACAGTTATAAATAAGTAATAGCCTCACTGTGGTCCATAATTAATTAATAATAATTAATCGAAATACGTATATTACAGCCCTAAAATACTACAGTACATGCTCTTGATTAAGAGTATTACTTTTGTCACCTGTTGCATTGCAGCATTTAGTTAATTCGTATATCTTTCTACGATAGATCAATTTTCGTTAAAACAAAACATTGCACTAAAAATTTGGACTCAATTTAGGACGATTTATTTTTCAAAGATTACATTAATGCCTTTTTATCAATCACGTTAATTATCAGCAGGCTGTTGGCCTGGAAACAATCGTTTTTTCAATCTAAACTTCATTTCTTGTACATGTTTATATATTTCACTTAATTTTATTGTGTTTATGGTAAAGTCTATAACTTTTTCTGTGTGTGTCTGATTGTATAACTTGCAATTAATAAATACCAATATGACTAGTCTTACTATAGGCATGAAAATGAAACGTTTGAGGTATCTTCTAAACACTGGCAGAAATATCTCCGTTATTACTAAACATGATTTAAAATGTAATAAATGAAGATCTAAATTATTTAATATTAGGTAAGAAAAATCATATCATTGAGCATTCTCTGGGTAATCAATTACTATTTTATTTGCTCTCTCTCATCTCACCTACACGCAAGTATTCACTCTTGACTATATATTTGTAGTGAAGGATTGCAATGTAGCCCATGATGCATATTTTATAACTGAAATCTTTAAATGCTATAAATATTTTAAAGTTAACTTGTTTTGATACAATCTAATTTAGTTTAATGTAATCAATAAAATAATAATTGAAGTCGATGCATATCTTTTAAGTATGTATGAATACTTCTCATAAATACCACGCTGAAAATGTCCTTGGTCTTATTATCTTTCATAAAAAGAGATTATACACGGTAAGGAAGTTAGTTAAGGACTCCTTAATTCTAACTTGACACTTTGTTTATAATTATTGCATGGAGTATTTTATTCACTTATTTATTTTACACTAAAGCTCGTTTTGATTTATATGTGAAAGTAGAATAATTAATTTCAATTCTTAGTAGGATATTACAGTACCACAAATAAAAATATCGATATGTTCATCACTTTCATAAAATAAAATAACAAAAACCCAGTTAAATTTCCATTGTGTACAATATCTGCTTATTGATGTCGAAAATTTATTCACCGCTTGATATACTGAACTCCTTATGTTATACTCTGGTAAGTATACAGTATTATCGTTGTTTCAGAAAATTTTAATTTTTATTCGATCATTGTATTGTAATAAAACGGCTACTAATTAGCTAATTATCTTAATTGCAATCAAGTGAATTAAATTTTATAATCTTTTTATTGATATTAAATGTATACTGGTACTTCATGATAAATTAATACTAAATTAGAAGACCTATTATACACATATATATATGATTACTAATTTCATTAAATTAATAATACTTCAGGTTTTATCTAGAAATCTAAAAAAATCATTAAATTATTCATAAATAGAGAACGTTTTATTATTGTGCCTTTGAAAAAATATATGTACCTAGTATAATAACATGTCTTTCTACTTATAGACTGTAGACGAGAGAGATAGCTGTTCAGAGAAGAGAGCTTTATTACCCTAAGTTAGTCGGGCACAAGATAGAGAGAGATATGCTGCTGCACAGAGAAAGGATTCTAAGTCTAATACGCTAACACACATATACATATATGTAATAGATTGTGACCTAGTACGCTTCTAGTTGTATTACGTTATTGTTACGATTCTGCACGCATTATCATCATGATCTGCTGTATACTAGTGTACATGATTAGTAGATAAATGGGCAATGATATTACACCTAGTAGCTTGCATCAATTTTGTGAAGTATTTATCTACCAGTAGTAAATATAAAGAGGGAAAGTGACTTACGTATGAGTAATGTAGTATGATGTATACAAAATATATTTGTATGCTGTATAAACTTAGTAGTTGTTTTGAACGAGGCTATCGTTGATTAGTAGCCTTCAGGGTATATGCGTACAAGTGAATATTATAACCAATGATAGAGTTCTTAATCACTGTAGAGAACGTATTTACATGAACGTTGCTAAAAATATTATTTTACTGCATTTGTACGGTATTATATTACAGAGGCTCAAAATTTGACTCGGCCGGATATGCGATGATCAGAATTTAGAACTTAAAAAGTCTTAACTCTTGTCAGTTACGTTCGATAGGGTCCATTTATGGATCTGATTTCATGCAAAACACGTAAAAAATTTTTAAGACCGGACTCTGTTGAAATAACAACGGACCGTAAACTGCTACCGGACATTTCGGTCTGGCATCGATTTTCCGGCGACGACTGACTATCCGGACTCATCAGCTACACTTCTCTACAGTATAAAAATTTTGGTATAATAATTACAGTACCGTAAGTCTTGTACTGTACAGTGTACAGTACTGTACAGTATTACAGTACTACAGTCTTAAAGACTCTATTCATAGTACAGTACTGTACAGTACTGTACAGTATACCGTACTGTACTGTACGTTGGTGAAACTCTAGAGCATGGACTACTAAAAGAAAACCTTATTACACATGCACACGCCTCTGTTACCAAGGTAACTTATGATCAATAGACTTATCAATCTGAATCTACAAGCTATTTGGTTCCAGTACACAGAAAAGACTATTATAATTACTTCTTACTAATGGATTATTAGCTAGCGTTCTAGCTTCAGATAATGCTTAAATACTGGTGAACACATTGTTAGTTATCAGTACTATGGCAACCGCAATCTGCCTTTCCATTAACCCTTAAGTTACTATAACTGTATGAGGACATAGTGAAATGCGATACGAACTGTATGGCATAGGTAGACCGTAGATGTTATTATGTCAAGTTTCTCGTATTAGGATGAGAGAGTACAATTACTGTAACAGCTGCAATAATGTAATGTAGACTATGAAGCTACTGTGTTAGCGTTTGCACTTTAAGCAGCCCACAAACCATCGACAATTATAATCGTTCATATAGAAAGGTACAACTATTGCAAGTAACGACACATCACGCAAAATCATAGATATACAATTCAAAAAATTCTAGTAATACTTTATAATCTGTCACCTTCTCGACTAAACATTGCCACAATTCAACATTACTTGATTATGTTCAAAACCAAAATATTGATGGTTGGACCGTGCGATGTAAGTACTAGTACTGTACTTGTACTGATTGTAAAAACAGTAACGAGTAATGAATTTAGATCATACTATGCCATCGTTTCCTTTACGTAAATATCGTATACGTTATAAAGAAATATTTAAATGACTTGGTTATGGGTTTTAGTTTATAATTCCTTCCCTTTCTTCCCTATAAACTCAACATATGAATTGTTATGTATTTTAGAATCACGTTAGGCTCATAATATTACGAGATATACAATCCCATTGATAATTGTTTTTAATCAGGGACTACAGATATACGAGTAATTTAATATAATATATTCAAACGGTTTGCGACATATAGAGTGGGAAATCGGTCATAGCTAATTCCTTAGCCGAAGCAACAGATCTAACTGGGGGAAACTATCGACCAACGAAAGGCGTAAGGTCAGTTTGGAAACTACAGTATATTCAACGTCTTGAATGATCGCAAATCATGTAATCTGAGCAATACCTTAATATACGTCATGAAGTACTGACTTATAAAAAGTTTCTAGATATAATGCGTTTATCACGGTTAGTTATCTATAAGTTTAAAGTAATTTATATATATAGTATACTAAAATGATGAGAATAATCATAAAACATAAGTAAATGTTCGTGCAGGATATTGGAGTTTGAATGTAATGGCTTAAGAAATAGCTCAAATCGTACCCTTAAAGCTGATGTAGAGTTATGGGATTGTAGCGGAAATAGCGAGTGAGTCACTATTATTAGTGGTAATAATTCTACGAATATTATGATATTAGCGTGGACAGTTTATTCTGAAAGGTATACATCAACTATTTTACTGGTAGTTATGAAAGTTGTTGGCCGGCTATGTGGAAAGATACTCATGGAGTGATTATTGTGTATAATCCCGATAATCTGGATCATAATGGAGAAATCAGTAAATGGTAACTATATAGGAAATGATAGTAACATCAGACATAGTGTTCCTACTATTTTTTAGTAGACCAATATCATAATTTATATTAGTTCGATACAAATGAATCTTTATCCATCTTTGTATTTATCGCTAAGCATGTACAGGCACATAATTGCCATTAAGCGACTGCAGTTTTTATCATCTTGGGTTACTTTTTATCAGGTATACTCATTTCATTTCTCAGCAAGGCCTTCGCGACAGTCAGTGTATGCTATTCGCTCATCTTAAACCTGATGGGTCTAAACAAGTCGTAGATTTGAGTAAGTTATGGATTGTTTAATTTAGAAAACTCTTGTATCTGATTTATTACATAATTATTTAACATATATAGCTGGATCTCTGTCAAGATTGAAATGTGTGCACACATCGATGGAAGATCGACCGGAGGTAATAAGACAAGAATTTAGGACCTTTTTGACTCATGTCTGGGAGGCATGGGCTGCCAAAAGGGATCAAGAAGAACTTAGTATAGTGAATAATTAATGGCAAAGATCTTGTTAAAAAATATAACTCAGGATCTACTAAAATATAATATCGAACTGTATTTTATGCAAAGAACTATCAAAATACAGACTATAACTACCAAATGTGCTAAAATATGCAATTGTGGCTGCAACCACAGCGTTTACATAAAAATACCGATAAATTTAGCATATAGCAGTTGATATAAACGTTACGACCTCTTTACTATTTAAACCTTTATAGATTTATCTTCGTATGCTATTGTAAATCTAATCGCGTTACAAATGGTGGTAACTAATTATAGCTGTAGATTAATAACATCTTAATTTAGTACTGCTGATGCGCTGATGAGTACTTGATAAATATAGTTCATGCTGCTTGATCTTATCAACAGTAAAAGTGGCCTAACAAAGATGTTATCTATGAAATATATGTCAGAAAATGGAGTAAATTTTGCGCATTAGATACAAATGTACTCGTACAAACGCTTCCTCTCATGACTTATAGCCTTCTGCATAGAGCGTCTTAATATTTTGGAATAGAAATCATCACACCTATTCATATGTACGAATGCACAGAATAAAATACATAATATACAGTACGTGTATGTGATGGATATGAATTCTTCTCGTCAGACTTTTATTTACGATTAATATCATTTTAAAATGAGATTCTTATTAATAAATAAAAATTTGTAACACTTCATGTGTATACGTATTCTATATAGTACTAGGATCAGCTTATGATGTTTTAAAGTTATCACTGTTTAAATGAGCAATATTGAGTTAGTGTCTGAGGTGTAGCACGGTATTAGTAGTTGTCTACCTTTGGCTTTCAATTACTGAAAAAGCTAAATACAATGCATTTATAAAGATGTGGTGTCTTTTCAGAACATGTGGCCAGCTCCGGTGTGCAGATTCTGATACCACATTAAAACATGTTCATTTATGCATTGTTTTGTATTTACTGTAAATCCTTATCCACTCTAGATTTTGTATTGCTCTTTTATTGTACTGTCAGTAAAGTGTGCCTTGCCTAATGTTATTTTGTACCTGATTTTTTAATTTCCAAGGAAGTTCCGAGTCTGAAATATTGAACGATAGTAGGTATTAATAGCTAAGTATGTATATTGATTAACGGCTAAATGAATGTCAGCACAGGATTAGACTTCATTTCATTTATTAGTACTCTATGCAGTACTTGTTAATACCTATATATTTAAATTGCTGATGTTAAAACGTTACGCATAATTTAATACACTTGCGTATTAAAGATTCATTTTTTAATAGTCCGTGATAAATTCATAATAACATTTTTAACACTTTCATGGTATTACACGGGTAAATAAAAATTCCCTAGTTGATTGTCGGCCATAAAACCAAAAGGATTCAGCAGTTAATAGTTATTAGAGGAACGATCGATTTGATCATGAATGTACATATCTGTAGTAAATACTTAATTCTTTATACTTAAAACCTGCTTTTGTGAGGTTCGTACAGTTTAAACCTTTAAGTTTCTATTGTACTGTAGGTGATTAATATTTAAAGAGCGAGTAAATCAAACCGAACCGGTCAAGGTCTATATCTATATACAATAACATTGCTATCTAACAGGTCAGAAACATCGTTAAATTTGTAATCAAATCTTAAAAGCATCTTAAGGAATTCAAATAACTATTTGATAATTAAGTTAAAAAAATACAATTTAAGAATGAAAAATTATAAAAAATATTATGAAGGATGGTTTCTGATCGGAAAGACATCAACAAATTATGTCATTCATTACAATATGCAAGTTAAATAACCACTACTATACGTTACTGGTGATTTTAAGATGATGTTGCTTCGACTGCGTGATTAGCTTTGCAAATTTCGTACAACTGCGTATGAAGTCGGAATAATTACTATACGATCCAATAATAACTCAGCAATATTCTTTACTTCTAATAACAGAAATGGCTTATTTTACGAAGGTACGACTAACATTTCTCATGATACCGTAAGTATCTGTATAAATTGCGCTTTATCAAATTAGTAATCATTGTAGCCAAGTAGCGACTTAATTGACAAGTCAACTTAAGTATAGAATACCACTAACAATCATGAAGTAATGTGAGTTTTACTTTCCAATAAGAACTGAGTATCATGTAGAAGTTTACAAGAACCATTAAGCTCTCAGACAGATACTACAAATGTATAAAAGGACGAATAAAATACTATAATTTGAATAATATTTATTTTCAACTTCTAGTATTCATGCGCGCTTTCCTTCTTATTCATAAAAGATTGAGACTTTCCGAAATTCCGAATGCCTGATGATGTTGAACTAGATTTATATAAATGCGATAGACTAGCATCCAAGGACTCTTTGAAAAAATTTAACTCATACTGGTGTCTCTGCTGCAATTCTTGTTGTCTTTCTAGCCTTAGCTGCTGCAAAGCCATACTTTCTTCCATTTTCTATAATTGTGATATTTATATTACAAAAATTAATCGCAACATTTCTTAAAATAGTATAGCATAAATGAGACTGACTCTGCTATCCATTTCTTTGCGTCTATTCGTAATTTTTTCTTCGCACTCCGTTCGTTCTTTTTCATTTTGTGTCTTCATTTGAATCATCATTCGACTCTGATAAGCGCTCAGCATTTCCTTTTCCTGTTGTAACATCCTTTCTAATGCTTGCTGCTCAATTGTTTGAGATTCAGTTAACCTCGACTATTATCGAGAAATTAATTCTTATCAGGATATTGAATAATGACTTATCACATAAATACAATCAACAGCCTATATATAATTCTCAAAATACGAGGCCATACCGCTTGCTCTTCTACAAGGTCTACAATAGTCTTATCGTACTGTTCCTCCAATGCCGCCATTTTCCGATTTCTTTCTTCCTTAAGTTGTTTACTTATTTCTCTATGCTTCTCTCTCGGCTCCCTTTGTAATAGTTGTTTTTCGTACGATTTAAATTGGCGATTCTGCGTCTTGACCATATCAGCAAACTGTCTTTTTATGCGATCTTTTTGTGTCTGAGGATTTAATAGTAATGTTAGAATTAATTTCAAGAAAGAGAAGGAAATTCACAAAAAGTCCTCCTACTTTTAAATTTCTAGGTTGTTGTCGCTGAGCTATTAACTGTTTCTTTCGTTGTTCATTTCTTCTTTGCCGTTCATATTCATTTTCATTATCCCATTCTATTCTATGCTGTTTTTGCTGCTGTGCTAATCGTAAATCCTGAATTACTTTCATATGTTTCGACTCTGTATCATTTATAATTTCAAGATGACGTTGCAACGTCTCATGAGACTGATCTTTTCTCTGCTGCATAAAATTAAGTTCCTAATGTTGCAAGTTTAGCGCTTTAGTACTTATTAGTATATAAATCCTTACATACATATGATAATAATGTAAATAAGATTACTTTCATTCGTAAAATGAATCTCGCTTTGATTCTTACTACCTGCTGCAAGAGCTGCTTTTCTAGGTTGTGGTGGCACAATAATTGTTCCTTTCTGAATTGTCTAAGTTTGAGATCTGCACCATTTCGTAATTCTTGTAATTTACGTCTTTCGTCCTCGGATTGACGTTGCAAAACCTCATCTAATTTTTTGCGTTTCATAGTTTCTCTATCTTTACTACTACAGCTCATTTCATCCAATTCCTATCAAAAATAACATCTTTTTCAGTATGATCTTAAGCTATAAAGAAATGACTTATAACAGCGATTGTCTTGTGAAATATATAATACGAATGAATTAATTATTACCTTTTTTATTGAAGTTTTTATTATCTTAAAATCCGCTTTTTGTTGGCTATTAAACTGCTTCATTTCTTGTTCGTTCTTATCACGAACTGTTTTCCAATATTTCTTTTCTTCTGTTACACAAGCACGCAGCTGAATTGTTAAAAACATTAAATTTTGTTACTGTGAAATATGTAATATCGATGAATGTTAAGTATCAAACTATTACATTTTGTTCCAAGTCTCCTTTGTGTTTATTTCTTATTCTTTCAAGTTCTCTTTCCGTTCCGTGTAAGAAGCTCTCATGATCCTTATCCAATTGCTTGATTTGTTCATGTAATTCAGATGTTAACTTCGCATTTAATGATTGCAGTTGATGTTGGTGTTGTTGTCTCATACGAGTATATATTAATAGCTGTTCTCTATAGTTGTTGTGCGATGCATGCTCACGCCTTTCTCGTGATACAAAACTAATAGGTCTTATGGTAGCAAACCGATCTTGTCCAAGCAAATCTCGATCTTCACTACTCTCATTCTCTCTAACAGGTTCATTCTACGTAATGAAATCATTATTGATAGTCAAATACTTTCAGCTAACGGCATTTTTAGTCAAATACGTTAACAAATATTTAGTATAACTACGAACTAACCATAGATCTATCACTAATTTCTGCTATATTGCTTGATGATTGCGATGAATTATCGTCATCGCTATCATGGTCTATGTGAGGCTAGAACATACAGGTTAAACAGAATTAATAATACTAAAATGAAAAAAACTCAAAGAAGTTCTATATCATTCAGGCTAATCTGTAATCGTTACCATAGTTGGTCCATTTCTCTGTTGTTCCGTAGCGGGTTGAGAATTTATATTCGTCTGTTCGGATTCTTCTATGACAATCTTTTTTAGTCTTTTGTAGCTCAGACTATCCATTGTTCTAACAGCTTCTTTTGTTCTTTGAATTAGGTTAAACAGGATATGTGCAGGCCTGTCTTGTGTTACAAATTCATGCTAATTTTCGTTTGTAATAAACATCTATTAATTGCTGATAATTACAAATATTAATTCAATGAGTGTTGAGCGTTTTCGAAATTACTTACCAGCATTAAATCCTCAGTCGATGGTCTATCTTTAGCGTCTTTGTTAAGGCATTTTGCAACAAAAGATACGAAAGCTACAGACCTGGTATATTACATCATTCAAAATGAAACGGCATCATCTTTTACGGCGTAGTTATATTATTAGTAGTTTACCTTATTATGAAAAGTAAATAACAGCGAAAACTAACCATCTAGGGGATTCCTTCAGAGTTGGAGGATCATTCTGGGCTATATGATATAAAGCACTCATAGCATTCATATTTATCAGAGGGGGCTTTCTTTCAGCTAGAAAACATTTACCAAATTAAAGAGTATTTAATAATATTTAAGACAGATATTATTATAATAATCTTGTATATTCTAACCTAATTCGATACAAGTTATCCCAAGAGACCAGACGTCGGCCTATTTAATAAATTTAAGCTTGTAATTCAAAATTATATGATGGATATAAACCTGTACTAAATTTATAATATGGATGTAACAAAATCACCTTTCCATCATAAGGGCCTTCATCCATCGAAAGTATAACTTCAGGCGCCATCCTGGAATTGAATAGTGTGATGGAATTGTCTTAAAATGATGTAACGATCGCACTATACCTTAATATACTGTGTATGCTTTAACATAAACTATAAGACTTTTTCAGTAATTATGGCAGCATGATAAACCATCAGTATATTTTCCAGTATAACAAATATATACGAAACAAAAGTACATATCACATGATAGGTATCTTACCAATAAGGCGATCCAACGAATGTTGTTGCAGGACATTTTAAAGAAGCTGACCCAAAGTCGCCTATATAGCATAACCGATAGAGACGTTAGATCTTTATTGATATGTTTATTACACCAGCGCATGAAAGATGTTTGCATCAGCCTTTACCTAGCTTTACTACTCCTTCGGATGTTAGTAATACGTTACCAGCTGAAAAATGTAATAAAATCATTAGGATTCTGTCTTAGATTGAGCTTTTAGTCTTCTATATACCTTTTACGTCTCTATGTATTCTGTTCGTACTGTGCAGATAACGCAAACCCTATGTGTATATATGATACATTGTTAAGATAGGACGCATACTGGAAGATAGTTATCCTTCTTAAATTGCTTATTTTCGGTTTTAAGATGTTAGATTATAGAAGGCTTACCTCTAATGTTCCTATGCAAATGGCTGCAACCTCATTCTCATGTAGTAAGTCTTTGTGGACTTTAATGGTATAAAAATCAAGAAATTACAATTTTTAATACAATTTAAATTCCACGAAAATAATTGCGTTCTGAGTGCGTATGTCACAATACCTTCTACGATATCTGCGGCTGATCCTATGCAGTATTCCATTGAAAGCTAGATAAAGTAAGCAAGAATCGTTTAAGTTTGCCGATTGCAATAGTTCGTTTAGAGTACGGGTGTGTCTCAGAGCGTCATTGAATCATTCATGCCTCGAGATAGTGTATAATTTAATTAAGTTTACGTGAGCTACAACAAAATTTTGTAACATACCCAAACGTAATCATCCACTAAATAGCAACCATAATATTCAATAATATTCTTGTGACTACATGACCGTAGGAAGCTTATTTCTTTAATAATTTCTTGCCATTTCTACGAAGTCCGAATTAGTTGCTTTTAAATAAATAATATTACTGTATATTACCTAGGGCTCACATAATGATTCTTTCTTTACCTCTTCGGAATTTTTACCATTGAATGACATCTTCTTGATAGCCATGGCTTGGCTATTACTTTTATTACGTGCCTAATAGAAATATTTGATACTTTTATAATTTGCAACATTCAAATCAGATTTAACTTAAAATCTGTAGAAAATAAGTATTATATTAATTATAATTAGGTTGGCTTCCTTACAAAGTAGACAGCTCCGAAGCTGCCATGGCCAATTTCTCTTAAGATATTAAATTTCTTATTTGGATTTTCATGCGAAAAATATTCACCTACATTAGGGTCATTCCAACCCGTTGTAGAAGGCATTCTATGAAATGAGAAGGAGTGGGTACGTTCGCTTAGAGTCAAGATCAGGATTTATATCACGTAATCGTGAAGAAGAGCTTTTATGTCTTTACTAATTTCCTGTAGGTTAACGTAGTGAAACGTATACATAACTAAATCTTCTTTAGCTGTAGCTAACAGCCTCAAATTGTTTTAAATTTAGTATATACTCGTATGGCAATAGTTCTATCGGTACTGTAATGCTGCGCTTCGTTTTGGAAAGATTAAAATCAATTAATCAGGGTTATGGCCGCACCTCCAACAGATGTGTTTATTGAATAATGTAGAATAAGAGGAGTCACTAGGCTAGTGTTCTGTACGTGTTCGTACGTTTAGTTCAGAGTACTGAACTTCTTGCAAGACTCACTCACTTTAGTTTAATTTCGAGGATGAGGTTTTATACATATACAAGAGTTAAGCTAACTATAGAAGTCTTTCAGGTTCTCCACTGTACACTGTCGACGACTACTACAGTAGATTTCTTTTAGTAGTCCATGACACTGTAAACGATGCAGCACAGCATAAATAGTACAGAAATTTGTAGTTTGATAAGGGTTGTCGAATCATCTCACTGTACTGTACAGTCATGGACTAGTACTGTACGATGGTGTACTGTAGGTACTGTAGTGTACAATGTACACTGTACAGTACAGTATACGGTATGCAGTACGGTAGTAGTGTTTTTTCGTTTAGTTGTCCTACTACTGTACTGTACACTAGTGCTCGTATAAATATAGTACAAATATTATAATAATAATAATAATAATATATAATTAATTAATTAATTTGTATACTGTATTATTATTATTATTACACTACCTGAAATTGGCAAATATAACAGAGCACATTAAACATACTGTACCTAGACCAGAACGGCATACATAGTCGTTAAATCGATTTCTCTTCTGTGCTGTACTTATCATGAATAAAAATTCTTATGGCTTTCACTATCGGATCTACTCTAAATGCTGAAGATGCAGATCAGAGCTTATGGTACGGTAGTTCTTTCGTGGATGTAATGCTTTACTTAAGGGATGGTTAGTTACTATAAAAATTTATCATCAAATGCTATTTCTGATATCTTGACGAGCATGGTAACGGGTAAAAGCTTTTTTACTCATGGGTAAGAACGTGGCGATAGCTAAGATCATCATAAATAAGTTTATAGTATTGAAACAAATTTAAACTCTATCAAAATTACTTTAATTCACAGTTACTCAACTTTCATGTACATACGAGTATTTACCTACGAATAACAAACGAGTACACCATTAATATGACTGGAAACTACCATATTAACGGCTGTTGGGTCTCCAAGAACTAACGCCCAACAGACTGTCATGACTGCGACAAAATATAATTCTCGCTAACAATTATCAGTGATATATAGGTATATAGCCTAGCCTGAATTTTACTTACTATAATCCCTTCAAATTTGCAGTATACATACAGTGTGAATTAACCCATTTATGTGATACTTGGTCTGGGCATCAGATGATTCCCTAATCCCAAACTTTAAGTTTACGTTGGACCTATATTTAGAGATTATTTTTGGTGTAGAGTATACTCACATAGATAGATCTTTACAGTATGATCCGATCTTTATTCATGTTATTTAAATTTTACAGTAGGGCATAATCATTCATACACCCGGGCCAATCTCAACTAATGTGATACAATCCATCAAATATAACAAACATCAGTATTCAAAATTATAGAAGCACTCTACAGTACTGTACTGTATTGATCAAATATCCTTCTCACATTTACCACTCAGTTTTCAGGAGTAAGAACTAATTCATAATAATTTTAAAATTCTTTACATACTCATTATGCGATGATCCTGTTGCAATGTTACTTACCTGGAATTTCTATCTTTTCCACAATCTGTAATATAATTCCATTCCTTAATAAAAACTCTGGTGCCAGAGAAAGGCTCTACGATTACAAACGATGACAACCAAGTGAATGCCGTCTAGTCGATGCAAATACTGTACTGCACATACCGTACAGGCGTGCACTAGAGACCCTCTATAGGGTCTCTAGCGTGCACTGTACAGTGTACAGTATCAGAAGTACGGGACCGTACAGTACAGTACAGTACATGTCTGTCAGTAACACTGTACTGTATCAACCATACTGTTCAGTACAGTACATTAAGAAATAAAATATACAGTACTGTACTGTACATGTACCGTACTGTATGACGTACTGTACAGTACATGTACACTGTTACTGTACTATTACCTTCATGAAAACGGATGGGCGGACACTCATCTTGAAAATGATTACAGTAGTCCTGTACAGTGTACAGTACAGCACTTTTTTAGTGAGTCCCACATCTGCTCAGTTCTGTTCTGGCCACCGTACAGTACTGTACAGTACTGTACTTTTTACTGTTAAAAATTCTTTTACAGTACTGTACTGTACATTTCCATTATATCCGAACACGGACAGGAACTCCCTGGACGGTTGGACATTTCATCTTCATATCGTCTCAAAACTGTTCCAAACACTCCTATTCGTTATAACTTCAGTATGCAAATTAGCAGATGTTACATTGCGAAATTGGTTCATTTTCCTAAATTATTTACAGTTTAACAGTAAAACTGGAGTAATATTCTAGTTTCCTTAGTTCTACTTTTCGGCAGTTATACAACGTCATAAGTGTTTTTGAATTACTAGTGATGGTTAAGAAAACATGCCCAGAAGATCAGTACTAAGTCAGTACTTTTCGACATTTTTAGACGATTTAGACTTAACGTTCGTCCACCCGAGACCTATTCAGCTCATGTTACGGCGGACATCTAGTATTCTTTCCCCACCCCCCCCGTACCTACGCGTAAAAGTAAAGAAGGAATTTTTTTGCACTACAGTATACCTATTTTCTGTTGGGGCCTACCAACTGTATAATTTTTTTCATAGTCTGCTCATGATAGTAGTTATTATTTAGCTACTGGGAAAGAACCAATAACATTTAACATTGAACGATGTCTTATAGCGATTTACTCGTATACGAGTAAATCGAAATATTTTTGAATTCTCTTTTGGGCTAAATTGATGCCCCTAAACGTATTAAATACGTGTTCATATTTTCATTTGTGAACCTGAAACAGTGACGACTTGTATGTATTTTTACTGTACTATAAAATATTTTTTTAGCACCGAAGTATTCTGACTAGTTAACACAGCGATTTTAATACTTATCGCAATATTTTACTGTAGCGTCATTTGGGTGTATGTGTAGTGCAGCTTACTATGTTGTTATTACTGGAAAAACTAAAATCACCTTTTTAGTTTTATTTTATTTACCATATTTAAAACTGAATTTTTAAGACCAGCCAATTCACTATTTCCGATGAAAAACTCTACAGACCGTACAGACACCAGCACGTTAACTATAAACACGTTTCTGTAGCTCCATGGAAACTGCGAGTTACGACTATTATGACTATACAATACGCATTGTTTTCAAGTACTGTAAACATTGCGGGTTTAGCACTTATTGTCATAATTTACAGTTGATACGATTGCAATTAATTATCGATCGATCGCTAATATCCGGTTATAGATATAGTGATAGTACTTGTATATTAATATTTCACGAGCTGCATCGCATATCTTCTGCGGAGTATAGTATAGCATAATAAAATCATAGTAAATATCGTACTAATTAATACCTATAATCTATGAAGTCGCATTATATTATTATGTACATGTTATTGATAATGAGTTATACCTCGAGACTTATGGCATGATACATTAAGAACATGAACTATTCGTATTTCGATTAACGGTATACAATAGAATGCTTAATGCAGTACTGTAGTTACTATTGCTACAGTATAATGCACTCAGCAACTCAACAATAAACACAAGTTTGCTAAAACGTACTTAAAAATAAGACTTTACTATACGAACACTAGCATACAGTACGGTATACACTGTACACTGCTATATTCACGTTATAGTTGCAAGATCGTAAGTTCGTAACTAAGGTCAATAAATAATTAGGCCACCAACGCCTGACGTACAGCATGTACACGCAGCATACAGAATGTTTATACACGAACAATAGTCAGTAATACTGTATATACAAAGCCGAGTCGCAACCTGATAATAATTATCCTGTAATTTAATGATGGCCGCTTGATGTGTTATATGAAGATTTTAGATATACGAGTATCTGCACTATATTTTGTGATTAACTAAGCGAATGCATCTTACCAGTGTTCCTACCTTCAATAAAAACACGTGAATAGGTACGAGAAATAAAATTAAGTCCTTTAGAACTTGTAGCTTTATTTTAAAAGGTCTTCTTATTTAGAAGTAAAACAGATTTATAGCTTCTAAGTATCATTTAATGAATAGTGAAGAAATATTATTAACAATCTTCTATCCGTCTTATTTTTTGCTATTCTTTATATCGTACAGTAACTCATTTTCTGCGTATTGGAAGGAAAAAAGCCTACATTGATATGCCAGCATCAAGATTTAGCGATGAGGTAAGGCAGCTAAGACGTATTTGTACGTAAGTATGAGCGGCAAACTTAAGCTAGCGATGAGTTGCATTTGCGACTACGCGATATGGTTAGTTATTATCTCGCCTAAGTTCTACGTAGTGCATGCTATAACGTAAGCTTCTATAAAAGGAACTCTAGCAGGACAATACTACGATGCAGTCAAAATTATAGTCAAAGTAATAGCTGGAGCCAATCAGTCGATTTTAAAGTTATGCAAGTAAAAGAGTGGGAGTATCATTATCTGTGACAAGACTTTCAGAAATAGTAACTTTACTAAATTTTGCTATTTTTACCTAATACGTGCTTAAAATAATACTTGTTGAAATGTTCGCACGTACAGTACATACGATTAACTTGGAATCGCTATCAGATTGAGCCCTTGAGCCATGCGTGTACTCCGATTTAACACAACACTAGTATAATTGTAATTCTCCAACTATAATTAACTGATTCGAAAAACTGATTTTTTCGGGAACCAATATTTACGATATACAGAAACCTTATTTAGATGATTATAAAAATAGTATTTGCAATGGTAATTGGAATGCAATTTCATGAATTACTCCTTTGGATAGCTACCTTTTTCTATAATTAGATAATTTAATTCTCTATATTAATACAAAGAGAACTCTTATATCTAGTCCATTATGATTTCTATTGCGACAGTAGATCACTCACGCTAGACATTATCTTATCAGTCAGCTATGCGGTTTACCTACCCTAATTGCTACGTGTTATAAGTCTCATAAATAACGTAATTATTTATTGCGATATGAATAAGTTAAAAGTTGATGATTTCAGGAGATTCTTAACAATACTGCAAGATGTTTCAGGTAGCTTTTTAGACTCATTTTAGAGAGACAGTATGACTACTAGTACATTAGGAGCTACCAATATGGGTTATAACAGAGATTATATAAGTAATAATATCCCTGAAATCAGAAACACAACTCAATCAACTGTAATGAAATCTGTGTTTTTCAGAAATAAATTTAAATAATTATTGCTTTAATTTTAAATTTCTCGCAATGAATATCTATGTGTAATCGTAATACTGTACCACCTAGATCGACTTAACTGGACACATTGCAACAGTTGTCGGAATGATCAGTTGTATGACAGCAACGAATTTGTGATTACTGTGTATTGCTCGATAAATACACAATTATGATCTGCCCGATGGATCAAATTAATTAATCATAAGAATCAATTTTCAAATGCGGATAAAAAATTTTGATAGCTTTCCATACTTGCAAATATTTTCTTAAGTAGTTACAATATTCAAACCACTAAGTATCTGTACTCATCCAGCAACGTGGGGTATATCATGCTGTGTCTCGATGTATTGTCATTATTAATAATTGTAGGGTAGGCTGTTTCTATCGCCCCTGACTGGTAGCTTTTTCTATAATCAAATCCGTCATAACTACTATTGAATTAGACATCACGTAAACAGTATCATGGTAACCTACGATCGAGCTATTCACATACATCTGTTTCTGGCTTAAGAGATACACGTTCAAATTTAATTTCCTATTTCTTTCCTGACTATTCTGTGAGTACTGATATTAACTGAAATAGTTCTGTCTCTAAGTTGAAAAATTCGATGATGATTCTTACGTAAAAACTTTACTAATTATTTGCTTTACAATTATCATCTTGATTTGTATTTGTTTTATATGGCAAAATTTGTCTCGTGACAATATCCGTAAAAGATAAAAAATCTTCAAATATTAATCAGGACATCATTATTAATGAAATAAGTCTGAGATGTCATGCCGTATTTAAAAATCTAATAGTTATGAATCAAGCTTAATTCTGATAAAGTTCGGCTGAATTTATTTATACTCATAACGGCGAATGCTTATGCGGGATCATGCAAGAGTACTACTAATAACACGACGGCACTATAATTTTTTATCAGCAGTCCTTTAAATTATGATTTACTAACACTATTATGATGTACGTATACAGAATAGTTTCGGCGTAAATTTTCTACAACGTCGCTAAAAGTTAATCTCTTATAACAGTTAATTCCTTATTACTGAATTGGCAATTCACTATAATACAGTAGGCAACGTAGTACTGTATCGTGATTAAATAAATATAGTATATGATAACCTGTTTTGTAGTGCAATTTTGTTTTAACTTGAACCATAATATCTAACAGACAAACATGATGCTGAACGCTATCTTGCATACGAGTCGCGTGGTGATGCAACACAAGTTAACTCAGTATGCGCGTAAATTATAATACGCAGTTTATTATTTTCGCAATATTAACTTTTTCAGGTGTAGAACTATGTATTAGATGAAAAGACGGCACTGAATTATTATGAATAATACTGTACAACCAAATTGAAAAATTTTCTTATTGAATCTATGTTGTAATTAGAGGGAAAATTTGCGTACTGAGAGAACTTCACCTAGGGATACCGTGAAGAAGAATAAACCTGTCAATTTAACTTTCGATCCTTGTAAGTAGATTTTATTGTCTCTATTTGTAATCCAAGGATCCTTAGAGCTATCTTGGATCTTGTAAACATATTAAAGGTCTAAGGTCTCTACAATACCGTTAACTTTATTGATACGTAGTTACAAAATCAACTGAAGATTTACATATTAATCCGAAGACTCCAGAAGTGAAGCCAATCGATTATCAAGAAATGGAGTCCGCTCCAACGATCAACGGTAAAACCATTCAGTTCAGTCTGCCTAAGAATATTGCTAATGAAAGATACAGCTTTCTCTATCACCCGCAACTATCTTCCAGCCAACGTTATAAATTATGGAGTATTGCTACAATGTATAATGTTCAGCCTCTTCGTGATACGAAACGAAAATTATATGAACAGCAAAAAAACCTATCACTTAAAGAGATTGAAATAAAGAAGAAGATGTTACTTCAGATTGAAGAAAGGCAGGGAGTACATAAATCAACTTCTACTATACCCAGCAGGATTGTATCAGCACAAGTTACAGGCCATAGAAGAGCCGAAACGTTACCTAAACCTAGGAGACCGCATACAAGTCCGCCACGAACTTCGACTTCTCGTCAGCAAGATAGCATGAAAAAATTTATGCAGCGTCTAAATTCTGCAAGATCGAATGAATTTAGACAAAATATTGCCGCAGCGGCTAAAGAGACAAACAGGAGAGAATTACCAGATATCAATGATAGCGGTTCTATGCTTTCTGCTCGCAATCGCAGTGACATCACTTTATCTCAGCGAAGTCGTGCAAACTCGTATAGGAATCGAAATGGATCATACATGCAGAGAGACAGATCCGCTTCGCAGAGAAATCGATCAAAACAGGCTGACGACTCTACTAAAAAATCAGAAAATAATGAAGACACAATATCACAAAATCTTGACGTTTTAGCCGAATATCGTGCACCAGATGCTCCATGGGCGTCTGCCGATACCGTCAGTATTGCGGAAAGTATGTCATTAGGAGGAGATAGAGTTTTATCTCATTTTGCTGATACATTGTCTTTGGGCGGTGATCGTGTTATTGGTAATCAGGACAGCATATCCCTGACAGGAGATTTACCTACCGGCAGAGGAATGCATAGCGAAACTGTAAGCAGAGACCAAGAAACTGATGTAACTGCTGCTGGTCACTCAACTTCGGTCGAAAACAGAGTAGATAAGGAAGGTGACGATATTAGTATTGGTACGCCTAGTATTTCGGAAGGTATGCTAGAAGAACCTAAAAAAGTAACTCTTGGATTCACAACGGAAGAAGAGACGATTCTTGAAGAAGGTGCTACTGATTTCGATGTAGTTCGAAAACGACGTGCGCAGACTACGATCGAGAATTCTATTCGTAGAGCTGATTCAAATGCTAGCATGTCTGGTCGAGCAAAGAGCGGCTCGTTTTCCACTAGTATAAAAAATTCTCAAAGTAGCACAAGTATATCTAGCGATGATTCTTTTCATAAAGCTTTAAGAGCATCATCAGAAGATCCTGGCGATACTTTTTTTACAAATCGCCAAGATGCTAGAGCTGGTGATGGCTTTTGGGGTAGAATGGCTCAGGAAAAGAAAGACACACTTAGTGTCTTCGGTAACTCAGAAACATTAACGTAATTTTCGACTCGATAATAAATCATACAATGTCATATTAGTAATTGTAATCAGTGTCAGTCATCTTAAGATAGAACTATGAGTTCTTATAGGGCTGCATATTGCAGTAGCAAATCTTTATAGGTATACCCTGGATCTGATATTGTATTTGTAATTTTATTAGTAATACATACACATTCTATACGTAAAGAACCTGACTAAAAATAGTAAATTTTACATCATGAATCAGTTACTAGATTTTGAAGTCGATACCAGGAACGTAGCGTGTACAATATACCATTTATCTAATATTTTATTTTCTCTAAAACTGTTAATAACGGTAACTCGAATTAAATTAGCTACCTAGTTTCATTTCTGACCGTTTATCGAACTACTATATATATATTGTACAATGGAGTACAAAGTAGTGGTAAAGCTTCGTAATATGTTCTACTAGCTAATTAAAAGAATTATAATTAATAAGGAAATCTTACTTTTATTTGATCTATGAGAATCAAAATAACCTGTCTGTTCATTCGTTATTTGCCTAAAAATTTTCATTCTGTAGAAACTAATAATTTTTATTAATTTAGTGAATAAATTACGATTACCGTATTTGGAATTAGCAAAGGAAACTTACTGAATGTTTGCTTATAGACAGACGTGATTGAAAGTGTTGCATTTATGCATTTTATAACATTTTAACCGGCAAGAGGCGCGCTACGCTTCTATTAAGTATCTGAATACAAAACAATACAAATGCATTTCTTTAAATGGTGTTAATTTATATCTAAATTATGTAATAGTAGTACCTTCGTCTCCAAATAGAATAGATATATCTAGTAAGGGCCATACGGTGTACTTGTACGTTTACATATAAATAGCAGTAAATATTCGATTGCATGCAGTTATTATAACAGTTGCTGTATAGCAGATTAGTAGCCATTTTGCATTTGTAGACTACAATTAATGTTAGATGCTAAAATTTGCCCTATTTCGTAAAATTTTTGAAAACATAACCAGTCGTGTTTATATTGAGTATGCATTAATTTTATGCTTCAGCGAATTATAAATGCATGATATAACGAGGTCGCTGTTTGGGGGCTTTATGAAGCAATATCCAAAATTATCAGAGCAGTATTCTGAACCTAAACCTACAGTGGTAAGTTTACATTATAAGTACATATATGGAGAAATAGGGGGTTACTGAAAGTTTAGTATAAATTAATTATAATTCAGTCCCTTGATTATAATTACTACATATTGCACAATGCACAGATACATTAAATCGTAGCAGCTATTGCTATGGAATTAACGAACCAAAATCTATCGAAACTAAAAACTAAAATTAATGAAAATTGAAGAAAGTCAGGCATACACGGTCGTGGTACAGCTTAAGATCATAGCTATTATTATAATAAATAATTAATCGCATACCAATGGCAACGATCGCTAACAAATCAGCTATTCATAGCCTTAAAATCAGCAAATATTTTAAAATTTTTGAAGCGAAAGAGTAGATTTCCTTTTCACTTGAAATTTGCGAACAAAAGCAAGTACTGCGTATTTGGGCTCAAACGAGGTAATCAGCAATCTCTAAATTAACATTTGTCTTTTATTTTGCAACAAATACCTAGCTAAACGTAAAATATAATTAAAATTTACAACACATTATTTAGATAAATCATATAGTAACATTGAATTTATATCTTACGTACGACACTATGATCACTTGTAAGATCCTATCAAACAGAAGTACTAATTACTATACAATTACTGTGTTTCATGACTAAATAGTAGCTTGACAAGTTAAATCGTAAGTTTTGAAGTTAACACAGGGTAATTCGATGTAAACATAGGTCAGCACAATTACATCTTGATGTTGTTACGCAAAAAGTTATCAAATAAATCATTACATTGATCCATGCCTAATGTATAAAATAGTCAAAGCACGGTAAAACCATCTATATTATATCACTTAGTAAAAAATTTTAATCATAATTACAACTTTGCATACAATAAAGTCTAGGTGTAGTTGTTGGTAATATTACCACTGGTTTAATACTTCAAGATTTTGCATTATAGGCTTAACACTTCAAAGTATAAATTTAACTACTTTCGGAACTCGATTTTTTCCACTTTTACGTCATCGCCTCGAAGCTGATAAACGTACGTAACAACAGTTGCGGATTGGATATCCATTAACGCGAAAGATGGTGCAGCATCGCTATAAAATTTATAAAAGAAATTATAAATGAGAATTTTCTTACGTAAACTTTTCTTATTAGATTCTAAGATCATTGCAACAATATTTCCGTAGACTTTTAAAGAGCTAGGCACCTTTCTATAGGACTATATGCTCCTGTTGCTGAGCCAGGGTTGATATAAAATTTATTTTCGTGCTCGAATGCCTCAAACTGAGTTATAAGAGAAAAAATTAGAAGGTAGTAGCTATCACATTGCTCATTTTGAGTTTTTACCTTGTGCGTATGACCCGTAATTAAAATGTCTACGTCAAGCTGCCTTTGAACCTGTTTGAATGGAAAACATCTTAAAGAAGTACAAAATGAATAGAATAGTAGTTCTCCTTATAGGTTACTCACTAAAGCCAAACTCTCAATGTCACCCCAGGGTACGATTTGATGTCCATGGCATAAGCCAATACGAAACTGCCCTACAGTGATTACTTTTTGATCGGGATAAGAAGCATTCTAAATAACAAACTTTAGATCAGATACTGGTGGTGATCATAGTGCGATATTACAGTACTGATAATAAAATATAAACGTTAGTTTTAAGGTGCAAAAACCTCATCAAAGTCTCCCTTAACCACATGGACGTCGCTTGCCAGGTTTTTCAAGTAGTCATAGGTTTCCTTGTTGCATAGGTTCCCAGTACATAGGATATGCTTAATTTTCCCAGGTACCTACACCCAGATAATTAAGGAATGCAAAGTTACAGTCATACACTGCAGGTTTAATCGAGAACCTTCCGAAGATTATATTTTCAAGCGGGAATGAAACCGTAATACGCTAAACAGAATTGTTGTTAGCTAGAATTTAGGATCAGTAACTAGATATATCGTGCCAACGTGAGTCACGGTGAGGATACATACATCCTCCGTGATCCATTATAGTGCACTATCAGCTTACAAATGCTTACAAATTGACTGTTGGTACCACGTAATTTGAGATAACTAAAACTGGAGGTGAAATATCAACATACGTAATTACATTCATTGATATACGTCGTACTTACCAATAGTTTCTTAAATTTGTTGGGAAGCTTGTTGCGTCGATGTGGAATATGAAGATCTCCTATTACTAAAACTAACTAAAAAATCAAGATAGATGTAATGATTAGGATTGGCTGCAGAAATTTTTTATAAATATTCTGATCATAAGCAATACTTAAACTATCAAAATAATACGAGAGTAAATATGTATAACAACCTCATAATCAGCTCTGCTGTACTGTGTGTGTGTACTGTAAGTTATAATGTGCAGCATACTGTAATCTATCTCTTTAACCGTACAGTAAATACAGTAATTACGGTACCACTTGATTATAATTCATTATGGTATTAGTGTACGGCGGCATTTCAACACAGATGCAGATGCAAGTAATAAGATACTGTATATTAGAATTATTCAATGATTACGGAGTAAATTCGTAACTCTGACTTGTTTCGCTCGTGATTTTATATATAGCAGAGCGTTCTGTAGAAGTTGCTACTGTACCCATAAAAAAACTACCTGAACCATCGATAAATAAAAAAGTGCTGCAGAGAAATATTATCTGGTAATGCAGTGTGAAAAATCTATGCATGAAGTCATATCGAAAGTTTGCGCTTTTACTGCATTACTTTATCGTACATGTAGTAGATGATTGCTAGAACTTACCATGGCTGCAATGTTAACAACTCTTTGGTAAAGATAATCCGAATAAGTTAAATATTTGGCCAATGGATACCACTAGTGCAGTACTGTACTATACAGCCAGACCGATAATGAAGCTAAAAACCAGAACTCCTAGGACTTGACTGAAAGCGATTTACAGTACTGTACAGTGTATAGTACGTTAGAGTCAACTTCAATCAAGGATATTAAAACATTAAAACGTGTTCAAAACACGGAATCAGAATCTTACAGTATTAAGTCTTCCATCAGCACAATAATTAACTATTTCATTCTTAATTGTACTGTACTGTACCGTACAGTAGCTGCAGTTGTGGTGTACACTCTACACTGTATATCGATAACCGCATATTGGATTCATATTTTTGTTCTGATGTTCTTGTATATTTACTGCATGTCTGCATCGCGTAAACGCTAACATGTGCATATCCTACAGTACTAAACGCTACTGTACTGTATGCTGTACAGTACAGTACAGTACACTGAGTACAGTACAGTACCTGTACAGTATGTCATACAGTACAGTACGGTAACGCCTAGAACGTGTAATTTGTACTGTAGTTTGCCATACAGTACTGTACAGTACTGTACTGTACACTGTACTGTACAGTATTTAAAGATTTTATACACGATCGTACTACAGTATACTGTACTGTACTGTACAGTACAGTAGATGTTCACTGTACATTGTACTGTAACTTGTACAATATACTGTACAGTACCGCAGCATTGTTGATAATATACAGTACATACTGTACTGTGCTGTACTGTACAGTATAATGTTTAATGTTGTGGTAAATTGTTTAATAGAAAGAAGTCCCAAATTTGTGAGCTTTATTATCCTGTTTACATGATGCATGAAGATATCTTAAAAGCGAGGATGAGAGCATACTGTACAGTACCGAAAATAGTAATAAGAGAGTGATTGCCTGTGATAAGTTTTACATACAGTATTTTAAGTATAGTACTGTACTGTACTGTACTGTATGAGCATAGATTCTACTGTACCATACCGTACAGTGTACAGTACTGTACAATACAGAAAAGTTTTACCGATTTTGCCCATAGTACTGTACAGTACAGTGTACAGTACAGTAAGTACAGTACAGTATAGTACAGTATTTTGCCATAAAACATTAATCGTATTTTACAGTACCGTACTGTACAGTACTGTACACTGTACATTCACTGTACTGTAGTACTGTACAGTACAGTACTGTACAGTACTACTGTACTGTGGTGTGTAGTTTGCGGTAGAAACCAGGACTGAGAACCTGAAATTTGTACAGTACTGTACTGTACAAATCAGTACTGCAGTTGGCATACAGTACAGTATAGTACAAAGATTTTACACACGACCGTACCGCACTGTACTGTACGTAAAGTACTGTAGTGTACAACTGTATAGTACTGTACAATAGTAATAATACTGTACAATTAATAAATAAATAAAAATAAATAAATAGCTGAGAGAGGAAGCTAAAATCTTAATCTTCCATCAACATGGGAATACGGGTATTTCACTTGCTGGCATCTTCTTACTCGTAAAATACATGCAGTAAAGGTACAATAAACGTAAAATATTACGTTCTCTTGTAACATAATTGATTTCTGCTAGAATAGAAAGACGTTCTGGTTCCAAACTATATTTTGAGAGAATAGATACTGTACTAGATCTGATGGGTTAATAATATAATTATAATGTACAGTACAGTACTATTTCATTTCGTTTGTGCGATAGAGTAAAAACCGAAATAAACAATCTAAAATGTTCCAAATAAGCAGCAAGCTGGATAAGTAGCATTTATTTATGCAAGATATTACTTACTGGTATGTTAAATTAATGTTTATGTAATTACTTTGCCATACTGCCGTAAACTGTATCTTCAAAAACATAGCAACTGATTCATTTGTCCGGTACGCAATAGTAGTACTGTACCGCTGTACAGTATGTGGTACAGGTTTAGCTATGTTTTGGTTAGTTACTTTTTGTTTAAAATATTCAAGGATATCTATGTCCATCGGTCATTTTAGATCGACCTACTCCTGTAATGTGCATGTGGTTATACTGTACATTTTCGCCGATCAGTATGAACTCATTCTTACTGATGCTGTTACTGTAGTACGCGCGTTATCATTCATTTTTATTTACAAACTCACAGTTTCGTATCCAGTTCGGTACAGTTGGATGATAAAGAAAGAAATTAATTTATTGCATTTCGTGAAATTAGGCTGCATTGTACACTATACGTATATGTATGATACAATTTTCTCTTTGTAAGAGCTTGAGGTTGATGTATTCGCGAAACTTAGGAGTTTAAGCTTAAAAAATTATTTCTCTGATGGAATTACCTAGGTGCTTAAAATGGCTACGTAATTGTACTGTACAGTACTGTACACTACAGTAAATGTTCCTTAACACTTTCTTACTCTACTATACTGTATAGTGTACTGTATAGTGTATACCGTACTGTACGTATGTCTGTAACTATTTTTTTCCCATTTCTTATTTGTGGTCCGAATACTAAACAGTATACAGTACTGTACAGTACAGTATACTAACAGAACTTGTTTACATTTTACTGTATTGCACTTTGCCATGAACCACTAGAAAAAGTCATTTTTCTAGCGGTCCATGGCATTCGAACAAATATTGGGGTTGACTGCGAAACTTGATTCCCTTCGCAATGGGAGATTTGCTTGGAAGATGACAGATCATTCATTACTGTACAGCATTATTACAGTTGCTATAATTATTAAGTCATTTCTTTAATGCATAGTTAGTTTATAGCGGCCCTGCTAGATGCGAGGTATTAGGTACAAGATCAGTTCTGGTTCATGATATAGCTCTGTCGATTTGAGTGCTTAATTAATACAAAAAATCTCGCCGATACGAAATCTATTCTATGCTATTTACATGTTATCTCATAGAACTACATAGAACAACGTGTTTTTGAAAAAGTGCTCGATCTACCGACTAGGGTTCGAGTGATTGCAATCATTTCCATTGATGCTATAATATTTAATAAGTACACGTCTACTATTAGTCAGTTTCAACACACTCGTACCTTTTACATTTTAATCTCCAGTGACAAGTACGTGTACTATACTCGTATATTGTTCGTATGATTTATTAATTTATGCTTTATTTCAGCTATACATCTGTATATCTGCCATGAACGGAAAAGTGAAAAGGGACGAAGGTATAAATAGATTTAGATCTGCAACTAAAATTTATAAACGAGTTATGTATTAGATACTTAACCCTAACAGATAGAACACTTCAAATTGTGAATATGATAGGAATCTTAAGATGATGTAGTATTCCGCGTCTGAAGCTTGATGTATAGAGTTGCTACGTTGTTTATGGCTATTTATACTATATACAGTAGTATTTATAGATATTATAACGTTATTTCTGATATGGAATGTCTTTAATCGCAGAATATCAAACGCTAAAAGCTCCATTCCGAGAATTAAATGGGGAATCTCTTCTTCATATGGGACGCATTAGTAAATCAACCTTTATGGCATTATCCGATTATCGTCTAATCATTTGTACCAATGGCAATGTTTATTGTGTAAGTGCTAATGTACATCTGTACCTAATTTTTATTTTGGAGCTGTGTTACGTTAGTGTAGCTTTGTGTACAGACAGTTTACACCTGTGCATAGTCCAGTCCTAGACTGTGTACAGTGGCAATGCAGCTAACTCCTTCATCGAATCCTGGACTGGCCAGTCTTTTGAGATATGTCACCCTTGAATAATAATTTCTAATGTATTAGATTCCACTAGGCTTGATCGACGCAGCAGAACTAGTACAGAAGGATAGTTTATCAATACTGTGCAAAACTGCTTCAAATCTGCGGTACACGACTTGATTTGACTATTAAGAAGCTATTATTTCAATTGCATTATTAAGAGTAGCTTTACGAAATTGATATATGTTCATTTCCTATGGATTACATACTTCTTTAGGTGTACATTTTCTTCAGAGATTTTGCAACGAACGTGGGTTAGTAAAATTTCCAAGGTGCTTCGGGATAGATCTCACGTAGAAGGACTGTTTGCTTTTTGTCACATGGCTTGGAGTAAATGTCACCTGCAACATAAGGATAATGATAGTTTAAATCACGGTAAGGCTGCGTGTGATCCCTACTTTATACCATTTATTGCACAGTTTCGATACGTAATTCTGTAACTGTTATAATATTGGCTGATTTGTGCCATTATACAAAAAGGTATCCTAAGTATAGCTCTAATTATATAATTGTCAATGTAGACCACTACACTGACGTCTTCCAGGCTGAATATCATCGCTTGAAATTTTCGAATGAACATTGGCGTATTTCCGATTTAAATACGAATTTTGAGTAATAGCGTTGAGCACATTAAATTCTTTTTTCGTAATTATTTAACAAATTATCTAAGATATGACCATCGAAGGATGTTAGTGACTTTTCCGTTGATGTGCACTGCTAGATATTCCTCTACTTATCCCAAGTTGCACATCGTGCCTGCATCGGTTACAGATCAAATGTTGGAAAGTGTATTTCGATTCCGGTCATTAGGTCGCATACCGTCTGTAGTCTGGAGGTTCGTATAGTTTTTCTCAATATGGTAGAGACGTATGAAATGGTGTACGAGAGTATTTATTCAGTTTCTTTTCTTAACCATAAGTTCTTAAAATTACTGTCAATTATATCGATAATAATTAGGGATCAAGCTAGTGGCGCTGTTATTGCTCGTTCAGGGCAACCTCAGGTCGCCTTTTTAGGGTACCGGTGTGCCGAAGACGAATCTTTGATAAGAGCAATTGCTGAAAGTTCTACCGGCGACAAAGTTAATGAAGATGAGGTAAAATTTGCGATAGCTTAACATTGCACTTTACGACTGAGTTGTTAACAGATTTCCTAACTGAGTAATGGTGGTAGCTTAAAGTTTTGCTTTAATTAATAATACATACGTTACACTGTAAGCATGCTTGGCTCACTCATTCATTATCTTCTCGGCTTGCATAATTACGATAGCTCACTAATGGTATGGTGGCTTCTGCCTGCGCCGGAAGTTTGGAAGATAAATCGTTCTACAATAATTTTTCTCCATTCAATATGTCTGCATCTTTAAACCCATTAGTAAGTAGTGGTTCTTACAGCGTTGAAGCTAGCTCCAGCCAGCGGAGAAATTCCTTTCAAATTATTGACGCGCGATCTTATGCAGCTGCTCTAGCAAATCGTGCAATGGGTGGTGGGTTAGAGTATCCAGGTAAAACTATTTTGCTATCATTATGTGATCACAGATCTCTCATATTTATACAGTAAGTTTTATGCTGTTCGTAGACTACTACATAAAATGCAATATAGAATATATGAATCTACCGAATATCCACGCCCTTAGGAAAAGCTTTCAGACTCTTAGAGCGTTATGTAATCAATCTTCTGACCAATCAAGGTGTATAATTATATTTAGTTACATTCTAGTAATGAACATCAAATTCGTATTTCAGTTATCTTTAATGAATATGGAATTACTTGCTTACGTAACTATTTTTTTAGTTGGCTGGCAAATTTGGAATCAACGAAATGGTTCCATTACTTGGGTGGTCTTATACGTACTGCATTATTGGTGTGCCAGTCTATAAAGTCTTCTCGTTCAGTACTTGTACACTGTAGCGATGGTTGGGATAGGACATCGCAAATTGTATCACTAGCAGAAATTATGTTAGATCCTTATTATCGAACTATAGAAGTATGCAAGATAGTTATAGTAGTACTTTGTCCGAGCTCGAAATTGGTAACGTATACCAAAAATTTTATACAATCTGTAGGGTTTTATTATTATTATCGAAAGGGAATGGCTTGCATTTGGCCACAAATTTGCCGATAGATGTGGACATTCCTTTCCACTTTCAGAATCTAACGAACAGAGTCCTGTATTTCTTCAATGGCTAGATTGTGTGCATCAACTGATGAAGCAATTTCCATGTTCATTCGAATTCAACGAAGCTTTACTGGTTGGCATATAGCTAATTGATATATGAATTACCGCTAATGACTTTATAATCGGGTTTTTACATCTGATCATTATTTTCAGATAAAGCTCGCATACCATTCGTATTCCTGCCTTTTTGGTACTTTCCTATTCAACAATGTTCACGAACGTATCCAGCATAAGGTAGCTCAAAGAACGAAGTGTTTTTGGCGATTTGTTAGAACACAACGAGAAAAATTTTGTAATTTCCTATACGATCTATATGATAAGCAAGTAGGTTGATATTTCAATCAATGGATCCATTAGCTGAATAAGGTGTATAATAATTCCATTGAACAAGCCCTTTCGTGCTCTTGGAATTTAGGTTCTAAACCCTTCTTATGAGTTTCGAGATTTGTCGTTCTGGACTAGGATGTACTTTCCAACATCGTCCAATACAAACGGTTCTCAGACGATGTTATCGAGAAATCATGCTTCCTCTAATTCTGATGGCTACCCGAGTACTTTACAATCGAATGGTAGAGATTTTACCGAAGATGATAGGAAATTGCACAGTCTGGATAACAATAACACTTATCAGCTTGGAAATAAAAAGATTGAAATCAATAGGCCCAACGATAATGCATATCTCTTGAGTTTTAGTGATCAGAATGTTGTAGTAAATGAATTAAACGATTCGGTAGCTAAAATAGATTTTATTGATCATGAATCAGAAAATGAGAATCAACCTGTTGATGAAAATTCTGATAAAGACCAACATCCGATATTAAAACTGAAAGCAGAGTGTCGGGAGTCAAATCTCTCCGATCCACCGCTTTCTCCTGGATCGATAAAAGAATACTCTAAAAGGCTAGAAAATGTCCTCGATGTTGATGGTCTCGTAAAATTTGCTGATCCGGTGCAGGATAGACTACGAGATATCAGGTTATCATATCACTCAGAGATAGACCATTTGAGAGTGCAACTCGAAAACGCAATTCCGGGGTTGGATTCTAGTAGAGAAGTAGTATCGCGCGAGCAACTTGTAACGGTAGCAAACATCATCTAATCAAATTCTTTAGCTATTGGATTGTTACTAAAGTAAATATACAAACTTTACATTCTATTTTTCTTAGAATTTGGCTACTCCCAGCAATGGATATGATTACAAGGGTTTCTCAGTATCGGTCAGCGATGAGTTGCAAACCTGGGAGGAAGTCACTGAAGAGGATACTAAGAGAACTCTGTGGCTACCAGATTACGCAGTCTCAAATTGTCATGACTGTGGAGTACAATTTTGGTTTATAATCCGTAAGCATCATTGCAGGTATGTACTTATAAGCTAAATTATGGAGGAGACAGTTTTCCGTAGCAGGTGAATGCAAAAATTTAAAAACTTTATACGTTCTTAATTTGAAGGTGTTGCGGAAACATTTTTTGTGGTATATGCGCCAATCAGTTTATCCCTGTTCCGGAAGAGCAGCTATTTGACCCGGTTAGGGTTTGTAATAAATGTTATGCGAAGCTAAACGAAAGCTAAGCATTAGTGTTCCAGGCTTCAAATCAAGCGATATATTTTAGTTGTTGTACTTCAAAGAAATTAATTTATAAAGTAATGTAAAACAAAATTGGTTCTATTTAAATTGAGTTTTATTACCCATTTACTGTTGCAGCTTTCTTTGAAACATGATCATACATTTCTTGATTTTAAAAATATATTGTAACATCATAATAAGATTATGCTTTTTTGAGGACTACAATGATGAAAATTAGCTCGTCTTTTATATAGATTTTAACAATTATTATATTCTAAATATGCTACAACAGAAACTTCGAGTTTTCATCGAAAGTAGATTTTATGATATTGACGTTTCATTTTGGATGAATTACTAGAGTGGTTACGTCTTGACGAATGCAGATTTATTCCGCTCGTGGATAACATTAAGTGAATTGAGTTATTTAATAAATACGGCACAAACGTTCGTAAAATATTGCCATGTTTCACTTCCAACTTGACTTAGTAATCAAATAAAATACAAGTCATGCACGTCTAATGTACATAATGAAAAGATATCAAATTAATCTTGTTTCGTGTGATCACGCTCCGCCGTTTTGCATTTTGCCCTAGTCTTTGCGCTTAGTTCATTAAGATCAAATGAGTACGTCAGATTTTCCTAAACATTTATGAACGAGTATCATTAATTCTTCAGTATTAGAGCTTACAGCTTAACGATGTAATCTATCGACGCTAGCTTTAGATCTTATAAAAATACGGCTAACCTTAGTAAAGAAGAAGCGCATTAACACTTTACCAGTAACTGATATTGCAGGACGTCTCGTAATTTCTTTACCGCCTTCAAATAAAATAACTGTTGGAATTTGTTTCGACATTACGCCGGTATTTATTTTGTATCTAAAAGAAGCAATACACTTAATGATAGTAGCAATAACAGTAAACTCATTAGTAACATTATAAAGTATATTTCTAACTCTTTCGCAATTTCTGGAAATCGGCTGATGTCAACTTTTCCAAATTTCAGTTTATCGTTCGCAAATCTACATATGATACGCACAGTATAATGGATTATTTTTTCTTGAAAAATTGTAATATGAAATTACGAAGTACGTCAGTCAATACTTTATAAGGATGATGAATTTTTAAGTAATAAAGGTTGAGCGGCTGAATAAAATTATTAATCAAATCAACATAACGACACTTACTCTAACGAAAGTTGAGCAAATACTGGTGCTAGCCTTACGCATGTGTTGGACCAAGGTGTATAAAATGCGATTAACCATGTTATACTTTTATCTCTGGTAATCTCATCCTGCACCGTAAATGAGAGTGTTACTGTACTATTATCTTGGAAGTCTCAAGCACGTATTTAAAATTAACAGTGATTCATCAGCTATGTTACTAAATGAACCACAGTATGCTTACTCCAACAAGTTTAACAATTATTACTTGGTATTCAATCATTGGTCTTACTTGTATATTGGAATCACTAAAGTATTCGACTTTATCAGGACCAGCGTAAACTGGCTCAGGAAACAGGAGGTATACAACTGTTTGTAAAAAATATTAAATATGGTAATTTCTGTATCGTACTATAAGGATGTAGAAGACACATTCTTATTTATTAAATTTTATATAATATTGGCGCATAAAAACAGAAACGCTAAATTAATCACCTCATCTAAAGTGTAATGTCTAGCATAATAAATGTGATAGCTACGCAAGGAATAGCTTACCAATACACATGATAATGTATAGAGATCCTAATTTAATATCTCTCCTGCAGAGTAGTATGCTGCTGCCAAGCTTAACATATAAAAAGTAGGGAGACGTGTATTCCAGCCAGGATCCTAAAATAGATAGAAAATAAAATATTAGTAAATATTGAGAGTATCAGTCTGGTATTCATATTTAAATTAAATAAATAATAATATTGTACTGTACTCGTATAACGTATATACGAGTATAATAGTAAGTTAGGGTTATAGCGATTTTGAGCTAAATTTGCATTGGTGTAACCTGGTCGAGCCTTCCTATTTTTAATAAAACCGACTATAACAGCAAAAACCATGACTTCTAGTTCATCCTACGATATTAATACATCATTTAATTTTATCATAATGGATAAGACGAGCAGAAAAATGAAGATTGATATTTGTATAATCATGATCCATAATGGTAGTTACAGTTTAGCATTACCCAGGTCATTTCACATTCCGATCCTGCAAAAAAATATGTGCATAAGGGTGGGAAGGAAGCCGTAATCGGAAAAAGTGAAACAAGAACTATATTGGCGACAGAATAAGCATTTAGTATTTGTGATCCGGACATAATCAGGCTTACTGATCATCTAAGAATTACGATAACCATATAAATCATGTAATACGAGTAAATACGGTAAGTATCCAGATTTCTACGTTCCGTACCCTGATTTGCAGAGGTTTTTATCTCCTGTAAATACAGTACTCACTGAGTTTCATGGTCTGAGTACAGTACAGTACTGTACTGTACTGTATCATTTTTTAGACTTTCCGGACTACGGTACTAAACCATCGAGGGACTTCTACAGTACTGTACTGTACAGTACAGTACTGTAACATTAGAAGCCCCTCGATGGTTTTACTGTACAGTACAGTACTGTACACTACAGTGTACATACTGTACAGTACAGTACAGTACAGTACTGTACAGTAGTAATCAGGAAAGTCTTACTGTACTGTACAGTATACTGTACTGTAACACTGCACAGTACTGCACAGTACTGTACTGTACTGTACAGTACAACGAGGGATTACTGTTCTGTACTGTACTGTACACTGTACTGGATGGCATTGTACTGTACTGTACAGTACACGTTACGTTTTAGGTACGTTTTACACGTTACGTTTTAGGTAGGTTCATTCTTGTATCACTGCAATCTCTTTCCCAGTTTCTCTGGTTAACGCGACCGGTGTAAAATTAAAGTTAATTAAAATATTCGATACGCAGACAGTGCTACTATTTAAGAAAAGTATTTAAAATTCATCTGTACCAATCTGATAAATTAACCTCATTTATATTATGGCTCAGCAATCATTATATAATGAATTTATGCAAATACCGGTTATAACTAGAACATACACGACAGCTTGTGTAATAACGACTTTACTGGTGGTAGGTGCATACGAGTATAATAAAGTGGTATAATATAGAAAATTATAGATCACGGTTAGCGATGGTGTTGATTTCCATATTTTCTAAATTCAAGCTTACGTAGAAAAGAATAGTCAGTACTGTATAGTCTAACAGATAAATACTGAATGTCGTTAATTTGTTTAACTCTCATTGCGTGTGATGATGAATAACTTGAATCAAGATCCAGGAGTATTTGTTGTTTCTGATCTTAAGATATACGCGTAATTGTAATTACATTTGATCACCAATCAAGAAACCAGTCGAACATTACTTTTCATGCTATAGTTCTGGACTATTTTATTATTCAGATTTTACAGGGATTCTCTTCCTTTAACATAAGATATTTCCACCTGACGATATCGGAGTACTGTTAGAATCGTGTAGTGTGCAGGGTGTACGCTTGTGAATATCGTACGAGTACTATACTGAACTATCATCAACTACGTATTGGAACGCGCAGTGTGTACTATACAGTATAATAATGCAGCCACAACTACGTAGTTGATATAGTACCTAATTTTAGTTGTTCTGCTAGTGGTTGGCATTCAATGTCAATACAGACAGTACAGTACAGTACAGTCATGGGCTACATGTGATTATAATTATCTAGTAGTTCAATGGAACAGTTTACTCCATAGCTTCATAGCAGTAGAAATCTCTGGTATAACGTACAGCAGATGTACAGTATGCGTTTTGCTATGGACTACTAAAAGAAAACCTAAAATGGTCCATGATTTTACGTATACAGTGTCTTACACGATTATCATAAAAGCTGAAAACAATTAATTATATAACTGATACGTTATTTCACTTATCGAATGAATATGTTTAGTTCATTAATGGAATCAATGTAACCAAAAATTTAAAAGTAATGTTATTTTTGAAAAAATTAAATTAACTGTTATTTTTCTTATTCTTTACAGCAACTGGATGTTGTTAGTCCTTTCCAAATATATTTTAATCATGAACTAATATTTAATCGTCTTCAGGTACAAAAGAGAAAGTGATATTCCCATATAGATCTTGTTACGCTTCTTGATAAATGCCTATTAATTAAGACGTTGAAACTGTCGTTGTTTTCTGACCACATATCTAAACTAGCTATAAATATTACGATAGAAATTAATTACGTTACTAGTAATTGGTAAGATAGACACTATCTCGGTATTTATTAACCTTATCCAAATCTACGGCACTTTATTATTCTTGCAATTGTGTACTAGAATAATGGCAAGAAATTCAAGATGTTATAAATGGACTATATGTAATACTTATATATTGACTTTACACGCGTAGTAATAAATTAATGACCATTTTTACTTTACATCAAGTTCCTTATTTACTTCGCTTTCGAGTAGATCAGAAAATATATTCCCTTTGCCATGCTGTTCAATCATAGTGCATAACGTAATATACTTGTATATTGTATGGTAAAGTCCTTTCGAACGTTACAAAATGTACATTGTTCAGTCGTAGACAGCTATTCAAGATTTTTGCAGTGATCTATAGTATAGTGTGCTTTGTAAGTTACAAAATATAGACATAGTGTAATATACCTGAAGGCAAAATATTAATACAGCAGGCCCGGATATACGGTTTAGTAACTGTATCCATATGAATATTTCCGGTTGTCTTGACATTACCATTCTGCACTGCTGACCTTAAGATATGATTTATGATGACAACACAATAGGCATATAGTGTACGATAAATATTTCAATGCTTTACTTAATATAATATATATTCAATACTATTAGCTGGACAGGCAATATCTAGTATCATGCCAAGAATAAATTAGAGGGGCAAGAGAAGAGCATTTCTCTTCCTCAAAGACTGGAAGTTATTAGTTGCAAATGATAAAAAATTTTTTTTAATTTGATTAACATCATCATTTCAATTTTCATTTAGCTATGGAGACTATTTACCAGCTTCTTCTTTTTTGGGTATATTGGATTTAACTTTCTTTTCAACATGATATTTATGTATCCTTTCGTCCTTTTAATGTTTTTTAGAATTAAAATTTTTGTGCTATTGTACTCGTATTAGTGTACTACAGGCTGTAGCATCTGAAATATTCAGTGTACAGTATAAAGTATTTTCTACAAGTACAGTCGCAATACTGTACAGAACTATTTACATGCTCTTCTAGATCTCCGAAGGTCTGGAAGTCCATGATATTTGTTACGATATTTTGTATATACTGTATATGATGGTGTTGTACTGTAAATGCTAGAACCTAGAAGCCTGCTGTAATTATATTACCAATACAGAGAGTTTTATACTTTATGCTTTAATTAAGCTAAATTTACTTTTAAAAGTCGGTCTTTTCGCAATTAAACGATTTGCACCACCAGTTCGAAGGTAAAATTTTTACCACTGCGACCTGACAATTTTCTTAACGTAAATTGGATATCGATATTGTCGTATGCTGGAGGAGGGATCTTTCAGAGGAAGAACAGCAGATTTCGCTTACATGTTTATTATTGGTGGCCTTTCAACTGCTGTATCCATTATGTTCTTCTGTTCTTGTTTGATCGTTTCTGATCGTCCTTGATGGATTGATTCTACTACTTTACCGATTGTTCGTAAATGTGAAAATTTTTAGGTGCTATTGCTGTAGTTAGTATTACTATCATGAACAGTACTAGTACATGGACTTTACGATTACAGTACACAATTCAAATGCGATATCACGGCAATACTATCTTTACAGTTTTAGTAGCAATAATTTTGCAGAATTTCAAGAGATATAAAGTACTCAGTAAGAGGTGTTACGATAAACGTTACGGTTTGTGATTTTGGTCGATTCTTAACCTTTATGAATAGATCTGTGGCTGTTTTACCCAACTATTGTTTCTAGGTCAAGCCTTAACTCTGATGTTTGTTTATGTGTGGAGTCGACGTAATCCATTCATTTATTTGAATTTTCTTGGCATACTAACTTTCAAAGCACCATATCTTCCTTGGGTTTTACTGGGATTCTCACTCCTCCTTGGGGGCTCAGTTGTTGTAGATTTAGTCGGTAAGTTTATAAATTCATAGAGTACCGAATTCTTTGAATTAGTTTTAAACCCACTTTAAATGAATGACTTCTAGGAATTGCTGTAGGACACGTTTATTACTTCTTAGAGGATGTTTTTCCTAATCAGCCCGGCGGGCAGCGATTACTTAAGACTCCTTCATTGTTGTAAGTTTTGTAATTTATCTAGTTGTATCCGCAGTGTAATTCTGTTATCTCGCGCGAATTACGTAAATGTAATAATTATGGATGAATGCCTTATAAGGAAATGGATATTTGAAGGAACTGTGGATCCTGCATTTGAAGCAGCACCTGAAGAAAGACCTGGCGGATTTAACTGGGGAAACCAAGAAAATCTAAACGAGCAATAGCGTGAAAAACAGACGCTACGTATCCAATTGATAAATATATTCATATGAGACACATACTGGATGTATTATAACTACGAATATTGTACAAGGGTATTTTCCGTTACAAACGAGTATCATATTTTAGCAGGAAGAATTGACAATCTGTCTAAACAGCATTTTTATGTGATAGTATTATTACTAATCATTGTACTATTTTGCCTATAGCCATCATAATATTACTTATAATACACAGTAATTGAGGTATTTAACATTGAACTTGTAATAAAGATTTATCCATGGCTTCCGACAGAAGTCATCAGATGTAATGAAAGTTTATTATAAAGAATATCATAATCAATAATATATAGTACAGTATAATCTAATTACAATATGAAAGAGCTAAGAAAATTTATCAAGCTCATAAATTGAGTTAGGATTGCTATTTCCAGAATGATTTATCAATATGACCTTCTGCTTTTGGTATGTGACGGTTCTTCAAACAGTCCTAAAGTGTAGAGAAAAATTGATTTACAGTACCAAATCGTAGGTTACTAACAGTAAAAATACTAAACATTAGTTAAAATAGTTTCTGTGATTTGTGGTTCAATGACACAGTACGTACCTGTAAAAATAGTAGCAAGCGGCTTAGAGGGCCTCGCTTACTTTTTGGAGTAACTGCTTCTAGCCTACAGATTAATCACGTTAGTATCCTCAGTAGTACTATAGATCTGCGTATTTTACTAAGAGTTCCTGCATATGCATTTTTATCTCACTTTGGGTAATATTCTTTACATATTAGTGTAATTAGCTTTCCAAATTGTTTCCCATACGTTAAGTTTAATTTATTTCCGGCAACCTTAAAAGTAAAATTCGTTCTCAATGCTTATTTATATGTCAGTTATAATAAGGCTAAAAGATGTAACTCGGGTATCCTTATGTAGAGATAAATTGTCGCATGAAGATAGTAATTGTAAAGTTGTAATCTTGAGTTCTTACTTGAAGAAAATCAAATATTAGTGTTGCGGTGACATTAGGTACTGGTGGCATGTTTACTATTCTTGCTAGCCATCTCCATCCATATTCGATACCGTGGGGATGTGCCTTCAGAAACGACATTTAGTAATATTCATTAGATGTAACTCTCATAACTTGGAATAATAAATTTCAATAATGAAACTTATCGAAGGTACTACAACAATTCTATAAACTATGTCAAGCAGATATATATATTTTACATGGGTAGGTCCCTGAGGTGGTGTACTTTGAATAATTGCAGCATAAAGTCTGATAATACCAGACATTCGTTTAAGATATTGATCTTCATCTTCAATGTTGCCGTCCTTGACATGATATCCAAGTTTCCTTATAAAAATCACATATATTAGTACATCATAACTAATAATTTTAAATAGAATTACAGTAACCTAGCTGCTAAATTAGTGCAAATGTAATCATACTTGAAATATTCGATGTCATTCTGATCGGCTAGTCTTGGAATATTGAAAGGCACAGTATAAGGACATAAGGAGTAAAAATGTGCCAAAAAAAGATTTCCCATTTCAGGGTATTCACACCATACACCAAGTGCTGTAAGAGCAATAGGAAAAGCCGATGCATGACTTGCCGATATCTGCTGATCTGCTTGTTTCTGAAGGATTAAATTATAATCCATGATTAGAATATATTTCACTTTATCCTACCAATTAGTTATGACTTCAAAACGTGATTACATAGCAAGATTTTAAGCGCTGTGTTCTTACTATAAACTTTGAAGCCATGATATCGCGACAGAATAAAGGGCCTTCAGGGTGTGCAGTCGATGTAACAACTTTTCCTTTGCAAGTCACTTGCTTACCACTGAGGAGATTATGTAATCTTCTGATTTTGTCTAATAGATGCTCCGCGGATTGGCTTGCAATCGTATTGATTGGTGTAGTAATAGCAATAAGAAGATCAAAGCGATACTTCTTTGCCTACAATGCATAAAGTGGTAATTACAATAGAAAAGAATTATTGAATTACAAATAAAAATAAATTATTGCTTTTAAACCAATCATTCATCACAAACCTTAGAATCATTTACTAAATTGCTAAACGTCTGCTCATACTCTTTGTGAGACTGCATGATAGCAATATATTCTTTCCATGCATTTTTTGATATAAACTTTGGCACGTAAATGTCTACAGTAGCAATAGAGATAGATTGCCATAATTACACTTTTGGGTGATACATTAAAGGGTATAATAAACAGATCAGGGGATATAAATAGCAAATAAAACACTCACTACCGCTACTGCTGGTCTTAGCTTTAGTAGTTTCGTTCTTTCCATCTTCATTCTGGAATATAGAGTGAGCTATTTTAAAAGTTTTATCACATGCAGAGAAATTATTTGTATTCATATAATTAATTAAAAAATATTATGTTGTCACGGACTTTCTTCATGGAATCATTCAATTTATTACATCCGGCCGCTAAATTTTTTGGTAATTTCTCATTAGTTTGATCTGCCGCAGCTGCTTCCTTTTGCTTAGCGACTAGGATCTTTTCCGCCTCTAGTTCTTTCGCCTTGGTCTGCTTTATCTCTGACTCAATGATGTTACTGGCTTTTTCTATAAGCTGCTGAAGGACTTTAGCCTAACGTCCATTTAATAAGATTGAATTAAATTAAATAAGTATAATAGTAAAGGTAATATATGAGTATAAACCGTATATAAAATTATATCTCATATATATATAAAGTGCACCTTTGATAAACAGTTTTGGACCGTGGCTACGCTCCTTTCGTCAATGCTACGAGAATTACTATCAGCTTGGGTAAGAGCTTGTTCGGCTGCTAGATGTAAATTCTTAAGTATACTAGTTATGTCTTCAGTAGATTTCGGTAAGTGATGCAATATTTTGGATTTTTCGTAGGTATTAAAAATTTGATTTATCTTTTCTTCTATTTGCACAATTTGATAGACAGTTGTGCGCATATGTTCTAGTAGTTTACTATAAACGTTAAAATATAAAGTTATCATTTACTTAGGGACATTTAAGAGACAGTTGTGCTTCCCTTGAAAGTACCATGTAGTGCATCGTACATGTACATTACAGAATGCAGAACAGTTACCGTTTCTGTTTTTCAATATATTCGCTAAATTCTAATCCTTTAGAAGCTACAGATTCCAGCATCTAAGTTTACAGTAGCAGAATATAAATGCCATGCAGGTTAGACGTATCTTCACAATCGATGCAGCTCTGAACTCGTGTCACAGTCGTAATCTAAAAATTTTTTAAATTTATGTCGGTGCTCAGTTTACCTTAACATGCTCTTCTTGCTGATGGGATTGTTGCAGTTGACGAGATTTAATTTGCTGATTTCTACATTTGTAAAGTAAAATCGAATCAAAAAAGTTTCCAATATTTGGCGTGCAATTGAAATGTATACGTTCTAATACCTTAGTTCTTCCAGTTGCTGGGCTCGATTATTTGCTAACATCTCACGTTGTAATCTATCTTTCCTTTTTAATTCGACAGCAATTTTACTACGTTCATATAGTGACCGTTTCATTTCCTTCATTTTTGTCATCCATGTAGCAAATTCAATCTTATTTTTAAAATGTATAGTTGTATTTAGATCAAAATTAATAGTCTAATAATAATTCACATATAAATTAATCGCTAAGGAACGCATAAGTATTCAGAAAATTTTGAAGAAATACGGAAGCAAGGTTTTCTTAAATAATATACTGTACATCATATCGTTTTCGATGCTCCTTTGAGATTGTAGCTAGCCGTGCTTCAAAATCAACGTGAATCTCTCGTACCAATTTAGCGTCAATCAGATTTTCTTCTCGCGATAATCTATATAAAATAGTTGATAATTTTCTTTAACTTTAATCAATATCACAAATACATAGTTACTATGATTTAGCCCAGGATGCTGCTTAATTTATACTCGAAATTGATCTGCATAGCTGCATTACCCTTCGTCATCATCATCGTCTTCTTCACCACTGACCAGATATTCTGGCAATAAACCATAACTTTTATTGTAGGATTTGATATTGTTCTGCTTATCAATATCCATGTCATGCGAATTGATATCATTAGTCGAATGTAAACCTTGATTGCATCTCTTAAAATGCACAAATGTATCCGATACTTGGCTTGCTTTCGTTAGAATGTCCTAAAAAAATGGAATTATAATGAATAAGTCGTGCTATATGCGCAGTTAGTCATTCTGTGGCAAAGGACTATGTAGAGATGATTATTATACTCTATAAGTAAGCGAGAACAACGTATTGTGATCATTTACAATAAGGTTAATTTCTTATCTTTTCTCATGTACAGATTTTTGCTTCATACACGAATAGCGCGTATAATGTAATCATGAGATAATGTAAACAAGTCAGCTATCATGTATTTGCAAGAAGTTGGATTTAATCCTGCAACATAAAGATATTGCAATGCCACTATTTTTACATTTTAAGTCCTTGATAACAAAATATTTAGTAGTTAAAATTCTCGTATACTGCATGTTCTAGTTCTACTTACGTATGTTATGCCATCATATAATCTCATGCAATAACAGTAAATACCAGTGTACTGCATTGAATACAGTACTGTAGCTAATGCACCAATCACGATTCATAAGTATGAACAACGTAGAGTACTTTAATCTTTTTGGTGCTTTCAACTTTGTCATTTTGTCAATGAAGCTACTGCATAAATGCGAGATTGATCTCTAGAAGATTACTTATGTAAGAAAAGAGATCTTTAAAACTTCAGACGCAAGAATGTGTAGTAAAAGTTCAGATATTGTGTATGACCCGTAAGTACAGTCGTCCAATATATAACATACATGCTGCAGTACTGCAGCAGTAGTACAGTATTTTTCTCGTAAATCTGCCAAGATCTCATAAATTTGTCAGAATACGTAATTTAGATCTTCTACAGAATAATTAATTAGTAAAAACCGGGTTCTAGACAACGTCAATTTAGTAAGAACTATAAGGTATAAGATTACTATAAGGCTCGTCATATAACACTGCACGTAAGATAGTTTTTACCTTCATTCGTTGTGGATTTGTATGCCAATCATGATCGTAAACTAGCTGACCTTTAGGTGAGGTCTGAAGGTTTTCGATAATACTTGAATTATTTTGATCACATTTGGGCTTCATCTTGTATCACTTCACGCAAGTTCACGTTGCTGATGATCGTTCAATGACAGTGAATTATAATTATAGTCTAGGAGTATTTGTTACCGTTTCTACGCGAAGAAATAAATGACATGATGAGTAGTGAGTAAACCATAAAACTTGTAAAGCTCATCATAACACTCAATCAGATTAGGTTATCAGAAACTGTAGATTGAATTAAATTTAATTTATATATCATTTGAGCACTTACTATACTGTACAGTAATTAGTGCAATGCTACACTAGAGATTACAAATGTACAACTTTAAGAAACTCAGACGATAATAATATAGCTTTATTAATCTTAATGGAATAGCAAAGTATTATTTATCGACATACTGTAGTATTAAAACGGATCGCGCAATACAACTTAAAAATTCAGCCGATAATAAAGTAGCAAAGCATTGCTAAAAATTATAATTATCGATATAGTGTTTACAGCAAACTAATGCGAGTAAAAAAAGATCACCAGCCGAATTGCAAAGGCTTGTTTCAACCCTAGGACTGTATGTACTGTAAGCGTTTAAAGTTCTGCTGCATTTAGCTTTAAAGCACTGTCTACTGTATGAGTGATACTGACACATAACAGTATAGTACTGTACAAGTGTACAGTACATTCATGGTACAGTCCAGCCTTGCTTTAGATAGGACACTACTAGGCTAGGCTGGGCCAGGGACCTTCTCAAGTCGAAAAGAAAGGGCAAATAAAGCAACCGTTTCTTAGACTAGAAATTGGAAGGCCGACTATTTTATTGATTATTTTAGCTATATTGAAACTTGAGAGGTTCCTGAGTGGGCTATAGGCTTACAGAGGTCTACTGCAGTATTGAGAAATGGATTAAGGCATTAAAAATGCATCAAGAAGTCTCTGGGGGTTAGGTTTACCAAACCATCGACAGGTGTACACTGTACATACAGTAATCGAGCACGCTTATGGTACAGTAGCTTATTTATTAACAGTAATAGTTTATCGCTGTAGCTTACAATATACTCTGTACTCCTTTCCCGATAACGCTATCGAAAAGTAACCGTTTCGAACTACGTGATAGAGCGCAACTATCGGAAGACGCAAGTACATAAGTATATAAAATTGTTAATTTTCGCTCAAGGAGCGGGTGCAAAAAGGGGCAGTAAAATAAATATCCTAAGAGTTACTGTATGTACTCATCTCAGAACGCTATGACTTGCACAGCGGGTTTACCTCACCTCTAATAAAATATTATACACGCTTATACTCTCTATATATTCTATGTATAGAAAATAGTTTGGTCCGTTTTCTGTTCGTGTATTAGTTCGTAAATTTCATTGGTTCGTAAAACAGTGCGTAGTAACTCATGAATGAATTAATTAATATATAACATCGTATAATTGTGCATATTTACATACTTATATCAAATTTATCAAACTGTAGAAAGCTTACTATTGCTTAAATGCATATAGCCCGTTTGTATATGCAAGTCTCTAACCCTTCCTACATATTTAAAATTACATAACGTATTTTATTTTAATATAAGGAATAACGTTTCGCTTATCTAAACTTTACATGCTTTATGGATATCGTGATTACTATTCGGTAATTTGAAAACAGATATACAGATACTGATGAGCGAAATTACAGTACAGTACATATTATTTAAGTTATAGTTGCTTCACAATCTGAGGGCTATATCTTGCACAGTACCTGTGTACACGTTGTAAAAGCCATACAAATTTTTCTTACGATTTGTGGTTAGTAAAATCATAATTACATTGCTACAACAAGGATCAATTGTGAACGCATTTTATTGTCTACACTTTTATACAGGCATTGATATTATTACATTAGGAGCGTATACAGTAATTACAGCGCTGATAGTTAACAATACATGCACCGTATAATTATATACATCTATTCTCGTATTTAAATTGTGCATAGAATATACGATGGCGTAACAGATAACGTGATTAAGAATTACAAGTAACCATAGTGGCCATTTTTGATACTTCTTTGCAAGATTGGCTTATTACAAGAAGTTTCTAATCACATCTTCCGTTTTCTCTTACGTTGTAAAATAACTTTCAAGTTTTCGTATCTACCAGTTGGTTCAGCAACTTCGCCTGCACCTGGGAAAGCTTCCCATGAATTACTATTATTAATAGAACTTCGCTCGGTGCTCTCGGTTTCTTCAGTTAATTCGTCGACATTATCTGTATCATTGGGTATGTTTTCTTGATTAAGAATAGATGATTCTTTCATTTCTACATCAGTGGCAGTAATTATGGATGCATTTTCTGTATTTTCTAGCAATTTTTCTCGTTCTTCATACTTTTTCTTTCCATTTTCGTCTTTAACGAGATAAACACAATCTTAGTACACGTTACATTATTCAATTTAAGAACGTAAAAATTATATCCATTGTATAAAGCGAGATACCGCAACAAGAATCTTCATTTATTATTTCGTCTGCAGATTTTTCGCTGGAACTATCGTTACTTTCGTTGCAAGTCAAATTAACATTTGATTGCTAAATAAGTTTATACAAAATGAGTCAACGTTTCGATATTGGCATATTTACATGAAAATTAAATAAAAACCTACCCGCATAAATTCTAAGTTTACAGGAACTGACGGCTGATACAAGAGTATCATTTCTGGAGTGCTATTTGATTTTTCTAATCTCTAAATGTAATAAATCTTAGCTTTAATTTAAAAATTTACTAGAACATCTCCTTTACTATTGCTTTAACTGTATTAATTGTCGTATTAAGAGTAAACCTAATTAGCAAGTAGGTCAAATATATTTATTAAAACGTACACTCAACGGATTCAAAGGGAGTGGTACGTTAAGACCAGGAAATTCTAATTCGAAACAGCATTCTTCTACGTAAATCAAATAAATAAGTTATCTAAGAAATACCCAAAATTTGCGGAGTTGGATCGTTAAAAAATTTTCTATTATGCATGTGCTATAATAATAGTAGTACTAGCGTTCTTTACGACCTGGTCCATAATCTGGTTGTGAGTCCATTTCTAATTAAATTTATATGGTAAGTATCAGTCATCTTGAATGTTATGCAATCTCATCATTATTTTCACTACCTTGACCATCTTCATGATACAATTTAAGTTCTGCTGATCCACCTCTGATCCTAACGTAATCTAAAGGATAACCTAACTCTCTCATTCGATATAAGTAAGGAGGAATTTCATTTTGTTCGATACCTAAAGCTTCTCTTAACTCATCACTAGAAGATATAATTAATAGAAACTGTGAGCATCATCCTTACCGAAATTAATACGCTTTCTTCATTTTACCTGACTGAAGCAGGATCCATTTCTGTAAATTCTCTTATACTTTCATTAACTGAACGGTGGTACCTAGGTAAATTATGATAATAAGGTACGAGTTTACACAATTACATCATACACAATTTAGAACGGCCAGAAATGCCTGTACAACACTACCTAGTTGTGGAATTCCTAGAATCTATTCCATGACTTTCTTTATATTCTTTACGTTTTCTACTTACTCTATACAAGTCTACCGGCTGATCCATCATTTTTTAACATTTAGCAGACATTACTTTTCAGCGAGCACGTCATATATTTAACAAAAGATTTTAAGATCATATAATCTAAGTTACCAAAGGACAATCTGCAAGGCAGTGATTGCCGTCGCAATTAAAACATTCTATTTTCCTGAAAAAGTGTATATTAAAAGTATTAGAGTCACTCCTTCGAAATATCATGTATTCAAAAAATTATTTAAGTGGCTCTCCAAGGCTGCTTACGGTTTTTTCTCTGTGATATTTTCATTGTTTTCATCTAGTACGTTGAAGCTAGATTGAGAATAGCTGGAAAGTTATCTCGTTAAAGTAATTGCATGAAATTAAAAATGTCTATTACCGATACTACTGTTCGTAAATTGATTAAAAATTATGGTCATCATTCTTAATAACTTTAAGTAGCTATAATGATGCAACTTAATAACTGGTTGGATACGCAGGCTTGTTGATGGAACGGTATGCTGAATTACAAATAGCCGTAGAACTATTTGTATCAGATACATAGTACTTGTAAAATAGTAATTCCTGTGTGTCCTGACAAAATTGATAATCTCATCAATTTGAAAGAAAGCATTTTGACAATAAGAAGTACTCACCTGTAAACAGTCAGAATGATCGCTTTCGTCAGAATCACTATTTTCTTGTTTTCGAGTGTCGTTTTTGGCTATTTGATCCTCATCATTCTTAATGACGAAAATTTCGAAAATTATTGAATGAATGTATTACAGCGCTAGTTCGGCATAGAAGATACTTTATAGCTTCCGTATAAACTATAGCACTTTCATTTAATTAAAACATAGTAATACTTACACCATCTTTTAATAAATTACTAGAGATATAATTAGCTAGCATTCCTTCAATTTCTTTCTGCTTTGTTCTACAGCATGAGGAAAATAGGTATTTTATTTCATAAGCAAAACAATATCTTGATTATGTTCTGCATGGATACAATATACAGTAATACTTCAACAATTGTCAAGATTAGAAAATTGCACACCGCAGAGTCTACGCCAAAATGGGAAGCTATGTAGAACAGACGGTAATAAGAACCAGCATGCGTTTCATTCTAATATCAATTGCAAAGTAGACCTAAATAGATTCCTAGACTAGACTAAGTCCAACAATTTACGTTATACTTATAAACACGCGTACTATCGGCTCAACTTTCTACATATTTTATAAGAAGCCTTACTACACTTAGATGAAGTTGCTGTACTATCTAGGAGCTTCTTTTTTTAAGTGACGGGATCTAATGAGCACTAGGATTGACTATCCTACTTGAAGTATAAGCAATTTCTTATAGTTGCATACGCTTATAAATAGCAGGTCGCTGGTTCAAACCAGAATGCCATATACCAGTGCTCCATACAATCCTATTGTTGATTGTTTAATACTTTGCATCTTCAATTATAGCAATATTATACTTATGACTATAATCGAACATTTTAGACATTTGGACTATGCTAAATTTTTGCACATATACGTCTTGTAGACGCTATCATACGCGTATAAATCACTTACTATACCGCATAGATAAGGTAAAATCAAAAATAGTCAGAGTATCCTTTCAATTTCGTAAAAATTGCATGTGTTAAAACTTACTCCGTAATGCAATCGCTGAAGAACTGAACTTTCATGATTGGTGATAGCTGAGTTGTTTGATATTTCTTCAAACGTAGAAACTGATACGGTTCATAACTATAACGGTAAAGAAATGTTGTTAGCCATTACTTAGTCTGCAGTGGAGAAATACAGCAAAATGATAACTCGATATCTTAAATACGCGTAAAAATTTAACTTCGCAAGGTATGAAGCAGAGCTAGTCAACTTCAATCTTTTTCTAAATTTGTTGCAGTAAGCACAAGTAAATTGACATAGCGGATCGAACGATCTTAAGTTAACCTAATATACCTCATGATTAGCAATTGCTTGTAGCTGTTTCAATAAAGCTCTAGCAGGTTCGTGCACACTTTTGTAGTTTCGCAATAAAGGTAAATTCCTCGGTATAATTTCCTAGTACTGTAACAAGCAGTTGCACGTCATACTGTACTGTACTGTACAGTACTATCTTGACAATATACTGTACTGTATCAAGATTCAATGATCATAAAATACCCGTACTGTACTGTACGTACAGTATAGTACAGTACAGTATACTGAGTTCGAGTGTGAACATTCAGTGTACTGTACTCTACAGTGTACAGTACAGTGGTGAAGTGCGTACTGTACAGTACTGTACAGTAATGACTATTGTACTGTACTGTAACTTACAGTACTGTACTGTACAGAGTGATTATTGTACAGTACTGTAATTGATTACTGTACTGTACAGTACTGTATTACTGTAACTTACTGTACAGTAGTACTGTACTGTACACTGTACAGTACAACCAGAATTCTACCGGAGAAAAGTTAGTGTACAGTACTGTACTGTACCGTACAGTACAGTACTTACAGTGTAGCCTCATCTCACTGGCCTGCCTAATAAGCCATTCCAAGCAATCCGCAGCAGTCTGCAGTCTGTCTGCATCGATCCAAGCTATCTTTCATTTCAGTCGTTGTTTCACCTTATGAGTGTTGCTGCTGCTGGAAAGCTCCCGGCAAAAGGTTTATTAAATCGTACAAATCTTTGCGGTCAAGAATTTAGTTTCTTTACAACTAAATTCTGCTTCCTTTCCAACCCCTTTTATTGATATCCATTCTTTCCCCATAACGTGTAATCTTACACAACGTATATATACATATTTTTACATTTTATCATTTCCACCATGGACTCTGGTTATTCGTATTAAGTTAAAAATTAGTCATGCATAGTAATTATACAATTCAAAGTTTCTCTTCAAATTTAAAACTTGGTTCTATTAATAAACAATTTTTGGTGCGTCTCGTTAAAAATGACTCAAAACGCGGACGATTCAACAGCGGTGGAATGCTTGCTATCAAGCAACGAAGGTATGAAAGAACAAATTCTTTAAAGTTGTATGTACAGTATATACGCATTTTTACAATAGTAACCCTAGTATACCAAGATTCTAATCTTTATTAACTTAAATTACTTGAATCTACGTATGGATCCTCTTATTGTTCTGATTGCTCAATGCTGTATGCCTTTGATAAAGCTCTGAAATAGAGATAAATTAAAAAAAATGTGCTTTACGCTCGAATACTGTAGTCGGTCAGCGCAGTGATCGAAAGAAGTCCTGTATTTTATTATCATACAGTACTGTACACTGTACAGTACTGTACAGTACATGTGATCGTATTACTTGTACAGTACATAATACTATACTGTATACTGTAAGTCGCTGGTGCATAACTGTTTATTCAATGTTCGTGTATTACTAACAGTAAATAAATTACAATTCAACAGAAATAGCGATATGAATGTAAAAATCAGTAGGTTAGGTGGGAATTTTTTTCACAAATTACCAAGATTAAGTACTAAGTATCTTTATTAAATCAAAAGTTTTTAATCTTTCTTCAACATATCCTTACTTCGTCATGCTATGATATATTAATTCTCAATCTCTATATCACGCTATTATCATAAATTTATATTTTGTGATTCAAGAAATATATTGTATATAACGCTTAAGGAATTATCTGGATTTAGTATTAGCGAACAATCTATTATTGCAATAAAATGGAGTTCTACAAAAGTTAGCGCTAGATATATAATAAGACGTAATTAAGATGGATTTTATTTGTATTCCCTACATCACTGAGATGGAGAATACAAGAAAGATAGTCAATTGTCCATTGACTCTGCCGGACCATTTTGCACTCCGCTAGCTAATCGATCTGCCGTTGGAACACCGATTGATAATCGGAAGGAAGAAAAGGTCAAAACTCGCAAAAATCAAAGGGTATATTCAGACCAGTTTTAAATTTTGGTTTGAAGGTAATGGTATTGAGAACTGAAACACTTTATCTATTTATGTAGTTCGACCTAACTAGGGATGTACCTCGGGAAAGAGGGCGGAAGAAGGCTGGGCAATCAATAAACCATTTGCTTAATTTTACAATATCATCTGAAGATTATCCAACGGATACTCACGGTCATCATCGCAGAAATCCAAAATATCGCGTTTCTACTTTTAATAAGGAACAATATTTGCAAGCTAAGTGAGTATTCTAATAATGCCTGGTAAAGGCGAGCTACTTACCCTATAGATTGGTCATGTTTCTAAGCAGAGGATTCTATAAGAACGACAAAATATTTTGACAGCACAAATTTTTTTGTAGCTGCCAATTCTTAGTTCGCGCCGATGGTGATTACGCACTTCACAACATTGATCCTGATGTTCTCGTCCAATGGGATAACATCGAACAAGTAGTAAGCCATGGTTAAGCTGTATCGCTGACGTTTTAATAGTATTATTTAAAACTATTAAATAAAATGCTTGAGCATACATATCCAACTTTTTTGGTATTTGTATAAGAATGTAGCAATTCTGTAGCATGATTATTTATTTTGCAATGTAGCGGCTATGGTGCCATGAACTACCGTCTTGTCCGATTTGTTTGTACCCACCTACCGCTGGTAAAGTATATAATGATATTTTCTAGTTTTTTATTTGAACTGGAATTACCTGATATAGATATCTAAATATGAATACTTTTTCTTTTAGCTAAAATTACCAGATGCGGCCATATTTTCTGCTGGCCTTGTATATTGCATTATTTGTCTTTGGTAAGCCAATTATAATAGTTAAAAGTATACGCATGTAATTGGTAGATTTAGTGATTTTAAAACATGTGTTTTCACTTAGACCGAAAAGAGCTGGAAAAAATGCCCTCTCTGCCAAGAGGCAGTTCATCAAGTAGATTTAAAAAGGTAGATTTAATGTCTATCTACTACTATTACGGTTGTTAGTAATGTGTTACCTGATCATAACCTTATCTATTTAGTGTAATCAGTATTGCTAAGCATCGCTATGCACTGGGAGAGGATATTACGCTATGTCTAATGCGAAGACGTAAGGTATCAAACAGAACATTGCAGCATAAGCACTTTATACCAACTCACGCTATTTTACGAACCGGTTACTACAGGATTCAACCATGGTACAGATAGCATCTGAATTGGATGATGTTCTGAGAACATCCTATATTGAAGGTATACAGCAAACTGGTGATATATTATTATGATGGAGTGAATAAAGTCTTTAGAGTGATAAAATGTCTCAATTATTGAGAGAAATACGCTTATGGCTGCAGCTACCTTTGATTGATCAGCTATTTTAAACCGTATTTTAGATTATCGGGAAACATTTTCGAAGCTCATTTTAATAACAACCGATCAAGTTATTAAAAGGGTAATTTCACAATATGAGATAGTTTATAAAATTCAAAAGCGGTAAACATTATGCACTAATCAACTACATATTATACATGTATTCAGATAATTCAAGAAGAAGAAAGGATTCTTAGAGAAACTTTGGGTAGCACTGTCTGTCTTGAGGTCTATAAATTATTAGTTTCTGTAAAATTTTATCAAAAAGCGAAAGTTTATTGCATTGTGTACTACTTTACACGTGATAGCTATATACGTATTTATTGCTGTATGCTACTTTATTTATTTATTTATTAATAGCTATTTACACGTATTTTCTTACTGTAGGTGGAAGAACTCACATACATCAACCGAGCCTTAGATCTACTCCAGGTTAACTGCTTTCTATAATGTATTTTGCTGCTCTCTTTAGTTGTTGAACATACTTCTGTGTGTAAATCACTTACCCGTGGATGTACTCTATGTAATCGCATTGTTGCTTGCTATTGTAAATCCGTAGGTTCGAAAGAAGCAACTTACGGAAATTGACAGTATTTGTGTTGATGAAGTGGAGCACTCAAAGAACACATCTTTAAATACTCAGGTTAATACACAGAATTTTAATTTACTATCAGCATGCAAACTTTATCTCTTAAATTTATTGAATATAGAATTTGTAACTTAAAAGTATTTTAAATTAATGTCTCGTACGTTAGGATGCTAAAAGCACACACACAAACGCAAGTGCTGCCAAAGTCAACCACCAAGATGTCTTACAGAGAATTTCTGATGAGCCGAACGATATCGGAAGTGCCGTGTAAGTATCGAGAATGTTACATTCGTATTATATAGGGAGTGATACTTAATGTCATAACATTACCGTAATGATATTTACAGCAGTTTTTTAATGTGTGACCTATATAGATAATTAAAGTAATTTTCTTTAGTAGTAGCGATAAATTAGCAATGGCTCAACCACCTTACGAACCTCCGGATAACTCCTACTACCTATATCAGGGTTAGATATATTGTTATCTTTAAGTGGGATTAGGTCTTAAATAAGCACTATGATTAATAATCATGAAAAACTATTACTTATTTCTCTTAGCAAAGGACGGCCAACATATCTACTTGCATACATTTAATGCGAAGTGTTTAATTAAGGTATTAAGTTTTCTTTAGCAATACTATTGAGAAGGTATACGAGTTGCAATACTGATATACCAATTGTTAATCGTTTTAATTAGGAATATGGTAGCCTTAAAAATGCTCCTAGAATGCTTACCGCTAGAATTATAGACCTCGAGCAATTTTCAGTGACCGAAGTATAAATACCGAACTCTATTTCGCATCTTAAAGTTATTAAATTGAATCTAGCGATTAAATGATAATTTTGATCTTAGGAATTTCGCAGTAGAAATCGCTACCTAAGACATTTGCCACTGACATGTATGGTATACATTTGTGAACTTGATCTAAGGCAACCTACTCTTTCAAGGCCTATTCTGCAGACATTTTCAAGTACGTATAGATTTATCATATTTGATTGTCTTCATAGTACCTTAGCGATATATTTTCGTTTTAAATTAAGCGTCTTATTAAATACATTGTATGCAATTCAAGGAGAAATACGTCAGCGCAAGGAACGACGACGGAAGAAATTGTTAGCCGAGAAACGCTGTTTTACCAATAAACTTAAAGGTTATTATTAGCGGAGATTTTCATGACAGCACTTCAATTATGTATATGATCGAACTACTCTATCACCTGTGTCACTTCACAGATAAAACAGTACCACCTCCCAATACACTTGAAAGCTTTCCTTCCATGGGATTTGTCTTGACAGGTGCTACCGCTACGTTGTCTATCTCAACTGAACCTGTCGAAGAACCAGCTCCTGAAGGTATTTCTTTATGAAAAGGGGCGATATTCTGGATGTATCATACTGTGATATACTGTACTTATGATTAAATGGATTTGTCATGCTGTGTATTTTAAGATTTGTTGCTTGTAGTAATTCACAGCACCTGATCGATCATTCTTCGTTACATTTCTGGAATATTACTTTGATCTCATCTTGATAAGCTTATAATTAAATACGACGTATTTCATTGAAATCTTATCAGGGCTTGGTTTTTCATTAAACTGTAATACATATTATAAAGTAGATTTCTTTTTACTATTGCTGCATATATCTTCGTAGTCATGTCAAATTTTAAATTTAACTTCTTTTATCTTGGCATCCTTTTATTAATTTTAGTATTGAATATTTGATTATATTTATTAGAATCAATCGACTCACAATCGAGTTCATGTTACGATGCGAAGAATATTGGTACGAATGATTTTACTAAATAGTTAGGCTGATTCAATTCTATTGATATTTGTATAATGAACAAGCGGTTTAAATTAATATACCTATATAGGTAGTGAATCAGAATCGTGCCGTAATTTAGATGTACAGCCTTCATTCGCTCAGGTAGTTCCTTACAGAAAATTTCCTTTATGTATCAGAGCTTATTACGCTTGTGGTTTATACAGGCTCTTCTCAGTAATGTAAAATCTTCCGGTAATGATTTAAGTTCGGCCAACGTTCCCGAATTTAAGGGTAAGTAAATATGGCTTATGTCTAAATGGCTTTGCCTTCTAAATACATAGTGCATATGAAGTATGTAAATCTAAAAAATTTTAGCTAGTAACCAGATAAAAATTTTCAATAGATGCATTAAGAAAGAATGAGAAGATACCTTTCAAGTTAAATGACGATTCAGATAATGATATAAATCCTATACCTTCTTACCGCGAGTCATTTATGAACTCTTTGTCTAACAATTGGGGCGTTAATCGCGAATTACGACCATTAGAAGGTAATAACAGTAGCTATAGATCAGAATTACTGGGCCATTTATTACGATTCGACTTTTAAATCTACGTAATTATTTCGTCATTTCAGATTCTCTTAAGATTACTGGAAAAAAGAAGAAAGGCGGAAAAAAGTTACTTTTTTCCAATAGCAACCACTTAAGATATAGTTGAATCACAATTTTTAGACATTGACTCTACTGTCGAAAGGTATATGATGTGTTCGAGTGTGCTGCTAATGCATCTGAACTTTTCTGGTCTCTTAGTACGCTTTTTGAATTGCCATTAACTTAAAACATACAGATAGGGTTTAACACCTTAGATTTATCAAATTATTACACAGTTTATCAACTCGATTGATGCAGTTAGGGTGTAGTACTTTTTGAAGATCTGAATATTTAATCTAACTTTAAGGATTAGGATTATTTTACGCGCCTATTAATCACAACCCTTAATTCGCAATACTGTAGATGCCAACATTGTGTTATATTCGTATTTCGCTAGTCATTCGATAATTATAGTGATCATATTTTTTGTTGCTGATTTGTTTCTGAAATTGTAATTTGTGCAGTACAGTATGTGAATCTTATGATTGATTACTCGCTGGTACTTTTTTTATGCTCTATTTACTAATTGCTATATTACAAGACTGACAAGTAAAGTAACTTAGCTTTTTAAATACTGACCGCCAACGCTCTTACAAACAGTAAATACATCGAATAGGTTACCTAAAATTCGCGCAGCCATCGAAGCGTTTATCGTAAAAGCCAATTACACAAAGGAAATATTTAGTCAACTCTTATATATATGGACAAAATGCTCATCATAGATTGATTATTCGTCATGGGTGCGCTTACAGTTTATACGATTAAGATTTTTCCATTTAATAAACGTACTAAATTTGTATATTCAGTTTCTATTTCTTAACAATTATTAATTAATTAATAAAATACCCTGAAGTTCTCTTATAAATGCAACGGGCACACTAAACGAAACAAACGTGATTCGTAATAAAAACTTTCTGAATTAATAATTCAGCCGCATTACTTTCTTACCAAGTACTGTTATTAAAATTAAATTTTAAGCAAAGTAATAATAGTAATTATAGTTTCTAACTGTAACTCGAGGGCAAACGTACTGAGCAGTGCAGTCGCTCCATAGAGTTTTCACCCCTTTAAGTGCTAACAAGTATTACCAATTGTACAGTACTGTGCATTGGTCAACCGTCTTCTACACCCATTTAAATTCCTTGTCAAATACAGTATACAGTACTGTAGTGTACACTAGAGACCCTTAACTCCTACACACGCTATGACCAAATCTGATTGTTTATTTATTTATTTTATTCTACGAATGTACTGTACTAGGCACGGGCATTAATAGTCTAGTATTGTGAGTATACTGTACAGTACAGTATCACGCGTGGGGATTCTACAAACTTGTACAGTAGTTACAGTTACCGTACTGTACTGTGCAATCAACAACAGGATTATCTGTATGGAGCACTGCTGTACAGTACAGTATTTGTACTGCACAGTGTACAGTACAAATTGTGAGTTCTCTACAGTACCTAGTAGGCTAGTACAGTACTGTACTTTACGTCACGGTACTACTGTATACTGTACTGTAGTAGTGTATGGGAGTGACAAATAGTGCGTGAACCTCGAAAAACTGGTTCAGCCCTTTCAATAATAAAATCTATTGATTTTTTATTTTAAGTAATTGATATGATTTACCCTACTGTTAATTAATTGCATCTTTTCATAATGCATAGATTCGCTCGGTTGTGAATTTCATTGAAGATTGAGACGAAATCAGTCTACTGTACTGTACAATATACTGTATACTGTACAGTACAGTACGGTATACAGTACAGTACTGTACTGTACTGTACTGTACTGTATTGTGCCTGCACCACACAGACTTACTGTACTCTGAACTGTATGTACTATGACATCCGTATGAGATACCCTTGTACAGTACTGTGCAGTACAGTACTGTATAGTACAGTAGGGTACTGTGCATTGTACAGTACTGTACACTGTACAGTACAGTACAAGAAGGTACGGTGCACTTGTGACTGTGTACAGTACAGTATAATGATAGGATCAATAATGATCTACTGTAGACTACACTGTCAAGTGTCCAACTCGTAAACGTGTACCTTGTCTCAAAAAGTAAGATAGTCAAAACGAAATTTTATAGCTAACCAGCCCGCATCGACCTATTGGGGAATCCCTAAAAAATTTCAAGTTAGTACTATATCACGTTAACTTAGCGGTAATGATCCAATCACTAATGTATAGTGCCATCTATAATATCTCGTATATACGTATTTTGCTTAGATGAAGTTTAGTAAATTGTATTCGAAGACGAAATTCTTAAGAAATTGAACACTATTTTTTTACCTTATGATTTATAAACTTGTACAGTATCAGTATTACTACATTCATCGAACCAAAAATGCGAACCTGCTGCTTCATTATGTGTTTCTGAAGTTACTACTGCAATAATTGCGTTTACTTCTTATTTTAAAACTTGCCTTTGGTAGAGATTGAAATACTATAGTAAATTGATTCCATCTTATACCAATTACGGGAAGAGCATATTGTAAATGGTACAGTATTTACCTCCTCACGTTTAAATCTTCAAATACACGTACCGTAAATTGAAACATAACGTACTTTCTTTATTATAAAGATTATGCTAGTTTTCAATTGATGTACTGCGCTATACGCTAGTTGTAAATCAGAATAAGATCAATGCAAAACATTTTACAGATTTTATCTGTTTATTCCGCCAGAAGAATCAGATAGCAGTCATGTCAGTCATCAATCTTGAAAATGATACTCTACATAGTCACTACTACAGTACCACTGTCAACTGTACAGTACTTGCTGTACGTACTCTACTGTACTGTACTGTAGTACAGTACAGTACTGTACCATACTGCACATACAGTACAGTATACTGTACACTGTACAGTACTATAACATTTGATTTTAGTCTGTTGATAATTATGTACAGTATTATTATAATAATTATCTAGGCTTAATTACACTACTGTATTATTAAGTCTTGGCATATAGGCACTTTTTCGACGTTAAAAATTCAAGTTTAAAATTAAACGGATTGCGAAGTATCTTCAGTGCATTACGATTTTAATTAAGAAACATCGACTGTTGCTAATCGCTAAATTTTTAATCGTTCTCCTTTATTCGGAGTAGGATGAGTAGAATACCATCGAATTTTGGTAAGAGTAAAATCGGTCAACCCTCGAATGGTAGTGCAGCTTTGACTCGGACAGGTTCAACGAGTAGCTCAATAAAACCTTCGTCAGGCCTTAAACCTCTTAGTAGTGCACTCAAGCCTCCTTCTGCCGGCACCAAAATATCGAAAATATCCCCCGCATCGAGCGTGAAGAGTTTTAGCACCGAGTCATCACGTTCCTCTTCTCCAACACGCCGGCCAGGCTTGCAAGCGCCTAAAGGAGTTGGAGAGATTAAAAAGCCAGTGACCAGTGGATTAAAAGCCCCTATACCCAAAACTAGTAGTAATAAAGCCAATACTCAAACAGTCAAAAAATCTGCAAATGCAGGTCTAGCGAAGCCGAAAACGAAAACTACCGAGGTTGCTCAGCCATCGAAGAAGGCCGTGCCTAAACTAACTTCTAGTCTTTCAAAACCTAAAGCAGCAGGTCTCCATCAAAGTGGACATTTACAATACGGGGGTTCTTCAGCGGGTACAGCTCATAACGCAAGCCGTAGTCAATCAAGTTCGCATCATGTAACTGGCACAGATGTTACGGGACGACCACAAACATCTTCATTTAAGAAGTCAACGTCAACTGCTTCACTATCTGGTGTTGAGGGATATGAAATTGGTGATCGTGTGATGACTAGTGGTAATAAACTAGGGACAGTATCTTACGTTGGGAAGACCCAATTTTCATCCGGCATGTGGATTGGTGTTACTTTAGATGAACTGCTCGGTAAAAATGATGGCTCGGTATCTGGAGTTGAATACTTCCGCTGTGCACCTAAGTATGGCATTTTTTGTCGACCTGAAAACGTTGAGCCTGATCGAACATTTGTTCTGAGACCATCTAGTCGGGTTAGTTCAATGTCGAGTTTAATTAGTGGTATGGAAAGTATTGCCGAAGAGGCCAACGCAGAGGTTACTGTTGGAGATCGTGTTATTGTCTATGGCAAGACAGGAACTCGTAAACAGGGTACCTTAAGATATCTTGGTAGCACCATATTTGCTTCTGGTGAATGGGCAGGTGTAGAACTAGATGATGCTTCTGGAAAGAATAATGGCGCTGTTTCGGGAACTAGGTACAGTAAGATGATTAATATCAGGATTATGTAATGAAATGTTTCCTTGAAATCTAATTTATCAATATTACAAAAGGGCAATATGTTATCTAGTGTATAGTTAACGTCGATTTTTACGTTATTTGCGTATGATTATGATTATAATTATATTTATTATTAATGTATTAATTAAATTAGGCACTAAAATTAACGATACGAATATATGTTAGTTACTGCTTACAGTCGCAAACAAGAAAAAATTAATTTGAGATTGAGTAGACTTCATCAATATAATTGTATTTAAATTTAATTTAATTTGCGTAGATCTCTTTGCCATACAGTATATAGCTGTAGCTTTAATGCTAGTTATCATAAAGAACTAGATAATTACTATCATAAAACATAATAATGCTATTTGCAATTATCTTTTAATGCAGATATTTCATGACGAAATTAGATTCTATTTGTTCATATCGATATATTGTATCTTTACTTTTTCTTTACTTATTCCTTAATTAAGGTATTTTACATGTCCTCCTAAACATGGTTTATTCGTGCCTTCACATAAAGTCGCTCCAATTCCGGTTGATGATGTCGATGACTTTCCACCAGATGCAGGCAATATTAGCGGTGATAGAGATAATGATAAAGAGATGATAGAACTAGAGCAACAGTTGTTACAGCAACAATTTGAGTTACTAGAACAACAGATGATTGAAGAAGGGGATAGCGATGAACATTCAAATGGCCCAAACGTGAAAGAAAGTGATGAAAATAGTAACGTTTTAAAGGATGATACACAAGTAAATCTTGAGCCCATTGACACAAATCCCATAGATACTGACGCTGATTTCGAAGCAATTGAGAAGCAAATTAATGAAAGTTTACATATGAACGAAGAGAATAACAAACTAGTTTCACCTGCGCAACCGCATATTGATAGCAGTGTAGAGCCGATTGCGAATATAGAAGATCAATCGCCAATCGAGAGTGGTACCGAAAATACAGTATCTAACCAATTAGATAACAATGTCGACGGGGATTATCTTAACCTTGAAGAAGCCGTAAAAAGTATTGATGAGATTACTAAACCATATGAAGATGATAATTGCGTGACTGGTAGTAACGATGGGAACTCACTTGAATCGGATTCTGTTAAGAATAAAGAAATTATTGAGGAAGCTGGGAATAAAGATATTACGGATAACGTTATTGATGAAGCTTTCGACAGTGATAATAAGAATCTCATAATTAACTTGGATGGTATGTTTAAACAAATAATAAACTTAAAAAAAGTTATCTTACGGACCGACCTATTAGATAATGAAGAAGATATTCGTAATAAGCAGAATCTCTGGGTTGATATCTTGGTTAATGCAATCGATGAAATCAATGAACTACGATCTCGAGAGGATGGCAGGTAAGATCGATTGATAAGCTAACTGATTAGCCCTCTATTATCAAGATGTTTTATGATTGTTTACAGAATTGTCAATAACCATTTGTTTTATAG